GGAGTTGTGGTCTTAGGATTCTACTTTAGAAATAGACTAATATAAACTATGAAGTTTAGATAGAGGAGTCCTTCTGCATCTAAAGGTGTTTTTTTCTTATTTGTCGTGGATTTTTGTTGGTCTAGAAAAAAAACAATTGTTAAACAATTATTATGTGGTCAATCAAATATTTAAAGGGTAGACAAAAGTTCAATGAGTATGAACATTATTGAGAATTTCAGTGGAGGGATTAATGTGAATTTTTTTTATATCTTAGACATGAAGCATTACTTATATAGTTTTATGTGATGGTATGGTTATTATTTGTAGAGTTTTGGAAGCTTCATTATTGTTTTTCCTCATCCTTAAACATAATTTGCTTGTTGGCATATAGGAATGGCATGGAGCAGCACGGGAAGCACTCTGGTGTTATGATTGCAAAAATAATTTTCAGTGCTTTGGGCTGTTTGATGGCAGTAAATTTGGTCTATGTTTTCAGTGATGGTTTACCTTTTCGCAAGGAGTTTTTTACACCGTAATTTTGCTTTTATTTTATTCGTAATTTTATTGTTCTCTATGTGCTAATGCTTTGGAATTATGTTTTCTCATTATGGAAAAATGAAAGAAAAAGAAAAGTGGTGTTAATACCTAAACTAATAGTTAATTCATCATACTTCTGTAATCCACAGGTGTATTTTAGAGACTTAGTTTTACTACAGTTTATAAAGACAGTTAGAAATAATACCATGGATAACACCTCTTCCTACATGGAGAGAGAGAGACTCTAGCCAATTGTCATCAAAAGCTTGAAATCTTTGCTTATATGAATTGTTTGAGAGTGAGATATGTGTACCCATCTTTTGTAGCAATACCCTTAGTTATACTTGTATATTTTTGGATACCGAATTACATGAGGTGTTTAATAAATTAGATGTTTGGAAATGAGCTTTATTTTGTAGAGACTTGATCTTAAGATCTTTTCCAGTCTTTTCTGTTGGAGTAAGGATGGAATCAGTGGACTCATTTCCATACTTGAAGTGTAATTTGTCTAGCATGAATAGCACTTCTATAATTTAAAAAACTAGACTCTAAAGTGATAATCTCTGTTCTTATACTGCATTTGTTTTGTTAATTTGAGAGAGTAAAAAATATACTCCTTAATTCAAACATGTGACTTAGGTCTTCTTATATAGGAGAATGACCAACTACAAACAAGGAAAGTAATAAACACCATAAAGACTGAATATCAATAATAAAGACTAAATATTGACAACTAATATTGATACCTAATATTTACACAAATATTGATAAATCCAACATGTTATCTTTTAGAAGTTAACAATCTTTTAACCCATTTGCAGTTGGATGGTGGCTACACTGATCGATTTCTATATAAATGCCACAGTTTTGTCGGTATGTCTTAAATTCCTTATCATCTACTCTTGTTGCTTTTAGATGGTTAAATACACCATTTTCTTGCTAGGATGCACAGATTCAACAATGCCTCTGAACTGTTGAAATTAAGCCTAAAGAAAATTTACATCTTTACTTAAAACTGGGATAATTTCTTGATAGTTGTTTTTCATGACTTTGTTAGTCATCTGATAGCTGAATAACATTATTTGTCTTTCCATATGAGATCAGGTCTGGATGTTCTATAAAGAATCATGGCTTACTGCAATCTTTTGGATAGTTCTATTACTAGGTTTCGGGAGGTAATCTGTCACTTTTGTGCTGAAAGTCACATATCTTTCTTGCATTTGAAACCTGCCATTGGTCAAGCAAACCATGTTCCTTCCTACTTGTAATTTGTGCCAGCATATGTATCTCTATCTTGACTGTTTAAGATTCTATCAACTTAGTAACTGAATATATATGACTGACAAACTAAATAAAAAAAAAAAAGGAAAAAACTAATCAACGGTGGTCTAGTTGAACATTTGATAGCTCTCTATATCTCTAACACTTTATTACCCTCCCAATATTTCAGCACCTCTACATGTCCCTTTATTGTTAAGGAACTATTCAAGCTCGGCCCCGAAGATCCAGCATACCTTATTTTATTCAAAAGTTTTAACAGGCAAGTCCCAGTCTTCTTGTTAGATGGCATAAGATGAAAAAAAATTGGTAAAAATTGCTATATTTTAAGTTATTGGAATCAATTCTTTTCTGAGCTTTGGTTTTTCTTATTTTATGAATATGAACCTGGAGGACTGTCACCCGTGCTAACTTGTAATTTACAATTTCATCTACAGTTTTTTTTTTAAATCTTGATTAATATTTTGTGATTAAGTTTCTTTTTTGAAAGATTGTGAAATGAGTATCTTGGTTGTGATGAATCTATATAAAATTCTTTCTTAAAAAGTCGAAACCTGAAAAAAAAAAGAGGCTAAAATGAAATTATTTGAGGAAGCAGATATGTATCTAAACTTTAAACAGGACTAGTTCAAATTTCCACTTAAATGTGCAGATATTATTTTGATCGCCATGCATCCTAGCAGTTATGTTTACAAATTGTCATTATATGTCAAATACATAACTTCAAGTGATATAGCTCAAATTAATGTCACTTATGACTCCAAAATTCTAAAAATAATGCGGAGGAAAGTAATGACAACAATGATTTAAATGATATAAAGTGGCAACACGAGAGAAGCTCCTGGAAAGAGAGGAAAAGAATTGTATTCTTTAAAGTTAACTTCTTTATGGGAACTGAAACCTCGTTTAGGCTATTAATATATTTTTATTACTTAAAACTCTTCCTATTCAATCAATTACCATTTTGGATTGAGAGGAATAGTAGAATTTTTATGGGTGAGAGGTCGTGGGAATTTAGGAGCTAGTTAAATTTAATACCTCTCTATGGGTATTGATTTCTAAAGCTTTTTGTACATTCTTAGATTGGGATCCTTTCTTATTGGTTGGTCTCCTTCTGGTGGACTTGTTTTTTGTATGCCCCTGGTATATTATTTCATTTATCCTCAATGAAAGTTCAATTTCTTATTAAAAAAAAAATCTCTCTACATATAATAATAATAATGATTGCCCTGTATTTATTCATGTCTCTCTCACTAAATGTCAAAGGTAGTTGATTAGTTGGATCAATGCCACTGGCTCTCTACTAAGCCTTCTGGACTGACAGAGAAAAAACGTCACTATTGAATTCAGGTCAGAAAGAAGATATGAGAGAGCATTGTCCTCATAAGCTGCAAAGGAAGGTAGAGGGATTTAGCTCATTCCGGTACGTATCGAAATGTTTACATTGAAAGCATAATCCATAAAATGTCATACATCTTGTTTGATGGAAGAGGTCAGATCTTATATTTCTTGATGAATTCGTAAAAGAAGTTTCATAGCATAGAGTGTAACTTTAATGTATACAGAAAACAACCATATGATGATAAATCTGTAGTAGTACTAAAGCAAGTGCTATGTTCAGTATAAACCGATACAGTTTTATGCTACCTTTTGTTGTATATAATGCATGTATCTCAAGTTTCCATTTTCCATCTTAAGGATAGATTGCAAACAGAAGTTAGTACCTCTGGGATTTAAAGATATTTGAATGCAGGAACTTGACATTACTTCTGAATCAATTGAGGGTGTTTCTCTCTATTTGTTAGGAAATAATTTAGTTCCTAAAATTTAAAAAGTTTCAATCATGTTGGTAAATTTTGGATTATACTTCTATTTAGTCCTACATTTGTTATAATATACTTATTTAGATAAGTTTTAAATAATAAACCATCCATATTAGCCTTTCATAGCGGTGTTAACGGCAGAGAGAAAACATAAATATAATTCAATAACTACTATGGGTTGGTCGGTTGATCAATCTGGACAAATATAAATAGTTAAGGGTTAGAAAATATGAGTTCTATCTATATTGGTCACCTACCTAAGATTTAATATCTCACGAGTTTTCTTGTCAACCAAATATAGTAGGGTCCTGTGAGAATAGTTGAGATACGTGCAAATTAGCCCGGATACTTACGGATACTCAAAAGAGAAAAAAGAAAGGAAAAACTTTTAAGATACTCAAAGTTCGTTCGAGGACTACACTCATAACTTTACCATATTTTAGTTACCTGTTCGTTTGTTTCTTCTTAGCCTTTACTTTGCCATATTGTTTGTATATAATTTTTATGGAATTTGAAATAATATTTTTGTGGTATAGGGCACAATTCAAGAATGTCCAGGAAATGATTATGGTAATGTTCTCACCAAATGAACAACTCATCTCTTTTATTTTCTGTAAACTAAAAACTTGGTCTGCTGTCTCTACTACCTAAGGCTGTGTTAATAGGTTGAAAATCTTTTAAGGAATTTGTACCATTTACTGGAATTGAGCTTTTTATTACGTATAATAAAATTTAGTGAAATTTAACTTTCTTTTCTGTTTATATGGGGAAGCAAGCTGATTTGCTTACCATTTCATAAATAAATAGGCTCCACTATTGGTCTGAGAAATAGAAATCGAAAATGGTTCTTAAACAAACTTCTTAGAATAACGGGGAAAGACGAGAATAACTCAAGTAAATAAGACATGTATTATCGTATAAAAGAAAAAAATCTTGCTCTATTCATGCTAAATCAACTTTAACTTAACCACATATCTAGGTCAAAAAAATAATAACGTTACATTAGTGATATATCATACATACAATGAATGAAAGCTTTAGGGTGTGTTTGGTTGGTGATTTGAAAACATAAATCTATAAATTACAGCGTTGTATTTCGTATTTCATATTTTGAGTGTTTATGAATATGTGTTTGGTAGTTAATTTAGAAATTGAATCTTAATTTAAAAAATTGTTCAACATAAACCTATTTTAAGTGTTTATGAATATGTGTTTGGTAGTTAATTTAGAAATTTAATCTTAATTTAAAAAATTGTTCAAGTTGTTTGGTAATATATCTGTAAAATAGTGTGTATATGAATGTATGTATATTTATATTCTTTAACTATATTGATAGCTAGTTTGTACATTTGGATGGAAAGTAACATATATGCTCGTGCGCCTAGAACGGGTATGTACTTCTTATTGCAAAGTCTTTGTCGAGTTTAAAGGCTGTCACATTCTGACTTCTTCCGGTCTGAAAAAATGACTTTTTCTTTTGGCGGCTGTTTTACTTATAATTCTCATTGTCATTTTCAATCATCTTCTTCATCTTCTAAACTCTCAACAATTATATTACCTTAAATATCAACTCCTCCAATGTTTTTGCTTCTAAGTTTTGAAAATTAGGACTCAAATGATGAGAATCAAACGATGCAATTCACACAGAATCAAGCTAGGACAGAGTTTCATTTCGAACGAATGTGACAACAAACAGTTTTGATGACATATTTTGTGGCAAAAAGCCATCCAGAAGAATAATAAATTTTTCAGTTCTCGTTGAATTAAAATTTTATTATAATTCGAATGCATACTATATGAATTTCGATCATGGAATCCAGGTTAAATCTCTACAAGTCATTATCCCGATTTTATGGAGAATTTAATATAATTTTTAATTAGTTTGAAATACATTCAAATTAGTTTGATTACTATGTAGGTAGATATTTTAGGAATTCACAACTAACCAGGAATCTATGACTACTTAGATGTAGGGGTAAAATTGATAGATGAGTCTAAACCTACCTAGGGACGACATATGTGGGTAGAGGTAAATTTTAATTTATCTCCTCCCATAATTTTCTTTAGAAAATATTGATTTGACCATTTTTTAAAATTATTTTTCAGAATTGTGGAGGTAGTCATTACTCAGTATTTCGCTTTTTACTATTTAAATCATAGAATGTAAAAACAAATTTGCCACATACATTTACAGAATTCGAATCTCTCTTTTTTTCCTTATTTCTTTGTTTAGAATTTTGTTGGGAAATAATTTAATGGGCTTGAGTTGAAAGCCCAATATTGCCTAGCGGACGTTACAAACCTCAGCTTCTGGACTTGTTATATCCCACGGCCCATTCCAGGAGTTCTTTCTTTTTCTGTTTCTTTTTCTTTTTTTGCCATAAAAAAATGTTTTCTACAGCAATAAATATGAATTTTTGAGTATGCCCCCGTTTGATGAAAATGTATTAAATCAGACCTTTTCCTAATAATCATTATACGTGGATTTGAAAATCTTCATGTTTTTTCTAATGGCCGGATATATCATAACTGCTGGATATAGATTCGATATACTTTCTTAATCTCTCTCGTAAATCTATTAGTGCAGAATTATTAGTCATATTACGGTGGTCTCATCAAATAGTTTCTCCCGTGGTTTAGAGATTGTACTTCCATCTCTACTCTTTAGTATTTGATTTGAACAACTGTATGTGAATATGTGGCTGCCATTGAAAATTTGAAATCAATTACACCCTTGTCATTTAAAAATAAAGTTTCTTCAAGTCCATTAAATTAAAATTTTTTTAAAAAAAGTTCATATTGATTTCCTAGCTTTCATTTCATTTAGAATATTAGAATATGGTTCTAAAATCACGTCGACATTTTCATCGACATATCCATATGTTTCCAAGGATTTGACATCAATATGATGGATAAATCGACATTTTCATCATAGTACAAAAAATTGACAAATATGAAAAATATCAACAAAATGTCACTAACTATATACATAATATTAATATTAATTATTTTTAACTTATAAGTTGGAAAATGTTTATTTGTTAATTTAAATATCTTTTACAATTTTTTAATTTATCTAATTTTTACATAGGTATCTATCAATATCGACATTTTATCAATATTTTCGTAAAATTGAAATCCCGACATTTACATCAACATCGACATTTAAAATCTTTCGTTATATTAAAAAAAAAAGGAATTAAATCCTTCACGTGGTTCATGCCTGTATGGACCGAAGGGAACAACGTTGAGATTTCATTTCTTATCATTGTCAGAAAATAAATATATATATATATATATATATATATACCTCGTCCAAATTAAAATATTCTTTTATTTTTTAAGTTAAACAATTATGGACATCAACCATCAATTTTTTTTATATTATATTATTAAAATATTTTATTCACTTCAACTATTTGTTTGAAATATCATTTTATTATCTAGTATGATGTGATATAAAATCATTGTTCGTGCAATATTGTAAGTATATTATTCTCTTTTAATGAATACTTCCATACTTATTTTCTTGCTTAACAAATTTTTGAAACACACACATTATATCATCATTGTTCACATAATTTACTTTTGATAACAAAAATGCCAACACGTTTTGGTTGTTCTCATCGTTACACTTATTAAAATTTTCCTAACTTTTTAATATGTCAATAATTAATTTTATCACGTAAAAAAATTGTAGGATCGTTTTATAACGAGTGAAGTGTTCAGGTTGGTTTGTGCACATGTTTGATAGTATTATTGTTTCACTATTGTAACTAAATAAATTAATAATCGAATGTTGAATTATAATTTAACCCAAAATGGTGGTATTTATTTATGGTCAAAATTTTGTAACGTTATAATTATGTCTCTTTCTAATTCTTAATTTTTATTATAAATCATATTTCTTTTCAACAATATTGTAATGAGTCTCTATTAATTTGTTGACACGGCACACTAATTCACTTAAAGAGTTGTGATTTGATACGTGTGGCAACAAATGCCATATAAGAAGTAAGATTAATTTATTATTAATATTATTATTATTTTGAAAGGAAGTGACTAAAAATTCATTAAAACATATAAATTTTATTTTAAGTCTGTGATTTTTTTTTATTTTTTTTAATACAATAAGTGCTGGTGGATATTCAAACTTATGACTTTTTTGTTAGAGATATGTGTCAATAAGCTCAATTCATACTGACTTAAATTTGTGAATTAAATTAACTAAATATCAATGATTCAATTCATGTTCACTTAAATTTGTGAGTTAAATTAACTAAATATCGGAGGGACCAACCTCGTGATTAAGAGAATGAAAAATAAATGTCAAATTATAGTCCAACTTTGATGGATGACTTTAATGGACCTCTAAGTTTTAATAAACGTCTAACATAAATTATAAACAAAAATTTGTTTCTTTAAAATTTCTATAATCACTCTCTAAATGTTGAGATTTTTTTTTCTTTTATAGAACTTTGAACTTTATAACTTTATTTATTTTTAACATTATTTATTATGTTTAATTTTGTTTCTTTAAAATTTCTATAATCACTCTCTAAATGGTTAGTTTCATGTATTTTATAAGTTTATTTCTAAATTTATCTGTCTAATTTTTTTTTCTCCAATCACTTTTATTTTTCTAAAATTTCAAATTCACTTTTTAAATTTTAAATATTAATAATTTAAAATCATTTTTAATTATATAAAAATCACTCTAAACAGTGTATAACAAAACGTTAAAATAATTATATAAAAATTAGTTACACAAAAACAATCGTTATTAATATTTTTTTTCCCCGCAAACCATTAGATGTTATCACCATATTAAAAATGAGGTACAATAGGGTATTAGATTGTTGTCCAACATCCACATAAGGAATAAATCAATAAAATATACAAAATATCAATCTAATATCCCTAATATAGATATAATAGTAGTCATTATCGGAATGTTTATTTGTTAATTTAAATATTTTTTATAAATTTTCTATCTTCACAACATTCCTCGACATATTCATCGAAATCGACACTTATTGATATTTCCATAAAATTGAGACATCGACATTTCAATCGACATCGACATCGACATCGATTTTTAATTTTGTCCGTGCAAACAAATATAATTTGATGTTTTTGTTGTACTGAATTTGTCCAGACTCAATTCCTCCGCTTTTAGAAACTATTAGAGAAAGCCACGCAATTCTAGTACAATGAAGATCAACATAAACTTAGTTCAACTGATTATTTCTTCGGTCAAGATACGACAAAATATTGTAAACTAAAAAAACCTAACTGTTGTGTGACGAGTGAGTAGTAAGTAAAAAAAAAAAAAAATAATAATAATAATAATCAAATGGTTGTCGACTTGTCTGAGAGTAAGGACATTTTCGAATATCGCATACAAAGTGATTAGAGGCAGCAACAATGGCCGCATTGTTCAATAATCTATCCGGTTGTTCCACCCTCTCTCTCAAAGTATCACGCGTCTGCAATGGCGAGCTCGGCGGTAATTGGGTGGAGGATTCTGTTTGCTCTGTTGGGCTGTACAATGGTTGCAACTCTCGCATATACAACCGCCATTGATGGCTCTCCTTTCCGCAGAGAACTTCTTTCACGGTACTCTTTCTTCTGCACTATATGTTTTTCATGTTTGTTCTTACCATTCCACCCTCTCAGTTTACAGAATCGAGCTGCTTCAGTTACTCTGTTCATGTGCCTAGTGATCATCTTCTTTATGCGATCAAAATAATTTGGTGTTTAAAGAACTATCCCGACTATGAAACGAGTTAAACTGCCAGAAATAACTAGGTCAAGTGCTTTTGGGAAATTTTGGCAGCTATCCTGAAAAACAATTCAGTTTTGGAAAACTAAAACGTTTTGATTTGGCCTCTGAATTTTGTTAACATTACATATTGATTTTGTAGTTCGATTGTTCATTTTGTAAACATAGATTTGTCCAGTTTCCAAAGTTGATACCAGACTTATATATGTTTGGGATGATTTTTTCTTTTTCTGAAGTGCTTTTTAAATAAACATACATTTTCTGTAGCCACTCTCGGAAGAATTACTAATTTGGGTGTGTTTAGTATAAATTTGTTGACAATATGAGTTTAGTTCAACGATAATTCACACGTGTATCGGACCGAATAAAATAAAAATTATTTTAATCAGAGGGAAAATTGTGTTACTTTGTAGTGTTGAGTTATTAATTTCTCTCTCTTATTATTTCTACAATTATAGACAAGTTTGTTCTTATATGTTTCAGGTTAATGGTGACAGCTTTAATTGATTTTTATTTCAATGTCATAGCTATTGCGGTATGGAAAAATTAAGTTCTCATTATATTCTCTTTTACGAAAATTTGACTTTGCACACTTTTAGTTATTTCTATAACTCAAAATCTCCTGTCGTGAATAGAACTGCTAGACCATTTAGGAAAGAGCAAAATTTCCTGTTGAATACACTTAATTGTCTGTTCATGTAAAGTTTACAAGCTCGCATGCCTCCATATGTTCTTTTCTTACTGTTCTTCCTCAATAGCCATTCTCTTTCATTTTTTTTTCTTTTTTGGTGTGGATGAAAAACCATGCTTTCAAGGGAAGAATATATTGATGTAGAAATTTGACCTGGATTCCACCAAATTTGTACAAATCTTTTGGAATAAAAGAGATCGACGAGACCTACAAAACAAGAATAGCACTAAAGACCGGTGTGGCTCTTGCCACACAGGCTTCGATGCTTATGGAGTAGTCGAGTATGGAGAGTAGGGTATTTCAGCGTATCAAAGAGTAGATATTTGTAGCGTATTTCAGCGTACCTTTAGGGTTTGGTTCACACTCTTATTTATAGAGGTCGAATCCTAATCTTTTAGGATGTGCTTAGGAGATCTGGACTCCTAGGCCCATGTGTTTCGTCGTGGGCGCCGAGCACTGCTCGGCACCGACCTCGGGTCGGTCGTGGTCGACCCGGGTTTTGGTGCTTACCTGGTTCGGCGCTTCTTCTCTAGTCCAGTCTTTGCTTCTGTCGCTTGGTTCGTTCTCCTTTTTATCTTCCTAGGACGGAATACAAAAGCGCAATATGTTGTTTATTTCATTCCATAAACCCCATGTGAACCGTGAAAAAACCCGCCTGCCACGAAACCACCCTTATCCCTAAATGGAAAGTGGATTAGAACATCTTCCAACATTGAACTACACTCCCTGGTGCGAACAAAGCAAAGCCCAAAAGCCTAGAACAAACAATCCCAAACAGAAGAAGCAAATTGGTAAGTTCAAAGGAGGTGATCGAGATCCTTTGCTACTCCTTTACAAAGAATACAACATTGAGGTCCAATTTGAAGAGAAGAGTGTCTCGTGATACAATCCAAAGTATTAACCCTGCCGTATAAGACATGTGAAACAAAAAATAGATCTTCTTTGGAATTTTAACCTTCAAAAGCGAGGAAAAACAGAGGAGAAAGAGGGGAGAGGATCCGCCCGACACAAGGAAAAGGATTTGCAGGAAAATCTTTCAGAAAAATTAGGGGCCAAAGACGAGAATCCCTCTGGCATTGAGTAACAACAAAGTTCCCTGTCAAGGACAACAAGGCCACGAGATTTGACGTCTCCCTATCGGATAAAGGACGACGAAAACAAAAGATTGCATTGCCTAAAGAAGGAAAGATGGGATGAACGGATTGAGAGATGGTTCAAGCAGGGAACAATGAACAAAAGGGGCGATCCCCCTAGCCACCTATCCTCTTCCTCCCAGAAGTAAGTATCATTGTCATCTCCCACCAAACAATGAACAAACTAAGAAAAGAAGGGAAAGCTGAAGGAGATTGCTTTCCAGGAATTCTTGGAAGTGCCTTTAGAATCCCCATTCAAAGAGATGAGGACCATACTTGCTCACTATGACCCTATGCCACAAAGATTCCAACTCCAAGTGTCATAACCATTTTGCCAGGAGGGCTTCATTATGTAACTTCAAATTTCAAATACCTAAACCTTCTAGATCCATAGGCTTAGACATCAACCCCCAATAACTAAACGAGTCCCTTTCCTTCACCAACTCCCTCCTAAAGAAAGTCTAGCATAATTTTCTCTAAGTTTTTGTTGATGGACACAAAAATTCTAAACAAAGATAGGAAATAGGTTGGAGTTCTGCTTAAAATGGGCTGAATAAGAGTTAATCTTCCCAAAGCTCAATTACTGTGCCCTAAGGAAAAACCTAGACAAGAAGGAAAGGACCCTACCTAACATCCCACCAAAGAAGCCCACCTGACCAACTTAGGGATCATAGTTAATGCCTAAGACGAAACATTTACTTCTATTAATCTTCATACTAGAATCTTGAACTCAAGCTACTATACCCAACTGAAACTTGACCTTAGAGGTCTTCCCTTTGCAAACCTCTTCAATAAGGGTACATCTCCCATTGTATTTCCTATAGAATAGGAAGTACTTTCTCTCAACTCTCACCACGAGAAAGTTGCTCTCTCCAACTCTCATGAGGAAGATTGTTGTGGCCGTTCCTCCCTTCAGTCTTTTTCTGCTGTGGTTGTATTGAATCAATCTGACATATGTGTTCAAGCCTTCATGATAGCTTTTCTCCTACAAAAGTCTTGCATGCTTATTATTATTATTTTTTAATTTATCAGGCATGGGTTTCCTACAAGGAATCGAACTGGATTGCTGCAACAATTTGGATAGTTTTTCTTGTATGTTTTGGCAGGTAATTACTTCGTATCCTTGTCGAGCTCACCTTCCAGTTTAAAACTGGTTTGACCATGGGATACATTAGTGTGAACAATACTGTTGAACTATAATGAATTAAATGTTACTTCTTGTTGGGGTTTGGTGTAGAGATATCTTGACCCTTGAAAATTCTATTTTTATTTATTTTCATTAATGAATGGGGGAAATATCCAATGTTTTTGAATGCCATTTTCGAAATTTCAGAAGATTATGTGTATTTAATTAGTTAAAATACTTTTACTTATTTGATGTTCTTGCAATGCCCTTTTCAACTTTATTCTCAGAATCTAATTGCAGTTCGTGATTTCTTTCTTCACATGCATTTACCTTTTCTTTTGTGCATACACAAATCTGGAAGCTGTTTAAGGTGGAAATTTGCCACTAATACTGAATGTATATTGGTGATGCACAGTTTTATTCTTGAAAAACTTTGGTAAATCATTAAAGTTTTTGTAGACATTTCGATTTCGAAACTCTTACATGTTACTAAGACTGAATGTGCTTCTATGTATGGGCTACTTTATTTCAATAGGAAGTGGCAGTGTTTTTTGATTGGTAATAGTTGCAGGCTGAATCTTCATTTGATTTTTGTTACTTTTATTTTAAGATCCGATTAACTCTTCTTCCCCCCTATCATTTTCCTCAGCATTGCTACTTGTGCCTACATTCTTTGGCAGTTGTGGCAATTATCATCTCAGGAATCCTTTGAAGATATTATGTACCATGTTCTGATCAAGAATCCAAACAAGTGTGTATGCTGTACACCTAGTATAGTCTGTACTGTGAGTTTTAGCTTTTAGGTCTCTTAAATAATTATTTGCATTAGAAACCTTCCGTCATATTTTATATTTGGATTTTTTAGTGTTCTTCCTGACTATTCTGCTGCACAGTATGCAGATATCAGATTTGTTTTGATGGGCTTGACTTGCTGCTATTTCATAACTCTCTAACACCGGAAGGGTTGGCCTTACCATAGTACACTTTCCTGGTTTTCTTTTTACAATTCCCTTCCCTTTGTCTTGTAAGGGTTTAGGGTGACTCCTTATCACCCTTAATTTTGAAATGAGAATCTTGGGTTCTTTAGCAATAGACTAATATAAACTATGAAGTTTAGAAGAATATAAATTTTCAATTCGAGTAAATTTGTAAATGAATTTTATATTTAGTTACCTGATGAGTCAATAAATTATTAAAATTTCAAAAGATTCCTCCTCTATCTAAAGATCTTTTTTTCTTCTTCTTTGTTGTGGGTTTTTGATGATTTGGTAGTTATGTGATCAATCAAATGTTTAAAGGGAAGAAAGAAGTTCTTTTGGGTATGAGAGAGAGGGAGGGAGGGAGGGAGGGAGGGAGGGAGACGTCAAGCATTACTCATAATTTAATGCTATGCTATGGTTATGGATATTATTTCTAGCCTTTGAGAAACTTCATCATTCTATTTCCTATTCTTAAACATGATTTGCTTGTTGACATATTATATATATAGGAACGGCATGCAGCAGCACAGGAAGCACTCCGATATTATGATTGCAAAAATAGTTTTTGGTGCTTTGGGTTGTTTGATGGCGGTAATCATGGCCTATCTTTTCAGCGATGGTTCCCCTTTTCGCAAGGAGCTTTATACACCGTAATTTATACTTTTATTTCTTCCTTAATTTGATTGTTCTTTAAGTGCTAATGCATTTGAATGATGTTTAATTGATATGGCAAAAGAAAAAGAAAAGGAAAATAAAAAATGGTGTTGATACCTAAACCTTAGAAAGTGAAAAGTTATTACTATTCCATGGTTGCCTAATTGTAAATTGTTATTATTATTTTTGGTTAAAGTTAATTGTGAAGTACAACTATCACGAGTTGATTAGTGGTTAAAGGAATGAGCCGTATATGCTTTTTTCTATGTATTGGTGTTCTATATAATATAACTGACATAAGACTCAACTTGTTAGATATTACGAAGGTTCAATAAGTACCATGTCGAAATTGTCTACCATTTTCTTCTTTTTCACTTTGACCAATATGAGTTTATCTGGTACTAGCAACTTTATTAAAAAAATTTCCATCTTAGCAGCTCTCCAAAGAATAGTTTAGTAGCCACGTTAGCGATGCTTGGGATGATTTTAGGCGCAATTACCTGTCTAGGATATTAAATATCAGCTTGGCCACCTATGATGATTAAATAAGAAGGAAAAAATTACTTGCTGGCTGGTCATCTTTTTAAAAATGAGGGAGCTACTCCATGGGTTCAAATTATCAGGGCGGAGTTTATGGTCGTAAAGGAACAATAGGATCTTCCAAGCCTTGTCTTCCTTTTGAGGCCTTTAGTGATAGAATGTTTTAGCTCTTGGGTTGTGTAAATGTTTCTACTCAGTTACACTCTAAACGACCTAGCCTCTAATTGGAGATCGTTCTTGTAATTTGCGCTTGTGGCTTTTTATATATTTCATATCATCAATGAAATACTCGTTTTTTATAATTAAGGAAAAAAAAAGAAAAAAAGGAAAAAAATACTAGTTATTGAGAACAAACCATGGAAGTCTTTGAAAGTGTTTTTGAAGGAGCAAACAATTTGATGAGTTGAGATCTCTTGAGCTCTATAACAATAAAGGGTTTTGGATGAAGATGTGATCTAGATTGTAGGATATTAGAACCTTGATATGGAAGAAAGCCAAGCCTTGGCCTTGGAAGATGACAAAAACGTTCTTCCAAGAAGCCAAAAGATTACAAGGACTATAATTTTTAAAGGAAAGCTTTCTAGGGGGTTCCCTCTACCCCTGCCCTTAGGCTGTTGCCTTTTTGGCTTTCTGCTGTCAGTAACGTTCTCTTTCTCTAAAAAATGAATTTTGAAAGGAAAGCAACATTTAGACCAAGACAGCCTTGTCAATATAACCGAGTCCAAAAAAATAAAAAGGCTCTCCCTTGTTGAAAGTTTTGTTATTTTTTGAAGCCAAGTGGCCCGAACGAAGGCCCTGTTAATCTGAAGCTGAATAGTCTTGCTCCCTCTAAACCCTAACCAGTATACTTGTTGAACTACAATACCAAACAGATTGGAAGCTAGGAGTTATTGTGATAGGATCTCGTCAACAACCTAGACCAAATTCATTGATGGTTAGTTTAGTCCATCATACTTCTCTAATCTGCATGTGTATTAGAGATATTAGTTTCATTACGGTTTACAAAGTCAGTCACAGATGATTACCATGGATAACCTCTTCCTAATTGGAGAAACAGAGACTCTTGCCTACTGTTATTAAAAGCTTGAAATCTTTTCCCATATGAAGGGGAGTGGCCTATGATATCTGTCCCTATCTTTTGAAGCCAATGCCCTTAGTTTTGCTTATGCATTTTGGAATACAGAGGTACATGAGGTGCAAAATAAATTAGATGTTTGGAAATGAGCTTCGGTGATTCTAAGATCTTTTCCAATCTTCTTTGAAGGTGTTAAACTCTAAAGGATGGGTTCAATGGACTCGTTTACATACTTCTGTAATTTGTCCATCATGAATAGCACTTATATAATTGAAGAACTAGATTCTTAAGAGAGAATCTTATGTTCTAAACAGTAAACAAGATTTCAAAAGATTAAAATATAAAATATTGCCTTGTCCATGCAATCCCAGGGTTTTGCTGTGAACAGACTTTGCATAAATCGTAAAAAAAATTTCTTCTTGTTGATAGAATATCCTCTTTTGAGATTTTGACCGATTATTATGCAGTATTTATCTCCTTTTAAAGGTTAACAAGCTGTTAGCACATTTGCAGCTGGATGGTGGCTACACTGGTCGACTTCTATATTAATGGCACAGCTTTATCAGTATGTATTATATTCCTTATCATTCTTCTTGCATCCCTGAGGTGGCAAATCAACCTAGATTTTTATTTCTGGCTCTCAGTCATTACTGTGTGTTGTAGCGTATACTTTATATTCTATCCACCTTTTCATTTATTTGTCTTGTTAAGATATTGTTGTTATATTACTCTCTTCATTTTTCTGTTATTTATTTTTAGTTTTCGTTAGAACTTTCAACAAGCTTATTGATGACCTTTAGCTGCTTGAGCTCCCCATGGCTAAAGGTGCCTTTACTTGGTCTAGTGGGAGAGACAGTCCAACGTTTTCCCTAATTGACAGATTTTTAGTTAAAGAGTGGATCTCCAAGTTTCAGAACTCAAGAGTTCAGAGCAAGTCACACATTACTTTTTTTTTTTTTTATATCCGTGTGTCCGGGCCAGCTTGCGCGTACCTCGACTATTCACGGGCAGGGCCAACCGTCTGACCCTACTACGTTTGGTTGACAAGGAAACTCGTAGGATATTAAATCCTAGGTAGGTGACCACCATGGTTTGAACCCATTCCCTCTAAGTCCTTTGCTATTTACATTGGCCTTCATTGACCACTTGAGCCATCCCATGATGGTTAAGTCACGCATTACTTCAGACCATTTTCCTATTATTTTAGACATAGGTTTCTTTAGGTGGGTTCCTATTTCTTTCAAGTTTGAGAACATGTGGCTGCTTCACAAGGATTTCCTATAAAAATTTGATTCGTGGTGGAAAAGCGTCGATGTTGATGGTTTGGCCAGGCTTTGTGCTTATTTAGGAGCTCAAGTGTGTAAAGCAGAAGATCAACGAGTGGAATAAGGAGGTTTATGGCATCAACTACACTACACCAAAAAGCATGAGACTATAAAGGAAATTGACCAAAGAGCGGGAGTCATTGCTTAATGACGAGTAGGGTGAGAAGGAGGAATTTTTCCTAATGAATTTCTACAGAAAGGAGAATATAGCATTTACAGAATAAGTGAAATTTAAGAGCTTAAGAACAAAACAAAAACAAAAACCTGAGGGTAGAAACATATAGTATGTTAAGCATTGGTCGAGGCTTAGGCCGCAAGGTAGAAAAATTTCAGGACCGATACATAATGGGATGGGTATAGAAAGAAAGTGATGTAGAGATTTCGAGATTTGTACTGCTCTATCTACTATTCTGGATTATAAGTATCACGTGGTTTTCAAAATTTTGTACATGGATATGTGACATATTGTTGGGGAGACCGTCAAATTAGACAATACAAACAAAGAAAAACTATACGAAATAAGATTGTCCTTGTAAACAAAGCTGAAGAAGCTACATTTGGTAAACTCTTTCTTTGGAGGTTATCTCTCCCGAGGAGTTTGTTAGTGAATGTAATAGCAAAATTATATCTCAGCTTGTGTTAAGTGATGGTTTTGGTTTCCTCCTCAGTAGTCTGTCCTTTGGGAGCTTGTATCCTTGAACTTTTTTCTAGAAGCTTCAAAATTGGATGATTTCTCCCTCTGTGTGCTCTCTTTGCCTTAGAAATGAGGAGAACATTGATCATTTTTTTCTCCATTGTAATTTCGCATCAAAGTGTTGGCTTTTTATTATGAGGGAATGTGGCATTTCGGACTGTCTCCCTAAGAATGTCGATGATTGGCTGATTGAAATTATACACGGTGACACTCTAAAAGGAAAAGCGAGGGTCCTTTGGAGTTGTTCTGGGAGAGCTTATTTTTGGAGTATTTGGAAAGAAAGAAACCAAAGAGTCTTCAGCGATACCTCTCAATCTTTTGATATTTTTTGTGAGAATGTACAAATTACTACGGCATCTTGGTGCCTTACTTATAGGAGATTCTTTTGTAATTACAATTTAGCCTCTCTTTCACGGGATTGGCAAGCTGTAATGTGGTAGTTTTCTGGGGAGGGCCTCCTCGGCCCTTACCCGTAGGTTGTTCCCTTTTGCTAGTTTCTAATATATATCTTTTGTTTCTTATAAAAAAAAAAAAATATATATATATATATATATATATATATATATTATCAATGAAAAGTTTGTTTCTTGTTAAAAAAAAAAAGGTAAAATTATATCTCTAAGGTTCAGAGGAAATAATTTAGTCCAAGGTAGGCCCACAAAAATAACATTGTGAAGATAGATACCTATGGCTTGTTCTATATCATTGAAGAATCTGTTGTCTTTATAACCAAAGATTTCAAAGAAAAGATCTGATACATGGTTCTTTCTTTCTAATGCCTCTAGTTTGAACTGTTGAAATTAACCCTAACATTCGGAAGAAACTTTACTTCTTTGCTCTCTTATGACTTGTAAATAGGTAAATACTTAAAATTGGAGTAGCTTCTTGATATTTGTTTTCATGACTTCATCTGTTATCTGAAAGCCGAATAACGTTATTTGTCCTCCTATATAAAATCAGGTCTGGATGTTCTATAAAGAAGAATCGTGGCTTACTGCAATCTTTATAGCCCTATTCATAATTTTTGGGAGGTAATCTGTCACTTTTGTTGGAAAATCACATATTTATCTTTCTTGCATTTGGAACCTGCCCATTGGTCAAGGAAATAATATTACATTTTTTCTCCACTGATGATCTTTTTTCAAGTTCATTTCTCAGCTTTCTTCTCACAAAATAAGTTAAAACGAAATTTCTCTTTGGTCCAGAGTACACTGTATATGTACATATATCTTTGCATTCTTACATTCATTTACATTAAGATGCTCGAGAAGACATTAACGATTTGGAGGGCGTACAGAAAACTTGCTCTCATCCATTGAATTTATATTATGGGATAGAGATGCCTATCCAACTTGATAATATTGTTTTAGTAACTGAAATTTCCCAGTCCATATGGGCCTTGGTGAATATGTGATGTCTTTTTCTTTTTAAGAAACCAAAAAAAGCTTTCCATCGAAGAAATGAAAAGGACAAAAAGAGACACACAGTCTATTTCAATAAAGTTTACAAAATATTACTCCAACTAGAAATGATGTAGCCGTATATGGCCTTAGTTAGCTTTTAAGTCTTTGTGCATAGCTTGTACTTGTAATCTTTTAAAAGCTTTCCTTCTACCGTGTAGTAACTTCAAGTTACTTTTAGTTTGTTAGATCAGAACCCTCTATAAATAGGGTTCCTTTTCATTTAATAAACATCAGATTGAAGCATTCTAAATTCCTTTGTGCAAGACTGCTTCAAGAAATAACTAGGAAGATATTATAATTACAAAAAAAAAAGGGTAAAGAATGCAACATGAATATCCCAACAGTTTATTCCTTCCCAAATTCTATCCAGAGCTCTAGAATATGTGATGTCTTCAATATGGAAGCTGTCTGCTGAATGTCATCTGCATTGCTGCCTGATGACCTTCCTTCCGTTTTTCTCTCTCATCTCTCAATTAGGCACATTCCTAGTTGATGGTCAGTCTGTTTTATAGAACTTTTATCATATCTTCTAATATTCTCAATTTGTCAAAATACAGAGAGACATTTTGCTGTATGCATGTGAGGGGTATAAATTTGATATTGGCAGTGCTTTTAATCAAAGTTATGTTTTACCTGTTCCTCCTTTTCGACATTTTACATATTGTGTGACATGGGCAAATCAATGTTCCTTGTTACATATAGTGGTGTTGAACTACATGGAATCCTACTTGTTTGTGCCAGTATAATCCGTATCCATTAAAAAGTTTATCACAACTTAAAAACTGAATACGTATATATGGCCGACAAACTGAATTTTGAAGAAGCTGCAAAACAATCAACTAGTTGAACATTTGATGGCTATAAATCATTAATATTTTGGAGTGTGCAAATCACTTTTATGCTTCATATATAACCCAAATGGGCATGCAAATGGCTCTGCAAATATCTATAATTACTGAGTGTATCTTTCTCCTAATATTTCAGCGCCTCTTCATTTCCCTTCATTGTTAAGGAGCTGTTCAAGCTCAACTCCGAAGATCCAGCATACCTTGTTTTATTCAAAAGTCCCAACAGGCAAGTCCATTCTTCTTGTTAGAGGGCATAAGATTGAAAAGATAATGAATGCTACATATTAAGCTATTAGAATCAATGCATTTTCTGAACTTTGATTTTTCTTAAGTTTATGAAAATGTGACCTGGAGGATTTTCACCTGCCCCAACTTGTTATTTACAGTTTCAACTGTAATATTCTGAAAAGAAAAAAAAGGAAATATCATTAACTCTTTGTATTGTGCTAGGGTGAGTTTGAATGTTTTAAAGAACACATTTTATTTGTAATCCATTATGAAAACTTTAAAGAGTATATTTAGAATGTCGGAAGTTTGTTGGGAGTTTAGGGAGGACAAAGTGGTAGTAGGTTTCTTTCCCACTCCCGACCATTACTTGTGGTGTAGTCAGACTAGATTATTTACTATTTATTATTACTATTATTATTTTTTTATTCAGGACTAAATTAATATTTTGGGATAAGTTTCGTTTTAGATAGATCGTGGTTGAGCTTTTTTTTAGTACAACATTTAGGTTGGGAATTGGAACTCATGACCTTTTGATCAGAAATAGGTGCCTTAACCAGTTGGGCTATAGTTAGGTTGGTGATTGTGGTCGAGTTATTTGTTCTTATAATGACAAAGTCATATTGACACATGTCTCAACCACTGGATTTTTCTTTCTAGTGGGTGTAATTTTTCTCTGATTTAGAGACTGACTTTGAATTCTTCTTGCACATCGTAATTTATGGTAGGTCAGAAGTAAGGTATAAGAGAACATCATCCTCATAACTCATAAGCTGCAAAAGGAAGTTAAGAGTGCTTCAGCTCATTCTGGTACGTACCAAAATGTTTACACTGAAAGCATAATCCATAAAATGTCATACATCTTGTTTGATAGAAGAGTTCAAATCTTATATTTCTCGTAAAAAGGTTTCATAGTACAGACTGACAGAGTGTAACTTTAATGGGTATATACAGAAAACAACCTTATGATGATAAATCTTTAGTACTGAATCAAGTGCTATGTTCAGTATGAACCGAGCATTTAAAGATATTTGAATGCAGGAACTTGCCATTGCTGCTGAATCAATTGATGGCATTTCTCTCTTTGTTAGAAAATATTTTAGGCTAATTTAGTCCCTTAGTATTTTGGTTATTATACCTCTGTTTAGTCTCTGCAATTACTACTATGAATGAGATGCTGGTATAATATAACTCATTAGATAAGTTTTGATTGAATTGATATCGTGCTATAGATAGTTAAATAAATAATAAACCTTCCCTATTAGCACTTCATTAGTAGTTTTAACGGGAAATACTAAATAGAAATATAATTCGAAGTCCAAGACATAATTGAAACTTTTTAAATAACCACTAGTCAATAAGAACCAATATAAATAATAAAAGGCTTAAAGAGAATGACCTCAAGCCATAGTCACCATCTACTTAGAATTTATTATCCTATACATTTTCTTGTCATCCAAATGTAACAGGGTCTTGTAAGAATAGTTGAGGTGCGTGCAAACTAGCCCGATACTTACAGATATTCAAAGGCTAGATCTATAATTTTACCGTATTTTGTCTTCTTTCGTTGCTTACCTATCCCTTTGTTTCTTCTTAGCCTTTACTCTGCCATATTGTTTCTATGGAATTTTTACAGGGAACAGTTGACGAATGTTCTCACCAAATGAACCACTCATCTTTTGTTTTCTGTAAATTAAAAACTTGATCTGTTGTCTCTACTACCTAAGGCTGTGTTGCCATGCAAGTTAATAGCTTGGAATTCTCTTAGGAAATTTGTGCCATTTCTTGAAAGTGAGCTTTGTATTATGTGTAACAAAAGTTTGTGAAATTTTACTTTCTTTTCTGTTTATATGGGCAAGTAAGTTTATTTGCTTACTTGCTTTATCATGTGATAATTAGTTAGCATGATTTATAGCCAGGTGTTTCGAAAATAGTTCTTAAACAAACTTCCAATCCGGGTATTAAATACCCTTCGTCACATAGACATTTCTATCTATAGGTTCAATGTTGACACGAGGGATGAATTGAAATTTCGATGTGAAAGATTGACAAAATATAAAAAAAGTATTAATAAAATATCACTACCATGGACATAATATTAATAATTTTTAACTTTTTTTAAATAGAGTTAGATTCTTATTTGTTAGTTTAAATATTTGGTATGAATCTTTTATTTTCATAGTTTTTCTAGAATTATACATCGACGTCGATATTTAAAATTTTGCTTCTGATAACAATGGAGAAAGATTTAGCGTTTTTTTCCTTTATTAAAAAAAGAAAAGGGTAAGGCGTGATTTCTTGCTTTGGTCTAAATTGATTTTAACTTAACCACATGTAAATAAACATGCAAATGAAAACAAACTTTTGCTCTGTGAACTTTTTAAATGTTACCAGGAATCATATCTTGATTCTCCTTTTACCTTGATAATCTGTTTAAAAATTAAAAATTTAGAAAACTATCCTTTATATATAAACATTTCTATATTTTCCATCTTTAACAAGTACTAATTTAAATTAATTTTATCTAGAAAGAATAAAACCAATTTAACTTATGTTTATACTTTCATATTGGTAACTCGTTTCCTCTTTAAAGTAAAAAACTCATATCTAGATAAACTTTTTTTTTTTCATCTGTTGGGGACAAGTATCGATTAATAATATAAATATAATTGTACATGTAAATTGAATATTTGAAGCCAAGGAAATTAATTAAAATAATGATCTCAAGATTCAGATGGAGATATTAGGTTTAAAATAAAATCCCAATTTACAAGGAGCTACGAGAACAAAAGCCTTTTGAAACTTATTTTCACAAATGTTTAATATTTATAAATTTTACACTTTTAGGTTTCTGGATTTAAAACTTTTTTCAAAATGTAAAAGATTTAATGTTCCATATTTGATTTTCTAAACATTAAATCATTGTAGGTTCCAAATCAATTATTCTCGTAATCTCCTAATTTACTTATTTTTTTCATTTCATTCCAATTGTACAAATGAATTTTTGCGCTCAATGATTGGACCATGCAAACTAGAAATACATTTTCTTCGTTAAAGGAAGAGATTACTCGATCTATTTCCGTATCTTTCATGATATATATAATAACTTGGGCACCTGTTTCAAATGCATGTCCCATTTTTTCACAACAAGATTATGAAAATTCACAAGAAGCAACCGGGTGTATTGTCTGTGCCAACTGCCATTTAGCTAATAAGTCAGTGGATATCGGACATACAAGCTAAAAACACATACAAGTTAACAGCAAAACATGAGTACAAAAGCATAAAAATAATCTCATTATAACAACAACCGTTATAACATAAACTTATATGGACATATAAACTATATCCGGCTATAGACTATAAGTATTGATTGCAACATGAAGAATCAATTCACCAAAATCAAGCTCATATGAACTTGTATATGAACTATAAAGTATATACATCTATATCTCACAACAATTAACAAATAAACTACATAATCAAATAAAACACTAGCATATGCTAAAATTCATAGACTAGGATAATCCCCCATATTGGAAAATTGTTATTAACAATACCCCAAACTCGAACACCTAAAATCGGAAATAAAAAACAAACCTAGAAGTTTTAAAATGTAAACGGTATAAAATGGGCTGTCAAACAATGATGAAAAGCGAGCGAATCGAAAATGAGTTGCCGAAGACGTACAGAAAACGAAGAAGACTAGGAGACGACTTGCCGGAAACAATGATGAAAAGCGAGACGGGTTGCTGCCGGCAAGGGACTAGGGAAAATGGAGAAGACTAACGGAAAAAATGGTATTTTTAATGAAGAAGACGAAGAGATTTGGATATTTGGGAATTTTTATTTTAGAAAAGTAAAAAGTTTGCCCAATTTAAAATTTAACCTCTCAAATCAATTTCCATAATTTAATAATATTTAAATGTATATAAAAAATGATATATTGGTAAATGTTGATGGAGGTTTATTTCAAGACGATCTGAATTTTGTAGAATGAATTCTTTATAGGATTATAATATCCAAAAGACCTATCAAATGTACTAATCCCAAAACAAAATTGAAATCTTATAATCCAAAAAGGTAAGTTTCTGGGCGCAAACTCAAAGAACCAAGTATGGTTGAAAAAACTTGCACATGAGATACGCTACCTTTTATACAAACTCGCACATGATTTAAATATTGAAGTGTATTGTTGAGTATTGTCTCTGTATTTATAGGTTTTGTTGAACCCTCTTAATCGGGCTCAAATTTAGAAGATATATTATAAATGACAAAAAAAAAATTGTCAATGAACAAGCATGGTTTATGAAAAAAAAAACTAAATTATTATAAAATAGACTATTAATAATTATGATTTTTTTTTCTTTTTGAATAGATGAATATAGATATATGAATTAGTTGAGCTAAATTCAGGATATCACTTAATTATATCAAATGATTAAAATTTTATGTACAATTTGGTCTTAACCAGGGGAAATAATTGTCCCACCTTAGTACAAATTATATTTCCTATTGTTTATTAGTGGTACCGACCAATTTAAATAATCAATTTGACTAATCGCTTTTGTATTTAAAAATGGAAAAATAAAAAGACCAATCGCCTTTATTCGACTTGGTCTTTAGTGGCAGAAAATAAATAAATAAAAAGAATCAAAGTGACACGTGGCGTTCAGAGAAGCTTGAAGGTGTACCGTAGGGAAAAAGGGATTGACAACAGGCAAAAAGTTCCCGAAACGCCACGCGGTTAAGAATGGCCCAAAAGCGCACGACAACGTGATAAAAGATACGGCCTCGGACGCCACGTCATCAGCGGAACCGCGCTCTGTTCCAAACGCACCGTTTTGGGACCCCCCGCTTCTCTCTCCCACGTATAAATACATTCGTTTCGCTCCGTTTCGCTCCCTCTCTCTCTCTCTCCCTCTCCGTGGAGGAACTGAAGAAGGAAAGGAAAAAAAAACCCAAAAAAAAAACTTCGATTTTCCATATTTAGAGAGTTTAGAAACCCTAGTGTTTCTTGTGTTCTTGTTTGTTCTTCCTCGCTTCTTCGATCGCCCATCCGTAAACTGCCTCCGATTTTCAGTCTTCTATCTGTTTTAATTCCGTTTCCGCCGATATTTTTTTTGCCCCGAGACGGCGATGGCGGCTGCAGTTCAGGCATCGGTGACGGCCGCACAAGTTCAGCCGGCGGCGATTCCTCCTCCAGTGGGCTCTGCGGCCACTGGAGCCGGGTTTTTGAGTTCGTCATTGTACGTGGGCGATCTGGACCAGAGTGTGAACGAGGGACAGCTTTTGGAAGTGTTCGGCCAAGTCGCTCAGGTTGTCTCCATTAGGGTTTGCAGGGATCAGACGCGCAGGCAATCGCTTGGATATGCTTATGTTAATTTCAGCAATCATCAGGATGGTTCGTCAGTTTGTTCTCCATCTTTCCTAATCGTTCTTTACGTTTCTTCGGTGGATTATTTTCATTTCTCAATGCTGCGCTTGAGTTTGTTCTGATTTTCTACTCCGAATATTGCATTTATAATTTAAAAAGTGAGAATCACGCTATCATTTAATCTAATTTAAAATGTACATGTAAAGAATTATCAGTCGCAGAGAATCTGGAGTTCATTGGTTATTCTGTTTGATTGTCTGTGCATTTATATCGGAGAATTTTGATTCTGAATGATTCTGTAAACCAGTGATGATTAATTTGTAAGTGACGAAATATGCACACTTTTTCTGGACTCATATTTTAGTAATATAATGATTCAATTTTAACCCTTAAGTTTTGATTTCATGCCATTCAACCTTGAATTTGAATAAGTAGTAAAAAGTATAATTAAAAAATTTCTCAACACTGAGCCCAATAAAACACATCCAGTTACAAAAATGCGTAAAACCCAACCACATAACATACGAGCCCAACCATAAAACAAATGAGAAAAAATTTAGGAAAAAAGAAAGTATGAAACTAAACCCAACACCAAAGTCCAAGTTAGAGCAAACCCTGTACACGGTCATAAAAATTAACACTCATAGAAATAGTCTCAACCAGCCATATGACCATCCTAACCAAAAAATATTTGTAAAGAGGCAACCCAACTAATGAAGCAAATTACTTTCGTCTCTTGTTCAAGTTCAAGTTAAAATTTTTGAAACAATAACTTTACTGTTGAATTTGACTAGTTCTCCTCTAGCTATAGGGGTAAGGAATGATATCATTTCCCCTTTTTCGATTTGTGTTAGATCTTAGACAAATTCAAACATGCTTAACTACTTTGTATATTTGATTAATAGATTTGTCTTCTTCATAGCTTTCTTTAGGCTGAAAAATATAATTTCTTGATTGTGATCTACTGTTGCTAGTAACTGTAAATGATGGGCGGGCATGTCAGAACATTTAGTTTATGATTATTGTTCAATTTTTGAGTTACATATTCATTCATCCAGATATGAACTTTATAATTTGCAACACATATTCAATGATGTGATAATTGGAGATATTTCTTTATAAGCATCTTTTGGGACCAATATAAATATTTAATCTCTTATTGTTTCCTTCCATAAATTCTCAGCTTCCAACGCCATGGAACTTTTGAATTTCACCCCTGTTAATGGGAAGCCTATCAGGATTATGATTTCTAATCGAGATCCAAGCATTCGGAAAAGTGGACATGCAAATGTTTTTATAAAAAATCTGGACATATCAATTGATAACAAGGCATTACACGATACATTTGCTGCCTTTGGTACTGTTCTTTCTTGTAAAGTTGCTGTTGACAGCAATGGTCAATCAAAAGGTTATGGATTTGTACAGTTTGAAAGTGAGGAAGCTGCAGAAAGTGCTATTATAAGATTGAATGGCATGCTGATCAATGATAAGCAAGTTTATGTTGGACATTTTATTCGACACCAGGAAAGAATTCGAGCAAATGGATCGATGTTTACTAATGTTTACGTGAAGAATTTACCAGAAACTACAACAGACGATGACCTAAAAGATATTTTTGCTGCACATGGTTCCATTACTAGTGCAGTTGTCATGAGAGATTCAAATGGGAAGTCCAGATGTTTTGGTTTTGTGAACTTCCAGACCTCAGATGCTGCTGCTGTAGCAGTTGAAAAGTTGAATGGTACTATCCTTGGTGATGACAAGGTTCTGTATGTAGGCAGGGCTCAAAGGAAATCAGAAAGAGAGGCTGAGTTGAAAGCAAAATATGAGCAGGAAAGACTGAGTAGATTTGAAAAATTACAAGGTGCTAATTTGTACATCAAAAATATTGATGACCATGTCGATGATGAAAAGCTTAAAGAGTTATTCTCTGAGTTTGGAACAATCACATCATGCAAGGTTCGTTTTTGTTTTGGCAATCTCCCTTTCTGCTCTCCATTTTTTGTCTTCTATATACCATCGGAACCTATTGGCCAACTTTTGTCTATATAGCTGCTGCATGTCGATATTTCGTTGATCGTTGATCTCAATGCTTGATTGTAATTATTGCCAGGTTATGCTTGACCAACATGGGCTGAGCAAGGGGTCTGGTTTTGTAGCCTTTTCTTCATCTGAGGAAGCGACAAAAGCTGTAAACTTTTTTTCTTTGAGATCCATTTCTGGGTTCTTTATCAGAATATGATATGAAAATTGAAACTAATTTTTTTAATTTTTTTATATGTACTCTTTTAGTTAAATGAAATGAATGGAAAGATGATTGGAAGGAAACCTCTGTATGTAGCTGTTGCTCAGCGCAAAGAAGAGAGAAAGGCTCGGCTGCAGGTGCGATTTTTTTTTTCTTGGGAAATGCCCATATCATTCTGAGTTGTTTTCCTCTGATGATTTTTTTAACGCAAATGACATACATTGATTATTTCGTGATGCTTTATCTTGATGTTATTTTAAACCCCTAAATTGCAGTTAGAGGTTTCATTTATAACCAATTAGAGGTTTTTTTGGAAATCAATTATATGAATTTTCATGGTCCTGTGTGGTTGATGGTGATTGTGCCTCACTCTCAATTTTCATATCCAGCTATAGCATGCTTTTCGAGCAGCACATTCTGATGATAGCATATTCTTCGTGTTCAGGCTCAATTTGCGCAAATCCGAGCAGCTGGTGGAATGTCATCTTTGCCTTCAGGAATTCCAGGATTTCATCCAGGGGCACCAAGACTTGCTCCTCAGCAGATGTATTATGGTCAGGGTAACGGGCTGGTTCCCCCACAGCCTGCTGGATATGGCTTCCAGCCTCAACTCATGACCGGGATGCGACCTGGTATGGCCCCCAACTACATGGTGCCTTATCAGTTTCAGAGGCAAGGACAACCAGGGCGTGGCCCCGGAATGAGGCGAGGCGGAAATTCGCAACCGGTTCAGCAGCAGCAGGTAAAGTGAATTATGTTGTTAAGATCTCTGTCTACTAGTTATTATATTTTTTTGATCCATCTCATCCATGGAGATACTATTTGGATGTTTGTGCCAAGCTTATCTGAGCTTGATTTTGCATCACTCTGAATTCAACAGAGATCTATTAAATTTACTCACTTCTTTAACCCAGTTGCTGATCCAAGTGCTCCTGAAGTTTTTTCTTTTCTTCGGATGTTTGCCTATAAATTTGTTGACTCGTTTTTGCAAACCCAGATGGTGCTCCGTGGCTCTGGACAAGGTTTTAGATACATGAACAATGCACGAAATGGTTTGGAATCGCCCGTCCTGCCCCAAGGTCTTGTTGGCCCTCCAATGATGCCTCTGGCTTTTGAGAGTTCGGGAGTGACTAGCTCCCCCATCGACATCCAGCGATCAAGGACTGTGCCTACTTCAACACTTGCTTCTGCATTAGCTTCCGCTACGCCCGAAAATCAGCGTGTGGTACGTTATCATTTTTCCTCCCTTCATTGTAGAATATGAAACCATCTTTGTAAAAGACGAGACATATCATTGACTGCTGTACCTCTTCTTCTACATTATATCCTTTTACAGATGCTCGGCGAGCAGCTGTATCCACTCGTGGATCGCCTCGAGCCAGGTCATGCAGCAAAGGTTACTGGAATGCTGCTGGAGATGGACCAACCAGAGGTGCTCCATCTCATCGAGTCACCGGATGACTTGAAGAATAAGGTGGCCGAGGCTATGGAAGTCCTCCGCAAAGCTACATCAGAACCCGAGCTTACTGATCAGCTCACTTCACTGGCCCTGAACAAATGAACAGAGATTGAAACAAATGAGCACAGGTTCCCTGACCTTCAATTTTCCTTAGACCATTCTTTATGCCGCATGGTGAACATAATTTCTGGTTGGGTTTTATCTTTTTTTCTCCTCTTTTAGCTTTCCTCCTTAAATTAACTCTCTAGGATACTATTTAATTTTGCGAGGTTTTGTTTTGACCGGCTGCATTCATTTATTTTATTCTACATTTGGATGTTTTAGAATTTTGGTACTCTGGAGTTCTGTTTTGACAATTATCTAGTTTATTGGGATTTAGGACTATGGTTTCATCTTTTTGTTATTGTTATTATTTTGATTCTGATTTTATGTTCTTATGATCTTATGGCTCAAGATTTCAAAGCTCTCTTGACCAGCTATGATATTAATGCTAAAATTAAGCATGACATCAAGGAGTCTGAAATTGAATTTAAAGGAAGTAAAACGTATTCAATTAGGGTTCTTGAGGATCTTGCCCATTTCTTCACTTCTTCCTGAGATCGATTTTTCATTTGAAATCGGGGTGGATATCATCTTCAACCATTTCATCATTTGTCATCGTCTTCAAGATATCCATGCTCGGTTCTGTTGCCATATTTTCTCCATTGTTGTCTTCTTCAGTTATGTATTCACTCCACTTGGAACTGGAAGGTCCTCTTATCTTCGCCATTATGCAAGCTTTTGTCCTTGCCTTTTCTTCGTCTTCTGAGATGCTTTGTTTCCATTTTGATGGCGACTCCCAGTTTCGAATCTCATCTGCAATTTTACGGCCGTTTTAGCTTAATCTTTCTCTGTCTTCCGACTTACACTCACTTAAAGTTTTACCTTGGGAGCTCAAATCCTTGGCCATGAGTTTCCTCTTTGAGAAATTTGGTTCCAAAACTCCGTTTCTTGATCCATCTTCTGACCAGCTTGAACGGCACGTTAATTTGGATTTACTGGCTCTCACTTCTGGAAGCTCTGTCACGATCTCTACGTCGGCAAAATCACTCCCTGCTCCAGAAAAAAAAACTAATCATCTGATGAAGATTTTAGTTGTGGAGTTTTCGAATAAACAAATGGTAAAATAAGCATTTACGAAATGTGTGACCTATTTCTGGTTCGTTTCCTCTTCCACTTTGGCTGCGATCTTCCTCGAGATCGAGGTAAGCACTCCAATCGCTACGCCTTTTCCTCGTGCTGCAGGCAAGCTGGCCGTCATCAACAATTACTCCATCTACTAGTACTATCTCCTCGACTTGCTTCTGTTCATCCGCATATTTCCGAGACATGTTGAAACTCTGTACGAATTTACGGACGTCTTTAGCCATTGGAGCTCGAGCAAACACCTTCTGCACCGATTGCTTCTCGTTGCACACTGCACAGTTCCATTTATTCCCGCTCCTCCGCTGCTGCTTCACCTAAATCGGAACCACCGCCATCATAGATTTTGCAGAGAGAGAGAGATAGAGAGAGGAGCAGAGAAAAACAGGAAGGAGATCTGTACCTGCATGGTGGAGCATTGGAAACACTGGACGGCGATGAAGATCGTCGACATTTGCTTGCTTCGAAGTAAGCTTCCTCGATTCTCCGATGCTCTCTGTAGATTTCGATCCGGATTTCGACTTCCTGTGCTTGTGTTTCGATTTGGAGGGATCAGTAATTTTGGCGCCAAATTTTGGTTATATTTGGGAATTTTGGGCCCATGTCTTAACTCGTGGCCCATTTTGGTACCTGCATCATTTCGTAACTTCAAAAATCAAATCGCCCGCGTTTCTCCGTAAAGCCGGCGTCGGTACGGTATGCTTCTTCCGTTATAAAAGTATCTCATTTTCTCGGCTAAATATATTTTAGTTTTTATTGCCTAACAAATTTAATTTAGTTTCTTATGTGAAAATTTTTCAACTTTGTGCAAAATGCTCAAAAGATTATTAAAAATATAAACATTTTTTCGTTGATTTTGAGAAAAAAATGATCAAGGTAATACACAATCTCTTGAGATAAGATAGTTCTGCGTACATTGTATAAGAGGCGGGTATTTCTATTTATAGAAGTGAACTTCTAATGCGGCGTTTTTTCGGGTAATGTGTTAGTGCCTTTGTGCCTTATGTGTAGGTGCTCTTACTTGATGTATGTTAGTTAAAAAGTTGAATATGGTTGATCTTTCTTTGTCGAGCTGCTTTGAGTTGTCTAAATAGAAAAATTATTTGAATCTTCCCAAATCTTTGATGTTATTTAATGGGTGATTCCAATATTTCAAAATCAATGTTAATTTTTAATTTAAAAATAAAAAGTTTTGTCTTTTAAAATTCGTTTTGAATTGAGAGGGTGAGGTAATGAGGTTTCTATTGTGGGAAGAGATAACGTATGGAAGACAGATTAAGAAGGGAGAGGAGACTAATTATTAATTAACCAATGATAAGTAAATAGAAAAGCAATAAATAGATGAGAGATAAATTTTTGTCTTTTCGCGCATTTTAAGTCAACTCACAATCAAATACGTTTATCCTAATAATGACAAACAACTTACCAACTTTACTATATAACTTCAAAATAGCTTCTTTTTCATAATTATTTTCTTTTTAAAATACTTTTCGAGAATATAGGAGTGGGGATTTAAAGTTATTCAAAAAAGTTACTAAGTTTGAAAAAAAAAAAACTAACATACTATCTTGCTGAGTATTATTACGAGCCGAGTGACTATTTTTTTTCATTTACAAGTAAAAGATAGAAATATAAAAAGAAAAAAATATATTTATTTTAGTTTTTTATTTCAATTTTTGTTGATTTTAATCCTTATAACTATTTTGGTCCTCTTTCTATTGGAAAATTGAAAGTAATCAATTTGGTTTATTTATAATTTTGAACACAAATTTTATACCAAATAAAAACTATTTAATACAAAATGATGACTATGTTAAAAAAAATTAGTGAGTAAATGTCATACTAAATAAATGAGATAAAATGAGAATGAAGGTTCGATTCCAAAATAGATATTTTAAAAATATATGAATTAAAATAAACTAAGAATTACATAACCATTATGGTATTTAAACTCAATAAAAAAAATCCTTATAAATACTCACTGCCAATCATAAATATACCATGAACAAGATAAAAAAATAAAAAAATTTAAATAGCCTTTATTTAGCACTATAGTCTTTTGAGCCCAGAGAGTGGAATCTTGTTGGAACATACCATTTGTTCAAACTATCCCTACCCTCGTTCATGGCGGTACACTCTAAAATTGAGACAGTGCTATGGAACCAGGACCAGATTTCGGCTCGAGTCGCCGACATCGCCTCCCGAATCTCTCTCGACTTCCCCGCATTCTCTTCGCCGCCGGTCCTCGTCGGCGTCGCCACCGGAGCTTTCGTCTTCCTCGCCGACTTGGTCCGTCACATCAACCTTCCAATTTCTGTTGACCTTGTTCGGGTTGAATCCTACGGTTTCGGCACTCACTCTAATGGCGCTCCGAGAATCTCGTCCGACTTGAAGGTCGATGTCAAGAACAAGCACGTAATTCTGGTATCTGCACAAAATCTTACCCGCTCCGTCTATGCTTTTGCCTAATACTTGTGCGTGTTCTGTTCGCCATTGAATCACTTGAATCGCTTGTTTTTGCCGATTGAAAATTTCGCATGTTTGATGGTCACGGTTTCATGGTCGCCATGAACTCTTTTTCGGGGATTTTCTTTGCTTTCGCCTTTATACTGATGCACGGTGGAGTTTGTGGTGACTGAGCGTACTTTAAGGAAATTTTGCATGTCAGGTTTCTACTATTATTAGGGTGGCGTGGGAACATAAAGAAGAAAGAATTTAAAAATTGGGGAGAAACAATTGCATAGGGTCGATGGAACTGAATTCCGAATTCTTCACATTTGGGTATATGTTTTAAAGGCGATTAAAATCATAGTCTAGATCAGATTATGTCATTTAAGACAATTATATAAACCTTATTAATTTGTACACTTTTTTTTTTTAATAAAATAAAAACAATATAATGTTCAATTTTCCTCATCATTTTCCTTCGGTTGATGTTAACTCCGTGAGTATCAACAGAGAGAAATTATGGTCTTTTGCTCCCTGTTTTCCACTTTTCGGGATCTCTGAATAGAAATGAATTGTAGATCCATTTTTTTTCCTTTTTAATTCTTACTAATTGGAGATCTATTTGTACTTTTCTTGACTTCGGGTGGAATTTTACCCTCTTCCCCTAGTACATCTTTTCTAGCTGTTGGCATATTGATTTGTTTCCTATCTAAAAGAAGAAGGGGGGAAGAAAGTAGATGAAAGATTCTCTCAACAACTTGTCTGGGCTGGGGGATTGCCCATTTGGAACATTTTGACGTTGGTTGATGCATCATTGAATTTCTATTTCTTGTTCATTTTCATATCTGTCTCTTAGATCTTAATCGTGTCTGATCTGTGACATCGAATTTGAGCTTATGGATCTTGCATGTAGGAAATCGTGGGATATGGACAGGGCAATGCCATGAATTAAATCTCCTTGAAACAGTAGGCTTTTGTTTCATGTTTTTGGGTATAAAATATGTGGCTTTTTCCATGTGTCAGGCTTTAATAGATTGATTGTCTTCCTGTATTTGGCATGGGTTATTGGGTTGACAAATGATAATTGACTGATACTTATCCATATATTTGAGAGTGATGAATTTCTCCCACAATTCTTCTTGTAAAGCACATTTAGCATCTTCTTGACTAATTTTGTAATGAATCTCCTATTAGGTTGAGGATATTGTAGACACTGGAAACACTTTATCGTGTCTCATTGCTCATATGGAGGCAAAAGGAGCATCATCTGTATCAGTCTGCACTTTTCTCGACAAACCAACGAGACGAAAGGTTCATTTTCAGCTAGTAGGCGAAGGAAAGTTCTACTGTGGGTTTGAAGTAAGATGAAATTGAATCGAACTTTTTTCCCCTTATAAGAATGCATATTAAACTAGAAACATTACCTGGCTTTATTCTTAATTGCATTGAAAATTTTCCAGCAAGTAGACAAATGAAAGTACCTCAAGTACCAATCACACGTTCTTCAGTTGCTATTACTTGATTCAGTTAAACCATTTTCTTATATAGTTTGTTTTGAACAGTGTCCAGATTACTTTGTCGTGGGCTACGGAATGGACTTTGCGGAGCAGTACAGAAATTTACCATATGTTGGCGTCTTGAAGCCCGAGTGTTACCAGTGATTCGATCGACCGTCTCTACAAGGGTAGCGATCTATTTACTATTTATGTGCAGTCTTTAAGTGTTGAACTTGCAATGTTTTCATTACATACCTATGAACCCCTTCCCACATTCATTGCAATGTTGTGGGGAAAATCAAGACATGATAAGGGAAATGGTACAGAATTTGAACATAGTTAGCTTTAGATGCAATTGGAATCTGGAAGTTTCAAAACTTTAGAGAGCCAATTCATGAGTTTCTACTTTTCTCTATGGTTTTTTTTCCCTTGAATTTTACTCTTCTGCACTTGTTTTCGTGAAGTATTTGCAAGTTCACAACAAAAGTTAGGTCCACTGTTTCTCTTTATTTTGCACTTTTGGAGGAATATCAATATCTTACGCATGTCCTTTGGATTTTGAGCTGTCTTGTGGAGGTTTCAATAAATCCACCTTCTTCAAAGGTTCGCTTTATGAACATCTTTCACGTGTGTCCATATAGGTTGAATTTTTACCTTTTAGCTAACAGTTGCGAGAATTCTAGCATATATAATAGCTCAGATTTTACTTTTTTTTTTTTTGCCCCCTTTTTCATTCATTTTTTGTATGGGTTGGTAACTTGGTTGTGTGCTTGACATTATTAATCTCTTTTTGTATGCTGAAAACTTAAATGCTTACTACGTTTTTTTTTTACTAACCACCAATAAAAATTTGAAAGCTTTTTAGTTTTATGAAAAATATAAAAAATATCTCTTTTTCTATATTTCCTTCTCGTGCAAGACTCTCTTTTGTTAACCATCAATAAAAATTTGACAGCTTTTAGTTTTATGAAAAATATAAAAAATATCTCTTTCTATATTTCCCTCTCATATTTGTCATTGATGGTGATAACTTTTTAGTTTTATGAGAAATATAAAAAATATTTCTTTTTCTATATTTCTCTCTCATATTTATTAAGAATTCAACGATGGTTAGCACAAGATGGATGTTGATTAGTAAGCATCTAAGTTTTCTTTTTTCTTTAAAAAAACCATGAACTATTTTAAGTGCCATATATAGTGATCACAATCACAATCCTTGCCTTGCATGAAGTCAAATTTGGGGTTATCCTAAGAAAGTTTTAATGTTGTTGGGTGTATTTCGATGTTCATTTCAATATGAATATTTGTCTTTGGTATGCTTTCATTTTTAGCACATATCTGATTCAAGATATGTCAATACATTCTTAATTTTAAGATAAATATTTGTGGTTTAAGTTTACATGTAGATTCATATGGCTGAATTAAGGCACTAACATACTCCGATCAAATGATTGATGAGAATGAGTTAAGATTGATTCACACTATTAGTACATGTTTTAATTGAGATTGTGGTCAATTGTTGGTCAAATTCTATAAATTCGATATTGCATCTTGAATAAGATAAAGAATATATTTTAATGGAGAAAATCTATCGACCTAAAATTTGAGGCGTAACAAGTATTTGGACTTATGAATTTTGTTAAAGTTACTTATTGTTGAAGATCTTTTCGAAAGTGAGTATAACCAAACATTTAATTTGTAATATTAATTCTAAATCTATCTCATTTTAGATAAAACTTAAGAATATCAAATCATTTGTATCATTTCTTAAAACTTTTTTTTAATATATATTTTTATTTCTAAAGTTAAGTGGACAAAGAATTTAATTTTCATTAAAGACAAAAATAATGCATAACCCTAATAACGACCTTATTAATTTTAAAAATAAGATTTAGAAATTCAAACAATTTGATGAACTGAAAAACCAATCTTCGAGGCAAATCGGGAATTCGAACGTCCGACGCAAAGGTACCGCACAGCGACGCCATGGGAAGCAGAACAAAAGCTCTTCTCGAGCTCTCGCGCCGCGCAAAACTCCTATTATGTCCAACCAATCCTTCTACGCTCCCCAAGCCCTCATCCTCTACGACTACTTCTTTAATTTCTCGAATTTATTCCTCTTCCTTCTCCAGAACCTCCGCCGGTGACACCGCCGCCGAGAATGATCGACCGCCGCAGTCCGACAGGGACTCCATGCTTCTTGAAAAGTTCAGACTCAGAAAACTCAAAGGCTCGTCGAAAATCACGCAAGAATCATCGAGTTCTACCTCTGCTGAGAAGGTAATGACAGGTTTTAAGGAGTTGGGGCTTTGTAATGAAGTGGCTGAAGCTGTGGAAGAAATGGGATTCTTCGTTCCTTCTGAGTTACATTGTGTAGGGATTCCTGCTCTTTTGGAAGGAAAAAATGTAGTGTTGGGATCTCTTTCTGGACCCGAAAGGGCTTTGGCTTACTTATTGCCTTTCATTCAGGTATTTTTCCTTCATTCGTTTTAATATAACAATCCATCGGCACTTTCTTCAAAAGTGCATTTGATCTAGATTTCTGTCACTTATCTGACCATTTCTTGGATTAGAATTTACCTTTGGATTGATTTCTTAGAATTTTGATGTGGTTCTTCGTAAAATGGGTACCTAGAAGCAGCTTATCCTGATAGATTATGTTCATCTTTTAATATATCTACAAACATATTCGCTTGAATATTAATATATGAAATAGGGAAGAAACAACATTGGAAGAGTTGAACTTAGGACCTAGGGTGATGGCATGTTGAATCTTCACTAAACCCATAAGCTTTAAGTTGATTAGTTATGATAATTGTTATCTTTTAATTTGTTATCAGCGATTCAGCATCATACATTCATTATTTTCATTCCCTGTTCTTGAGTTGTGAAATTGGCTAGAGTTGCTGTTCCCTCTCCACGCCTTTTATCTGTTCTACTTTTGGAACATTTTGATTTTCCCTCTATATTTGAAGAAACTAAGATACTAAATTGCTTGTTCACTATCATGATATATTGGTTTTAATCGTTATGTCTGCAATTGGCTCTTTTTAGAGTCTAAAAAGGGATGGAAAAAAGAATGATATAAGGTCCAAGCATCCTCGAGCCTTCATTCTGTGCTCAACGGCGGAGCTATCTGATGAGGTATCATTTTTCAATGTGAGTAAGATGTTAAGGGCAACTACAATTTGTTTGACATAGGATGCATTCTGCAGGTATTTCAGATGGCAAAGTTCATCAGTGGTTACGGGCAGTTGAAATCTTCAAGGGACAACAATTGTGCTCAATTAGAACTTCAGGAAGGAGGATCAGATGTCTCGATCGGTATGTTAGTTGGCACCCCTGATGAGGTCTCTGAACTCATCGAAGAGGGGAGTGTAGTTCCAGACGAAATCAAATACTTGGTATGTAGTCTACCAGCCACACCAAATCCTCTTTAAGAAGAATTTCTGAGTTAATAATCTTATGAACCTGTCAAGGTTGTGATCTTTTATAAATTTCCTCGTGTAACAGGTACTGGATGAGTTGGACACAATGTTCGATCTTGGATTTGGCCCCAACATTAAGAAGATTTTAACTTCATTAAATCATTATACGTCAAGACACTGCAATCAAAAGTGTCAATCTGTTGTGGTTACTTCAACAATGATAAAGGTTATTTCGTCAACTCCACCTCATTACACACTATAGAACTTTTGTGTGACTACACTATAGGTAGAACGGTTTGTGGAACGTTTCTCTGAGTTAATTATTTGTCTTATAAATTATAGATGCTACACGAACAACATTCATCTCTTGTGGAGTCTCTCAAGCGTGATGATGCAGGAGAGATTGCTGCTATGCTTCTAGAAATCGATGAAGATGAGGCATTCCATCTTATGGAATCTCCAGATACTATGAAATGTAAACTTGCTGATGCAGTCAAGTCGCTTCATGCATCCACAAAAGGAACTTAAAATTCATCATCAAATTATTTCACTCTTACTGAACTTTCAAGTGTTGTTATCATGTCTATGTTTACAGTCGTTGGTTAGACGTTGGTTTGTGAATATCGATCAGTTCTCGTAAGATAATGTCAAATGTGCTGCCATTGCCGTGTTTTTTGGTGATTCAATTATCATTTCTTTTCAAGGAGGGCGAGAGCGCCTCCGTAAAATACTGCAGGAGTTTGAAAGATACAAAGACTGCATGAGTGCATACAATTGTGAATTTGTGAGCTCTTAGGTAAGTGTTTCTTTTTTGACAACCACGTAAGATTCCTAAGGAAGAGAACAGAAAAACAAAAGAAAAGATAGATTTTGAGGTCCATATCTTATCATCATTTGACTTTTTCGTCTTGCAATTTGCGATATGTCTCTTCACTTCCAGGTGAGTAACGGATAGGGAGTTTTGGCAGGGGTTACAGCATTTCCATCAGCGTCGTATAATATGACGCCCGAGAAGTCTGGCAGCTGACACTTCCCACCCATGAGTATGTTCTTCTGCCATACAGCAGCTTGTTGCTCTCTGCTGAAGAACATTTCATCATTGCCATTCTCCAGCTCGGTGGCATTCGCTCGGTGCGTAGTCACAACCGTTGCTTCCTGGTTCAGCTCTATTACAGGGTCCTCAAACTCAAAGCCGTAATCCAAGCAAGCATTCCAGCGACGGCGCCATTTCCGGGCGTGGGAAGCACACATGAACAATGCAAAAGCACAGAAGAGAAGGCTCACACCAGCCATGCCAATCTGAGCTGTGCCTTGTGGAGGATGCAGTATTTGCAGTTGCCTTGCCATTTTGGGAAAATCTGAATGTTTGTTTTCTCTGAAGACTTTGTTTTGAAGGCTGCTTCTATTTATACAAGAAGTTTGGTTAGTGGGGCTGTTGGTTTTGGAGGTTTTGTTGACCTTTCTTTCCTCTTTTTTTTTTCTTTTACCCTTAAGCAGGAGGTTTTGTTGACCTGATTTGTGGTTTTGGTGATCATTTTCCACTTCTGCTTTTGATTTTTTTTTTCTTTTAAGAACATTGAATAAAGGATCATCAAACTTTGGGTTATTTGATAAAGAAAAATTTTTAGGTACTTAATTGAGTACTTATCTTATACTAACCATCATTAAAATTTTGACACAACGTAGTAAAAAGGGGCCTTCTTTTTGTCTTTCAAAAATAACTGTTAAATTTTATCACTGTGGCTCATATATCTTTTTCAACTTTTGTTTTTTTTTTTTATGGATATTCATTCTTTAAATATGATTTTATTTTTATATTTGTCATTGAAACGTACCTTTCTTTTAAGTCTAATTTCTTTAATTTATACTACATTCAGAGTTCACATTTAAGGATTTTTTCATTAATACGTACCATTTTTGTTTACTGTTTCTCATTCTCAACTTTTAAAAAACATAATCATTTGGTAACTATCATTTCTAAATGAATGGTTTCCAAGTGAAAAATTTTAGAAACAACAAAATTAAAAGCTTGTTTGGTAATATTTCGTTGTTTTATTAAAAAATCTAAACATTTGAAAACTATTTATGTTTACAGAAATAAACATTTCTTATTTTTTGTTTCCAATTTATTAAGAAAACTAAACCTTTGACAACTATTTATATTTCTTATTTATCATTTTTTTTAGAAATATTATCAAACGGGTTTTACATATATCTAAATATAGCATTAGCAGTAGAGGATAAGCTCATAAATTAAATTTGATATTAATTAAAAGGGAATAAAAATACCAAAAAAATGTACATATCCATCTAAAATAAAATACGAACTAAGCAATTAAGATATATTTGCTTTGAATAGGAAAAAAAAAGTAAGAATACAGGTGTAAAAGGGTATCTATTAGATATTATTATATTTTTTTAATTAAAGCATTTAATTTGCTAGACTAAAAACTTCTGTGAAAGGTTAGTTACGTGTAAAACCCTTATAAAAAGTATCACTGTAGCTTAGCTGAAGATTTAGGCTTCGTATCTCTCCGAACGGTGGTTTCCTCCTTCTTCCTTGTTCGGAGTATCGAGGAATTGCAAGAATGACTCATCGTTCACGCCTTCAACTCTGCAGATTTCTTCTCGGGAAATCTCAGGCATCTACTTCTTCATCTTCGCGTAGCATTCGGCGGATTCAGGACTCTGTTCTGTGGCCAAAATCTGAGTTTCCCAACGTATGGCGGGCAGGTGATCGCCATTTTTCAAATCTTATGAGGAAGAACCCTCCGTTCGTAACTCTTCAGTGTTTGAGGAGGTACAGTGGTGCCTCGGACGACTCGGAGCCCGAATTCGATCAGGTCAGAGAGGTGGACATGATCAATCTCAAGTTCGCCGAAGCGAGGGAAGAGATAGAGTCGGCCATGGAGTCTAAAGAGACTGTATATTTTGATGAGGAGGCCGAGTGTGCTCGGGATGCTGTGAAAGAAGTTTTGGAAATGTTCGAGGGGCTACTAGCGAAGTTGCCCGAGAGCGAAAGGAAGGCGTTGCAGAGATCCATGGGGCTGAAGATTGAGCAGTTGAAGGCCGAGCTTAAACAGCTTGACGAGTAATTGAGGTTCATGTATTTTATTTTATTTTTCCCCATTTTAAAGGTTTCCAATGGCGATTCATTTTTCTTATCTGATTGCTGCTTGTCACTGTGAAAGCAAGTCTGGCGTTAATAACTGAGCTCTAAGGTTTGGAACTGCGAGTAGAAACTTGTTTAGTTGTTTCTTCCTTGTAGTTTTGGAAGAAAAGATGCTGCTGCTACCGTCCCCCGCCCACCCAAAAAAGATATGTTGCACTTCATTTTTCCAATCTGAAATTTGTTCTAATTTCTATATGGTCTGGTCATCCTAGATCTTGATTGCTGTTTTGTAATTGAACTACCCATGAAAGCATCATATCTATATACATCTCAATTCAGTATGGCCTTGGGGGTAAAATAGAAATGTCCTATTTGAAATTATTAGTTTCTTATTCGAGATTTCACCGTGGGATCAATTTTCTATTGAGCTGGTTCTTCAGAATACTGTTGTGAGGATTATTTGGAAGCTTTGAAAAAGAGAAATAGTATTTAATAATGGCTTCTTGGACAGAGACGTCTTTTAAGTGTTTTTTTTTTTTTGTTATTATTGTTATAACTGTGTGTTTTTACGGGGGGAGGAGGGAGAGTTATGCTTGAAAAAATATATTTTTCAGTAACTCAGGTCAAGATAATTCTGAATTTTTACAGAATCTGGTGTAATTGGCGATCCAATGTTTTTCTTTTGGGGTTAAAGCCAAAGTTACAGAACTTTTTAATGTTAGGCTGGGGTTTAGTCATGCATGAAGTAGGAATAGTCTGTTTGGAATGAGTCTTTGCTGCAATTTTGTAACCAGTGACTAAATTCCTATGCAGACGAAATTAAATCCACATAAAAGGAATATTTGTATATTAATTTTATTGATCCAAGAAAGGGTAAGCAGGAATAAGATTCAACTTACTGCTGTCATCTTAATAGCAGCATTATATTAGTTCTAGAGGGTGATGGTGGATTGTTCCTGACTGCAAGATTGCTTTAATTTTGATTTGCCTATACAAAGAACCAAAACTTCATGAATAACTCATAGCTGGAAATTGTTCGTGAGGACAACATGACAACAGTACTAGTACTACAAGTTTTGCCCGCCAAACTACATGGTGGTGCCTAGTGCATATTAGTTTTTAACTAACTAAACGTGAGTAGATAACTTGTAACAGTGACATGTTTAATTTTTGCTCTAAATGTGGAGGGAAGAAGCATATTGGTAAAAAATATGACGTGATTTAGTCACGTTCATGTTCTTTTGTTGTCCTTTTATCTCTCAAAGTTCTGAAAGAGCCTGAATCCTAAAATGCATGTTTTACTCTTGATAAAAAAAAATAAAAAATAAAATAAAATTGCATAGACTCTTCATTGTAAGGGCCAAGCAAGACCTTGTCCTCTAAAGGCCCGAAACGCACTAATTTCCCTGCTGCTGGATAGTCTGAATCACTTTGTTGCAAGCCAGATAAGTGTCATATGGACTCGTCCATAAATTATAGATTGTAGAAAGTAGCCAATATGTGTTCTTCTTCTTGAAGTACGTACTTGTGATGCAGAGGGACCGCTCCACAAAAATTCTTCCAATACCACTTTCATTAAAATTCTCCTCATGTCAGCCCTGTCCTCTCTCGGCTAGGCTCCTAGTGAAAGACAAGAGACTGCTAACTTTGCTTTGGTATCTTTGCTAACTTTGCTTGGTATCTTTCTACAAGACAGCTAAGAATAGTCTGAAGACACCTCTGAAGAATAAAGGATTCAAGATTAGTATGTATTATTTTATTCCTAATTGCAACACCATATAATGGATCAGCTTTCCAAGTTAAAAATCCACCCACCAATGTCATCATTTGTTCAAAGGAATTGAGGAATTTCCAGACCACTTGGTCTACTACAACTTTAGGCATAAATTTCGGTTCCTGAATTTTCTAGCAGCTTGGGTCAGAATCTTTCTGAAGGACCACAAAGAATGATTTGATTGACGCCCAAACTAAGAAAAGTGGTTATGGTAAGGACTGTGCTTGAAATTGAGGGGGATCATATATATGTAGGAAAGAAAACTGGTACGTATTCATTGTACTTGTAAACTAAATATCTTTAGGCCAAACATTCGTTGTCAACTTACAATCCTAAAATGTGCTCACACTGGCTGCTGAATCTCATTGGAAAATTTTGGGGAGAAGTTAACAGGGACATATTTCAAAGTTATTACTTCCAAGTTTCAACAGCTAGATAGATAAACCTTGTTGTATGACTTCTTGATTTTCTGTTAAATATTTCAAATTTACATACCTTTTGCAGGTATAGCTGTATGCTTAATTTATAATCTGATTTCGTGCCTTTTTCAAAGATCTCTTTATTTCTTTCTGGGTCCAGTGTTTATTTACTTTCAATTTTCTTGCATAGAGGAACAGAATGATTTGTAACTAAAGAAGGCTGGCCTTTTTGTATTCCTTTCCTTTGATTTTTGTTTTTACTTTCTGAGATTGGGAAAATAAAATCAGTGATGATAATCGTTGTGCAGTTATCAATTGTCATTTTGCTTCATCTTCTAACAAGTGGTTAAGATTCTGTGTCCTATTGCACCGACACCGACTATTTCTTTTAAAAATTATTGCACCAACTTTTGCCCACAGTTAATTTTATTGTAGACTCACTGATTTATAATTTTATGCCTGCGATTGATTTTGGCTTCTAATTCTTAAAGCTTGATGGGGAAGAATGGCATTGGTGTTAGAGTTATTTGTGCCTGTAAAATGGAAACTTCTTCAAAATTTGAAGTTGTTCTAAACCAATTGGAGTAGCTTTTTATAGGATCCTGTGGCTCCTTGGCAGAAGATACTATTCTTTCCTTTTACTTTTACTTTCCTCTTCAATGTTATGGATACTAGATGCCCAACTCCAATATAAAATGAAAGAACAAAGGAGTAAAAAAGATAACAATTTACGAATGTGGTAGGGTCAGGTGGTTCTCCAGTGAGATTAGTTAAGGTGTGCGTAAACTGGCTCGGACACAGATATAGAAAAAAAAGATAAAAAGATAACAATTTATATATCAAAATTTAAAGTTCTAGATGAACTGAGGAACCTGTTTACAGGTGATGGATTTAGTAGTTTCTTTGAAGTCACAGCTGCAATTCATTAGCTTATATAGACTGAGATGAATCTCATCTTTAATTCTTTATATAGGTTATGAAATTTATGAAGTTGTTCATCAGGTATCTTGGGGAACTTATATTTTATTGACATCGGTTCCTCTCCATTGATGTATAGATTTTAAAATGATTGATTGAATAGAGCCAGAGAGTTATTTATAGAGTTGCAGATATTGATTCTCTGTCACTTAATCAAATTGATTCAGCAGAAGAACTCTCTTATCATCAACCACTCAGAAAAGGGAAATGAAAAAAAAAAAAAAAAACCTCTGAGAATTTTATGATGGCAATTATTATTATTATCGGTACAAACATATGGCAATTATTGTTGAATTAAGCTCATGTTGGCGATGACAATTATTAAGGCTATTGCACATTATTGGATGGGATGAGATGTATATGTGGTGATTACGAAAGAACTTCTAGCAGAGTGGATTTTTTTTTTCTTTTTAATAATTGGGAGTCAAAGTTTTGCTCTCCTACATTCATGGGTATCCGTGCTTCCCTCAATCTCCCTCAATCGAAGGTTCGAACTTAAGACCTTTAAGCCAATATGACCAATAGACCGTTGATATCTCCCAAGTCCTAAGGTCTTAAGTTTAAAAGTAGAAGGACTAAATTGAAAAATGAATAAGGTTGAGGGGTCACAAGTTTAAGGATGAAATTGGAAACGATTAAAAGTTGACGAAAACCATAAAAGAGAAAATGAATGATGAGTTTTGCAACTTTTTTTTTTACCACTATTTTGTGTTGGTGGCTTATATGATGGAAGGGTTATGGGTTGTCGAAAAGAGACAAGATTTGTGTCCTTAGGCATGTGCCCTCCACAGTAAAGGGCAAAATGCCCTCTTCTTTTTGCCTGGCCTGCCTTTTCACTGCAACAAATGACCTGCCCTACCCTACATATATTCAAAGAACACTGCCTCCCATTTTTATTCATTTTCAGATGCCCAAAGTTTATGGTTTGAGAATAACAAACCCTAGGGACAAATTTTAAAATTTTAAAATCATAAGCTCTGAATTTGTAATTTAACACGTATATATAAGGTTAAATTATAGAAGTTTGTCAATAACGTTCAACATGTTCTAATTTTTTCCTAAAAGTCTTATTCTTCTATTGTCAACTCTCAAGTGATAACTTTTTTCGTATTTACTTTCTTTTTAGACTTAATCCAAGCAGAAAATACTTGCATTTATCACCATGGAATATTTGACAACTCATTATTTAAAAAAAAAAAACTTTTTGTTTTTGTATTTCTTTTTTTAGTTGTCGGATATTTAATGGTGGTAAGGAGGAAGTTGTTCCTTATTAGTAAGGAAGTATTCCCAATTCAGGCAAGCTCCCACGTCAATTATTACATCATTTTAGATTTTGTCACATAAAATTTCCATTCAAATTGTGTTTTTTGAAATATGTTAACGATATATGGAAACTTTTGAGACGATACAGGTATTTTTGAAACAAAAAGTTTAAGTTCAAGAATATGTTTTTGTGTCAACTCAAGTATGATTCAACTTGTTCAAGCATGTATCCTCGACTAAAAAGTTGGAAGTTCGAATCTTCACCCTATAGTTGATGGTATTTTTTGTAATTTTGCCGGTATATAACCTGATGTTTTTGACCTAAAGATAATTTTCAAATGTGTGAAAAATTTTGAGAATGGAAAAATGCAGTGCAAAGGAAGTTAATCTTAGCTAGTTGAAGTATAGAGTTCAGAAATATGAAATCTCTTCCATAAAGCTAAAACTGTACAAAACTCCAAAGTTAAATTAGAAGCCACAAATATCTCTCTATCCAAAGCCTTTCCCTTGATTCTCACCCAAATATTTCTCGAGGAAAAGAAAGAATTATTTCAACTCAAGTTTGAGGATTGCTTTATTAGAGGTTGGGAGGTTTTGCCCCATTCTTCTGGAGGACTCTTTACCTCCATCAATAATGCTACCACTTCCTTCATTGTTGGCCTTTCTGCTGGAGAGGAATTCACACAGAACATTGCTATTCCAAGTGTTTGAAGCATTTCTTGCACAATTTGATCTGGAAGCCCTTGGAGCTTTGTGTCGAGTATCGTTATGGCGGGTTCGTAGCTTGCCATCTTCTTCTTCACCCACTCTACGATGTGAAGACCATCTCCGAGTTGTGTCTCGATTGCGCTGCGGCCACTTAGTATCTCCAGCAAAACGACTCCATAGCTATAGACATCACTCTTCTCCGTTATGTTCATGGTGTATCCATATTCTGCATTGGTTTTGAAAGATGATCAAGATCAAACACATGAAAATCTAATTGATGCAGAGATTAAATCTTCAACTTATAATGTCCAAAAAACATTGTTATAACATGTTCTTATCATGAGTTCTCTGTGTGTGTGAAATGATGAGTTGAAAAGGAAGTTTACCTGGGGCAATATAACCGTAAGACCCGGCTACTCTCGAAATTGCATGGTGATAATTTGGAGTGTTCATCAACTTTGCCAGGCCAAAATCTGCTAGATAAGCTTCATACTTCGAGTCTAAAAGTATATTATTGCACTTGACATCTCTGTGAAGAATCGCAGGCACACAATCGTGATGAAGATAAGCCAGACCCTGGGCCGTCCCGACTGCGATCTTATACCTAGTCTCCCAATCCAAATTCCTGTTTCCTTGCAAGAGTTGTTGCAGATTACCATTTGAAATGTAGTTGTAGAGAAGTAGCTTGACACTTCTATTGGAACAATATCCTATGAGCTTCACTATGTTGCGATGTCGAATATGCCCGAGAATTTGAATCTCCGCAGCACATGAGTCAATTGCTTCTTCATCTTGCTTCGTTTTCCACAGTTTCTTCACAGCAACTAATTCCCCATTTGGCATATCTGCTTTATAGACAACTCCAGAACAACCTTTTCCAATTATATTTTCATCTTTCATGGATTCTAAGATGTTATCTATGGTAAAGTTCAGCTTCTGAAAGGGGATGAAGGTCCAGGGATAAGAGAAATCCTCGGCAGCCGATGCAGAGGACAATGTCCCGGAATATTTCTCCGCCATGTACTTACGATTTCGTGAAACTAGCATCCATGAAGCAAAAATTAGGATGATAACTGCAGCAAGAATGATGGAGATCAAAGCTGCAGCTTTTGCAGACTTTAAGCCATTTCTTCCCATTGAACTCGAAGAACAAGTAAACCCATCAAGTGATTCACAAAGATTCAGGTTTCGATAATATGCATCTTCCGATAGGGTTCGGAAGAATGGCGTTACAGGCATAGGACCTGAGAAATTGTTGTAGGAGATATTAAGTGAAGTGAGACTAGTCAGGAGACCCAACACTTTAATATTTCCATAAAGCATGTTGTGGGAAAGATCGAGTGATTGTAACTGTGTCAAACTAGACATCGTCTCGGGAATTTCTCCGGTTATCCCGTTGGAGCTCAAGTCTAGACTGATTGACAAGCTCTTCATATAACCAATTTCTGGTGGTATGGAGCCAGAGAGGCTGTTGTAACTCAAATCAAGTAGAGTTAGTTTCTCCAGGTTCTTAATGGACTTTGGAATTGACCCTGTCAGCAGATTGTTGTTGAGAATAATTTTATTCAAATAACTAAAGTTTCCAAAGCTCTCAGGAATTTCACCAGTGAAGCTGTTTCGACTGAGATCAAGCTGCTCCAAGTTCACCAGCTCCCCAAGCTGGGGAGGAATTTCTCCAGTAATATAATTATTATGCACATCGAGTAGCTCAAGAACTGTGATATTAGCTATCTCGGACGGAAGACCACCTGAAAAATGATTCATATACAAGTCGAGAAAGACGAGATTTTGCAACCGGCCTACCTCCTTCGGAATCTGACCTGAAAGCTGGTTTTCTCCAAGCCTCAACCTCACCAGTGATTGACAATTCGCGACACTTCGTGGCAACCCGCCAGATAAAGAATTTCCAAGGAGCAAAAGCTTGCTCAACTTCTTCAAGCTGAAAATTTCTTCTGGGATTATCCCAGTGAGCTTGTTTCTTGAAAGATCAAGGGCATACAACTCAGTGCAGTTGCCAAACGAAGATGGTATGGTTCCTGATACAGAATTTCCCCATAAGAAAAAACTCTGCAGGGATTTCAAATTGCCAAGTTGTGGTGGTATAACACCTGATAATTGATTATTATCAAGCTGAAGGGCAGTTAAGCTTGAGCAGTTGCCCAACTGCCACGGTATCGTCCCCGAGATTGAATTGTCAGATAGATGAAATTGTTCGAGAACGACCAACTTCCCTATATCACTTGGGATTTCGCCTGAAAGATCATTCTCAGAAGCATCAAAAACAACAAGTGCAGAACAATTGGAAATCTCAGACGGTATGGCTCCTGATAGAGCATTGCCCCAGAGAAACAAACTAGTAAGCTTCTGCAACCTACCCAGCTGAGGAGGAATCTCACCATTGAGCTTGTTCATGTGTAAATACAAATCCCTCAGCTCAGAACAAAGTCCCAGTTCAGGAGGTATTGAACCAGACATCTCAGTATCATAGAGTGCCAAAGTTTGAAGGTTGATTAGGTTCCCGAATGTAGACGGTATAGCCCCAGAAAGGGCGGTAGCCGCTGCTCCAAACGTCGTGAGATTAGTAAGCAGTCCTATTTCTGGCGGAATCTCTCCGGAAAGATATGGATTCCCTCCGATCCGGAACTCTTGGAGGGACACCAAAGAACCAAATTGTGATGGAATGGAGCCGTTAAACAGATTGTCCTGGAGGCAAAGACTTTGCAGAGAAGTCAGATTAGCAAGCTGCGGAGGAATCTTACCAGACAGTCTATTGGAATTCAGGAAAAGGAATTGAAGTGAAGAAAGAGAACCAAGCTGTGAAGGAATGGGGCCATAGAGATTGTTGGAGGAGAGGTCCAGCAGGCGAAGATTGGTGAGTTGCCCAAAAGAAGGAGGGATTGAACCAGAGACATTGGTGGAGGAGAGATTAAGAAGTTGCAGAGCAGAGAGAGAAGACAATTCGTGAGGCAAAAACGAGAGATTCAGAAATGTTTTGGGGAGAGAAATTGAAATGACTCTGTTCTGAGGAGAGCAAGTGATGCCTTCCCAAGAACATGGATTAGGACTAGATGGATTCCAAGAAGCAAGAACAGAGGAAGACGATGATGCAGAAGAACCAGCAGCAGCGATGAGAGAGAGAAGCGCTTCTCCGTCAGGAGAGAGAGAGACGACTAATGAGCTCCCCATGGTTAAGCTTAAGCACATGGCTATGGAGTACAACAGATACCGGTTAAGAAATCGACTGATTGCTCCTTCCATTAGAGCTCTGAAATATGGATTGAACTTCAGAAAAACGAAGAAGGTTAAGAAATGTAGCTTGTCGTAAAGCTAATTACCGCCGTCGTCTCGGTGGTTGCTTTGCTTCAATGGCGGATAAAAGAAATTTACTCTCAGAGACAAAATGCATGTGAAATAGGGTCTCAACGGATGCTTAAATCGGACTCATAGGGCATGTGAACGGAAAAATATGAATATATTATCCAAAACGCAATCCCACACGCCGGAAAAAACTGCCTCAAATCAATCAAAGGCAATTAATGAATCATCATCATCAAAGGCTCCATTGCTTACCATGAAGAAACAGCGCCCTCCACCGGCGGAGCCGAAGCCAGAGCCGGAGATATTTCCACCGGCGGCCGCTTCAGTGCCGGAATCGCAATAGAGCCAATATTATCGGAGCAAAGTTAAACGGAGAGAAGACAAAAAGGCTAACTCCGAGGAGCTTGGAAAAGGTCCTCAACAATGGAAGCCATGGCAAGTGGTGAAACTTGAAAGTTGCTTCTTCTGCAGAGCTTTGGTACTGTTGCTTCAATGGCGTTCACACGAGTGCGATTTTTGCTTGGCGCTCTGGTTAAAGAAGTGTGCATGTTTATGCATTATATCATGGAGACTTGGAATTGGAACTTCTTTTTCCTATTTCCTGTTTTTTAAATGGAAACGGCGATGACTTTATTTTGATGCAGTGATTAATTAAGTTTTAAATATATATATATATATATATATATATATATTTACTCTTGGTTTCGGATCATTTTAATTATTGTATTTTTAAAATATCTTTTTTATTTAAAAAGTAACTATTTTGATCTCTATTTATAAAATTTTATAGTCGATAAAAACTTCTTAATATATCATTTTAATTATTGTATTTTTAAAATATCTTTTTGTATTTAAAAAAGTAACTATTTTGATCTCTATTTATAAAATTTTATAGTCGATAAAAACTTCTTAATATAAATTTATGACAAAATATAGGAAGTAAAATATCAAATTAAAATTTTGATTGAAATAAATAAGATAAAAATAAAAACAAGATTATCGATAATGAAAATATACATTTCAAACGTGTGGGATTAAAAAATTAGTTGAGTAATTGCAAAAACGAGCATAGCTCAGTGATAATTGACAATTGACATGTATGTTCAATCAAGAGATTGTAAGTTCAGTCCCCCGAAAAAAATTTAAAGCTGATTTGTACTCTACCTTTTTATTCACTTTCGTATTTAACCATCTCCCCACTATGTTCAATTTATATTTTCACAAGGGCATTTATGTCTTTTCATGGTATTTATAATATCACTTTGTGTACGAGTACGTGTCTATGCAATGAGCTGTGGGTATTTGTTTGTTATTTTTTATAAATAGATGTGATATTTGAGGGGTGATTTTAAGAAAACACTTCATTTATCAAAGATCAAAATACATTAAAAAAAAACACCAAGACGAATAGTTATGAAGACTCATGCATCAAAAAATTTAAATTATGAATTTAGCCTCTAGATATTGAATGTTTATATCTATTTTGTTTATTAATCTTAAAATATTTCAAATACATTTTAAAACTTAAATATCTTTTTGTTAAAATGGTAAGTTTTTCAACTTAGCTACTTTATCTAAACAATTTAGTAGTTCAAAAAAATATCAAGAAGGGTGTTTTAGGATGAGGATTTGAGTTTAAGTGACTTTAATTTAATTTAAGATATCGAATTCATGTTTGTCTCGTCGTGGGTTCGTCAACCCTGACAAATTACTGTTTCAACAATATCCTAAACTGGCCTACTCTCTCCAAACTCATGTTGTGTTGCATTTTTCTTCAATTTAGGTTTCATAAATTTGCACCTAGTCGAACATAAGTTTGTCAATCTCATGCTTCTTAAATCCTTCACTTACGCTCCCGAATTAATATTCATTGACTTAAGTTATTGAATTTCACACCCCAAACAATTATAGCAACGTGTATAAAGTAGCGCCAAGAGGTTTATTAGTACCTTTTTTCATACAAAGACTTATCACAATAATGGAGAGAATAAACACATTTGGAGCATTTGAAATCATCAACCCTATGTTCACACCTTAAGTATATGCTTCAACAAAACTTTAACAAGAATAGCCAAACTTAATACTACAAAAACGGGTGTGTTTCACAAAATATGGAAACATTTCTATAGTTTCCCACCAAGGATATCACCCCAACCTAGAGTAGCTATGTGGGAACTTAAAAATTATTTACTTGTCGGTGTGAAATTAACCACTTGATTTTTCGTGGTTCAGATCATTACCATCAATAAACTAAACGACAATGTGATATATATAGCAAAAGAAAAAAATTTCAAAATCTGATCCAATTTATTATAATCGTAGGTTTTCCAACAAGAATTAGAATTACTGCTTACATAACGAATATACTTTTCGTAACAGGTCACAATATCTGTGATTTTTTCATTATGAGTAGTCATTTATTGTGATCAAACAAAATAAGATGACACAAGAACATATTTTCTGGTTGGGACATAATTTTACTTATTTTAATAAATAGGAGGTTGGAATCTTCGTCTTATATTCATGATACAACGTTCTCAAAAAATAACTTCCACCATATGTTTTTTTTTGGTTAAAATTTACTAATATTACTATATTTTTATACATGTGATATTTTTTTATATTTTATCAATTTTTTATGTAATACTCTAAAAATGTGGATTAAATGTATAAATTTCAACGAAAATACCGACACCTCAGAAATAAGGGTAAAATGGGAATTTCGAGCCTAGGGCGGGCCGAAAGAATCAAAGATTTCAGGGCCATGTCCAAGGAGGTGCCTTGGGAAGACAATAATAAACCACCGAGGCTGTGGCTTCGTACATTGTGAAACCTTTTAGGGGATGGCATTTCCGTAATTTCACCCCATTAATAACCACCCCCCAAACGCGGCCTTAGGGCCGTATTATATTGGAGGGTAGCCTCAAAAGGGGAGCACGCTCAGTTCCAGCGCCAACCTCAGAGGGCATAACAGACATTTCGCCCCCCTTTTTACTGCGTCATTAATTACCCTGGTCGGTGAAAATACGAAGTTGAGGTGCAGGTTAGTTTGGTTACCGAGGTAAACGTGGTGGGTTTGTTTTGGGAACGGAGCAAAAAATTAAAAAGGAAAATTACAATTTACAAATTTCACATGCTAGAGAGAGAGAGTAGAGAGAGAGATTTTTTACTTTTTTAGGGCACAGAGAACGATTAGGGCGTGTTTGTTTGTTATGTTATGTTATGTTGAATTTTTAGCCGCAAATTCCAGGTTGGAGCCAAAGTTTGAAATGAGGTTGCCGAAAGACGGTTTTGCCCTCACTCCCAGGGGTATTTTGGGGATTCTGGTTGTGTGCGGCGCTGGTAATTGGGTGCTCTGCTCCATACTAAAAATTATCAAAACAAAACCCTAATTTAGATGTACTTTCTTTTTTTTAATTGTACTTGATTGGCTTGGCATTGGCAAGTCCCCAAGTCTAAAACAGTTAATAATTTGGTGTTTTTTTTCAATAAATTTTTAGATGCCCAATTGATCCTCATCATCTTTTTTTTTTTAATTCAAATCTTTTTTTTTATTTTAGATATTTTTATTTGATATTTAAGCTTCTTATATCATGTTAAATGTAGCACAAGAATTTGCAAAACTTTTTACCCTCCCTTATTATGATTTTCTCCTAAAGTTCATGGTATAGTATAATGAAATATTTACCTTTGTATAAATAACAATATTTTTATATTTTGACAACATTTTATTTAATTGGACATGTCGTAACTAAGCTATTATTTTTCTACTAACTTTATAAATCTTATTCTTATAATTTCTCGTGTTAGAATTGGCATATTAAAGTAAATTAATAAAGCATTTATTTACTTTTGTATAAATAACAATATTTTTATATTTTGACAACATTTTATTTAAGCTATTATTTTCTACTAATTTTATAAATCTTATTCTTATAATTTCTCGTGTTAGAATTGCACATTAAAGTAAATTAATAAATCATTTATTTACTTATGTCAACAATATTTCTAATCTAGTAGATGGACGAGATTAGAACTTTTAACAATGCATCAAAGAAATTGATGCAAACATAACAAAATAAAATAATCAAATTATATGATTTAATATTTTTAAATAAAAAGTGAATTAAATATTTTATTTAAATATTTAGATAGGGCAGCAGTTCTTGGCAACTTCTGGCTTTGGTGTCTTGGAGCCCCAAACCTATTGACATAGAGGAGGTGACAAACAACTTTTGGACATTATAATCTTTATTTTATAATAGTTATAGGTTTAAATATTATATTTTTGTTTATTTTGATTTTTGTATTTTTTAAAGCGTTAATTTTGGTCTTAGTGTTTTCAATTTTTATTCATTTTTAGTTTATGTATTTTCGAAATTTTGATTTTGATTTCTGTACTTTCGAAAAAATGATCATTACAGTATTATTTCTTTCTATTTCTTTAATTATAATAGCATAATGCTTCATCGACTAAATTTCTTGAAATGTGACTAGTCATATATTTGTATTAACAAAATTCATCGTGCATAAAGTTTTGTTTTAAAATTTTGCAAATAGATATCAAATTAGTCTTTTTCAAAAATACAACGACCCACATGAATATTTTGTTGTAAGTATAGAGACCAAATTAAACGTGTTGAAAGTACGAGATTAAAAAAGTGACTATTTTAGTTCATTCATTTTCATCTTTATCTCTCTTTTTAATCATAATTTTAACATGATACTTCATTTATAAACATAGCTATATATGTGTATTAAAATTTTCGTGTATAAATTCATGTTAAAATTTTACAAATAGGGACCATATTGGTCATTTTTCAAAAGTACAAAGACCAACACAAATATTTTGAAAGTATATATAATGATTAAAATGAACAAAAGTTAAAGTATAGAGATCAAATTGCACATTTGAGAGTACGAGAGACCAGGACCAAAATAGTAGTTAAACTTATTTATACGAAATGAATACGTATTTCTTTTTTTAATGTTAAAAATGACTAAAAGGTAGGTAGTAAAACTTTCACTTCATGACATAATAAAACAATATTTTTAATATATAATCATTCTTTTAAACCGTATTTTATATTATTTTTTAAAATATATTGTGGGATGTGGTATTTTGAAAATTTTTGTATGTATTTTGTTATTATTGTAAATTTAAAATTATCCGGGAGTATAAATTCTACATTTTATCTTTCAATTTCATCTCATTGAACTCTAAGTTTAGACAAATATTGTACTTGTTACTTTATGTTCAACATCGGATACATTTATCCACTAATTTTGACAAATAAAAATTTCTCAAATTTCAGAAAAACAAAAAAAAAACACTCTAGTTCTTATTTATTTTTTTTTTCAAAAAAACTTCTTTATTGAAAAACATGAAGATGAAAATGAAATAAAAGTGTATCAGGAAACAATTTTGAAGTAGAAGCTAATTAGGGCAATAGAATAATGTTGATAAAAAATTAAAAGTAAATAAATAAAAAATTCTCCCACCACTTTCTTCTACACAGACAAAATATTGCAGACAAATCTTACAGAATTTATGGCCTCAACTTCCAATTTTTAATTACTTTTTTTCCTTTTATCTTATAAACTATCCTTCCTGTTTTTCTGGTTTTTCTTTTTTCCAACAAGGATTCATTTTTTTAATGTAATAGACAGTAGACACCCATATTCATAATATCCTATTAAATAAAAACGACGAGGTGATATGAGATTAAGGGAAGAAAGCTAACCTTCATATAATAAAGGGTAGTTTACATTTTATCTATATAATACAAAAATGAAAAAATATTATTTTGGTCTACCTTCGATCTTAGTTGTACTTCCAACTTTTGTTTATTTTAGTCAATATACTTTCGAAACGTCTATTTTTATTCCTATACTATAGAAAAATAACTATTTTAGTTCATTCATTTTCATTTTTATCTCATTCCATCATATATAGCCTATAACTTTATATTTTTAACCACTTTTTAAAAGTATAAGAACCAAACATAATATTTTGAAACGATGGAGACTAAAATGAACAAAAGTTGAAATTAAAGAAAGATAAAAATAGTATTTGAACTTTTTTTTTCTTTTTTTCAAAAGATTAAAATGTTAAGATGACAAAGTACAACAATTACAAATATATTTTATTGTTTTATTTCTAGATATGCATGTGTAAACGTCCAACAAAATATGGAGGTTTACATGATACAGAAAAGATTTTGTTCATCATTCTATTTTACACCACAAACAATATTTAGGCGCAGGAGAATTGAGGCAACAGTAATGAATAAAATTCAACTTACTATGTAAAAGCTTACATAAAACAGCTGAACAAGACAGAATGATGTTCAAAATTTGATCTTTACACTTCCCATTCCATGGATTTCGCTATTCCCCAGGATCGAACAGGACCGATAAACGATAACGAAAAAACGATTCGTTTAAACTAAGGGAACTCTTGCCCGTTGAATACATTACCAATTCTTTCCAATGGAGTAAGGCATGTTTGGGAAGCATGAAAGAGAGATCGTTTAACTTGACAACTACCTTTCGAATTTGAACCATTTCCAGTTCGCGTACATGCTCGATTCGTTTTCAAATGGAAGATCTGTAGTCAGAACAGGTTCGGATGTGGGAATGCCTTCAATAGCAGGTAGCTTCTGCCTGTACTTCTTCGCCATGACCTCAGCCTCTGCAAATACCTTCTGGTGAAGGAGAAAAAAGAGCGATTCTCGTCAAATTTAGAAGAAAATGAAGTTCGTTTGTGAGAAAGATTAATGAGTTCTACCTCTTTGTTCAATATAAAGAGGCCGGGCTCGCTTTCAAGGTCTGCAATACTGCAAAACCATGAAAGCAAAATCATCAATTATAATAAGCACCAACAATGACTGTTAAATTGAGTAACATACTCCAGAGTTACCTTAGAGATATCTTGTCAGGAAACATTGACTTCACAACAAGAACTTTGACATTTTCGCCCACTGCAAGTAAGTCGCTCACGGAGGTAACTCGGGAACGGGTGATGTTTGAAACGTGGAGTAATCCGCTGAGAAACATTCGGGAAGATGCATCAATAGTTATAAACTTACAAAGGTTAAAATGAAAACCTGCATCAACACTTCTCATTGTATATTCCATTATCTGTTCTTGAATTCCATTTATTGCAATAAGATGCATTCTTCACTCTCTCAAAAATCCAGAAAATAAATAAATAAAAATAAAAATAAAAAATTCCAAAATATGGAAATGCAATTACCTTTTCGAAAAATTTCATTATTACCCCTGCTTTTCTCGGTCAGTCAATTTTAACATCAATCTTTCAATTTCATCCAATTGAATCAATGGTGAAATTGATATACAAGATTAACTATAGTGTAAATCAGGACAAGTTTGCAGGCAATCTATAGAAACTCACCTTCTGTTCGTATCACGTATTCTTATTTGAGCTCCATAAGGGAATATTTTCTTCACGGTTCCTTCTAGAAGCGTTCCCTCACGTAGGTATAGCGTTTCCTGAGATAAACACAACAATTTGGTTATTTAGAGGTATACTCCTGCAAAAATGAATGGAATGGAAAACAAAACGGAACGAAAACCGACCCAAGCTTGTCTCTCACTTAGTATCAAGTCATTCTTAGATTCATCTATTCGCATGATCTGCACAAAGATCCGACGTCCCACCTGCACGATAGGAGACCAATACAGTGAGCCGAGATCATCCATACCTTCCTTTCTCTGATGCAAAAGGCAACAATTTGAAGGGGTTTGGGTAATCATGAACTAGAACAGGTTGCATATCTGAGCTAGACAAGGCACGTTGTGGTAAAAGGTAAGGCCAATTCTCGGTTTTACATGCATATTATGAAATCATAATGTGAGGTATTATACTCACTTTTGGAATGTATATTCAAAGAAACAAGCCCTAAGGCGTTACAATCACCCCACCAATTCGAGATGGTGGGTGTTCTCTCCAAAACCGCTACAGAGTACTCACTTCCAAGATGCCCTCCCCTCACTCCCAGGCCTTCTTTTCTACTCCCCTACTATTCTATTCGTGGGCCCCATTCTCCCAAAACCGTTATTTCTTTCCCTTTGTACAAGTTACTCGATTGCCCCTAAACAATCCCCTTTCTACCCCTCCTATAATACGTTTTCTCAATCGGAGGCCTAACACATAAGCTTTAAATCCCGCTCTAGAATAGTATCACGAGTCAGCACAATGCTGGCCTCATCGTTTTACAATAAGGCAGTAATGTTGCTTATTATGTTGTGAGGAAATTATCCATAGGCATGTCTTTTTTTTTTATTGCCTAGTTCAGCATCACAAATTTCCCCCTTGCTTACATGCTTTTGCAAGGTTTTATAACAAATCTTGCAAAAGACTACAAAGTTAAAAGTGAAATTTACAATCATGGACTTCCATGATTCAGTTTAAAAGAAACGAATTGTATGGACAACTAAATAATAGAGAATCTTATGATCTAAAGCAAGTCTATGTTCTGTCCTAATAAAAGCGACATGGAAAAACATGAGGTTTGAACAGTATTGAGCGCTTTCAGGTCTTCTGCAAGTTTTGAATGCAACTAATGAAAATCATAGTGCAGGGATTCTATCAAAGGTTGTGGACACTGAAGACCAAAGTGAGTCTAATTGGAGGAAAAAAAAAATCATATATATCAGGCGAGTACAGTAACATGCCATGAAAGAAAGAAACACATCAATGTTTGTAGAACAAAGTAAACTCATCAATGTTTGTAGAACAAAGTAAACTCGTCTTCTCGAGGCAATGAAGATAGAAGAAACCGAAACCTACTCACATTTTCTTTCAACTCCGTGAAATTATTTACTCTATTCAGTAACTCGGCCTTTGGAAGAAATGCTCGCAAACCCTGCATTACAAAAGTTCAAAACCAAAGCGAAACATAAGCTATCCAAACAAATGAACGTATGCAAACTAAAAGCCAAATGAATCACTATTGCATAGGGAACCTCAATTCTTGTAAGAAGGCCTCCGGTATTCCACTCTGATATTTTGACTTCAATCGGCTCATCAAGTCGTTTAATCTGTCGAACAAATAAATCACAACAAATATATACACTTATTCTCTGTGAGACAAAAAATTCAATAAACAGAGAAGCCAATCAAGAAAAGAACCTGCCTCACTCGATGCCAAGCTATCCGCCGAAACAACCTTCTAGTCGAGAGCAATGGCCGACCACTGAGTGTTCTTCCCAGAACCTCAGCAAACAAAACCGTGCCGGTCTCCACAACAGGCCGTCCCGACCCCGGTCCACGGCTAACAGCATCTTCATATTTCACCAACCCCATCTTCCCATTCACCATAAAAGACTCAGCATCCTTGTCAAAATCACACATTAAGAAATCCATCTCTTTGTCATACAATGGAAGCACCTCTTTTGTCAACATTGTTCCCAATAAATCCGCCCCCACGTTGATATCAAGCTTGTTTTCATTACCTGAAACAACCACACCAACAACAACATCTCCAGGTTTGGGCTCATAGTACTCAACATTCAACTTATTGGCTTTCTCAGTTTCGTCCTCTCTTTCAACTTTCTCCTCACAAACTTGTAGCGTTTTTTCCTCTTCCTCTACGGAATCTGTAGTCCTAAAGAATTTCATAAATGGCGCCAATGCCTCATTCTCATCAGGCTTTTGATCCTCTTTGTCAATTTCTGATGAAACCCCATTGCTTACAGGAGCGGGAGAAGGCTTACTTAGCAGACCAAGCTCATCAATCTCTTGAATTCCCTCCTCTTTAGGCCTATCCGGCAATTGGGTGCTCGAGAAATTATCAAAAACGTCATTCCTAGAGCAAAACACAACGCTATTTCTTTCCCGAAATGGAAATTTCTTGGATTTATTATGGTTATTAGACCAATTAGAAGTGGAAAACAACTTGAAACTTGAGATTTCTGGAGTTATAACTCTGGGGACGTTGATAAATGATGAATTTCGCTGGGGATTGGATGAAATTAAGAAATCTTGTGGCTCGAATGACGAATTGGGAAGACAAGGAAACTTACAGGGTTGAATTCCCGCAAGGATTAGCATCTTTGTTTGGTGGCCACCTCATGAGCTGAGCTCGGCGTCGTCGCAGACTACTGAGATTAACGGAGCCGAAGAAGCTTTCGATTGAATTCGCATTATCCGTTCATTTTCTTTCCGCGCGACCGCATCTGGGCCTGAGGAGGGTCTCTAAAGTGGGCCGCTCATTGGGCTTGTTCTGCTTTTGAGCTCATTGGGCCTGTTTTATTGGGATGAAGAGAAAAGTAATTAATTAATAGTTTGAATTTTGGGATGTAAAATTAGCTTATGGCTCTATTATTTATTTATAATTAAGAATATATAATTTTATTATTTATAGGTTTTATTCTCATAGCCCAAATTTAAATAATGAAGTAGTATTATAAGTATGTCACTGTTTAAGTTCTTTATTGATTACTTGGTATGTAACGTTTTTTGATATGGTAAAATTTATTTTTTTGTGGATCACATATGTTATGTTGTGATAGGTAGGATAATGCGATTAGACGGGTATCTAAGTCGAGTGATTTATGTGAGATAAGGGATGTACTAGTATTGCTCAGTGTTGAGTTAAGAGGTTTCTCGAGCAAAATATGGTTGAGACTATTTGCATATTGAGATTCGGTTTTTACTAAGATATGTCAAGTTAATGCGAGTCATTGTTGGCATTTAGCATTACGTAATTAGCTAATTCGACAGTAAGTTATCATACCGAACAAGTGTGTCAAATTTATCCATATAATAGTTATGTCAAGTTAATGCAAGTCTTTGGTGACATTCTTTCTTCTACAATATCCTCTTCTTTCCTTTACTGTTTGTATTCATCTTCTTCCATTAACTATTTTTATTCCTTTTATTATTTCGTCGGTTCCTCTTCTCCATCCCACATTTTCCGTGATTGGTTAGTCATCTCTACTTTCATGTTTGTCGTTGTCGATTTGTCTTTGCTTCAAACCCATTTATCGCTGTCCTCTGTTCGTTTCAAATCACGCGAATTTATCTAGAATGAGTTTGTATTTCAAATCTAGAATGCATATTCTATATCTAAATTGGAACTCATTCGTATCTAATCAAAATAAAAATAGTACACATTGAACAAAATCTAAATAAACATAGATTAATAGATCCAATAAAAAACGATATTTCAAAATAAGAAACCAATAAAGAACCGAAAGGAAAAAAAAAACAAACAACATCAATCTAAACTTTTTAATGTTTATTTATTATTATTTTTTTTTAAGTGAAGGTTGGAGATTGAAAATCATAGATCATGATCTTTGGATCAGATATAGATACCAATTATAAATCGGCAAATAAAATAAAAAACGTGAAATTTAAATATGACATTTTATAAATCTAAAGAACCAAAATTTGCCACATCCACACAATATAAAAATAAAATATTTAGTTTACATGTACATATACACGTTAGCAACATAATAATATAAATTTAATATATTTATGTCATGTCAGCCTCAAATTTTTAAGGAAAAAAAAAACCAGTAATTTTTTTGTTAGCTACAATAACGAAAAAGCTGACGGCAAGGGTTACAATCTCAAATCTCAAGGACAAAAATATGGAGATTTACATCCTGGACACATTTTTGCACAAATCTGCCTCCTCGACAAGTCAGGTGGACATGCAAAATAAAAATGTGCACTTTGACACTCGAGTTAAAGAAAAGTCTTAATTAAGTTTCTCTCAAATATATTTGTAGATATGTGCATGCCTGAAACAAGTTCATTTCAGATATTTATCGGCATCGAGCGATTAAGATCCACAATGTACATTCTACAAGGTATAACACATAACTTGAAATAGTGACGAGTAGGGTATTGGACAGCTTCATGAAATTTGAATCATCCAACCATCCGACCTTTGATAGGTTGGTTAATAAGAGTAGTTTAAAGGTCGGTTTTAATCGTCCAAAGTATATTTTGACTATAGCAAAAGGCTTATAATGATACGCAGTGTGGTATGCTATTATTCGTCTTCTAACACCATCTAAGTCAAAGTGTATTTTTCAAAAAAAAAAAACCCTTCATGGACCAAATTATATTTTTTCATTAGAATATACATATCATATACATCTTCCATTTAAGCGAAAAAAAGGAGGAAGAAAAAAAAAAGGGCAATGTCATTGTCTTAGTACCCAAGTGTCAGGCCAAGACAAAACTAAAATAAAATAAACAAAATCAAAGGCTGAGGAAGTTCGATGACTTGACCTGAAATCGAGATTTATGATATTATAATCAGAACTGTTGACTTTGATCACATGGAATGGAACAGCAGATAAGGACGATGGATGTCTCCTGATGTTGCCACGTGTCGAAATCTTAAAGATGCTATCCACATGACGCACATCGTAAGCCACGCTATGTCAAACGCAGCAGATTCCAATCATTTCGAATTAATTACGATTAATACTCAAGAAAGGAAGTTTTTTTTTAATTACGATTAATAAGGTTGGTAGTGAGAATAAAAGAAAAACGACAAATAAACGGCATTGGACGAAAACCTGGAAGTTAATTATTATTTTTTAATTTTTTTGGGGGCAAATAATTTATTTGAATATTCGGCGTAATTAAATTAAATCACGAAAATGTGACACCGGCATCTTATTCATTATGGAATTATTCGTTAAAACCTTTTTTTTATTATTTATTTATGTAATTTGAGCCACCTAGCATATTGGAGTTTTGATAATTTTGTTGTTGCGTAACATGAAAGATAGGATTGATATTATTTGTCTTGATTCAATTAAAATATTAATGCATTGTTTTATTTTGTAATAATAAATGTCACGGGTATCTAACGTCACGTCACACAATATTTTAATAGAAAGTGTCTATTAATATTTATTCACTATATTAAATTATAGATCAATACATATCAACTAATAAATAATAAGTTAAGTGGTGGCATAACTAAATATAAATAATTATGATATTAAAATTTAGTACTCATGAAGGATTTAATGGACAAATTTTAATCCAAGATTTATTTTTTGGACATCAAAGATTAGATTTTTAAAAAATAAAAATAAAAATGGTTGGAGATTCTCTAATAGGAAATGAAATGTATTAGAGGATAATGTTGAAGTACGATCAAGTTGATTATGCTTTTTGCCTTATTATTGTTTGTGGATTAATAATGCAAATAATTTATATTGTCCACTTGCTCAATACTCAATGAATAAATACAAAGACAAAAGGAGCAAAAATATAAAAAGTCTCAAGAACAATAAGAGCTTTCAATTTTTACTCTCCCATTATATTTATATAATAAGTTTTGGATGATTATTCAACCAGCTATTTTAGCAACAATAATGAATAAAAAAATCAAAACTATTATTTTTTTTAATACAACATCTGGGTGGAAATTCAAAATTGATATCTTTCGATCAAATATAAATGCCTTAATTTGGTGTTTTAAATATGTTTTTATGGGAGAATAATATATAAACATTATTCTAAATTATGGTATAATAACTCTAAATATTTATTTAGTTCAATTTATTTTTTTACAAAATGTTTAATTATATTATTTTAACTTGAAAATATATATATATATATATATATATATATATTAACTCTTTTAACTTCAATTATACTTGTATTTAGTCAATGTTATACATGTGACCTATTAATTAAAGTAATGCTGACATCATATATTCACTATTTACGTCACTATCAGCCACATCGCCTCCAACTTAACCCACTACATCTCTAATAGACATGTTACACCAATATTTAGTTAATAATATTGATAACATGAATCAAATAGAAATATAATCTAAAGCTAAAAATAGTAAATTGGGATTAGAAAAACAAAAAAAGGGCAATCAACCAATACATGCACGTATTCAAAACATCGCCCATGTCACATAAGTGTTTCAACAAGAATGAGAAAAATAAAAAAAAAGCTAAATTAAATATTGTATCGAATATGAGTAATAATTCAACAATAAATAACATCTACTTATTTCCTTGAGGTTAAATGTTCAAGTTCTTGTACCCGTATTTGTTATACCACAATATTTGAACCATGTACGAAGAAAATAGTCTAATTTTTTTATATAAATTTGTGTTTTTGATAATAGACATATCATTTTATATACTGTTGTGTCTTTTAAATATATACATATTTTCTCGTGAAAAGTTGTAGTTGTTTATTTTGTTATTAAAAATTGTATTCACAAATTAAAAAGAAAAAAGAAAGATGACGTCATTTTTGTTGGCATATGAAATCCAACCATTATTTACGAGTGAAATTAGATGAAATCAACGTGGGAGAAAAGACATCACTTGGTAGAGAATAGTGTCTTGGCTGTCTGTCTTACGTGCAAAACATTTCTATTTTTGTTATTTGTATTATTTGTTTAAACTTCATCTATAATTGACTGCCTCTCCGCAATATCTTTGATGTGATTTACGTCGGTCAAAACAATTTAAAGATTATATTACAACTTTCAAGTTTCATCCTAAAATTTAATTTTAATTGGTATTTGAACATTAAAAATATCTAAAATATCATAATTCATTTTTAAATTTAATGATTGTTAGAATATAAAATTGGAAGATAAAAGACTATTGTACTTAAAACAAAAAACAAATAAATAAAATAAAGATGTGTTCATGAATCTTATTAAATATTATTTAAAATTCAGAGAAATGCAAAGTTTAAAATCTTTTATATACTTTTTAAAATCTAAAACCAAGCCTTAAGGAAAAAAAAATGTCTATTTTCAAATCGACAAAATCGAGTGAAAAATTGATGTCTGACCAACCCACCCCTCTGTCTAAGTTTGATTTTCTATCAATTCTCACACAGTCACTACTAAAAAAACTGCAAAATAGAATATAATTCCATTTTAAACCTCGAGTAATTGACTTGCTTTTATGGCATTTTGGTAAATTCCAATGTGGTCGAGGTGCTTTTACTTTACACGTGTCACATTAAGAAATATTTTCCAATTTTACTCGAGTAATTATTTAAAAAGTCAATAGATGATTTCGACTTGTAATTTCATTTGTCCCAATAAAAGTTCACCTCGTGGTTTAATTATTATATAAAGCTCCTTTTTTTTTCTCTTTTGAAATAAATATAAAGCTCTTAATCATGTCTGAATTTGGTACAAATATATACACATCAAAGATGTTAATCGTGTAGATTAGTTTAATGCCGTCACCAAACAAAGAAAAAAAATCACTTTTAATATTGTTTAATATTGTTCATTAGTAGTTTAATTAAAATTTTAAAATTGTATTGTTATCTAAAACTTAGTTTGAAAGTCGTAGTCAGAATGTAGTTGAATTAGTTAAAATATTTATTTTCTAAAGAAAAAAAATCGTAGGTCCAAATTACAACTTTATTGTACCAAAAAAGAATTTTAAGTCATGATTTTTGTTTAACATTATTATTCATAATTTAGATACTTCTTCTACAAGTTGGTTTCAATATAATAATAATAATAATAAAATATTACTACAAGTCTGACTTTTATATTTACTCCAGTTTCATTTTATTTTTAAAATTAAATTACTTATTCAGTGCGGAGGTATATGTTAGGTATATGTTAAAACTTTTTTTTTCAGTAGAACAACATATAGGGTGGAGATTTCAACTCACAATATTTCGATCGAAAATATGTATCTTAATCAATTAAATAATGTTTAAGTTGGCATATATATGTTAAACTAAAAATTATAATATGATAGAAATAGCTATAACGATCAAATTTGTATTATAACATAGAGTAATGGAAAAGTTATCAAACATGACCTAAACTTCGAACCTTGAATAAATGTCATTTTATTTTGAGGTGTGCTTGTATTAATTTTCTTAAATTATGATTTCCTTAATTTCTTATGAATTATTTATTAAATTAAATATTTTAAAATTAATATAAATATAGTTCAACTGCCTAACAATAAATTCTTTAATTTCGCAGGAGTTATTTATCAAATTGAACATTTTTAAATCAATATAAGCATATAAAATTCAATGGCAGTGATGCATTGAACTAAATTTCTTTTTGAAAACTTCTAATTTTTATACTCTAATTTCACACGGCTCTAAAAGAAAATGCATGCACCATCCTTCTCAATTAATCTAAATTTAGTGTCTAAATTAACTGCTTGCAACGTAGAGAAAATTCGTGAAAAACGCCTTCATGAGACTATTTTCGCAACAACGATTTTTTTTTTTTCTTTCAGAATAACGCGTGGATAAGAAATATTATTTCACAAATAGAAAGGAAAATATTAAAAAGAAAAATAATCACTATTTACCCCACCTTTCCAAGTTATTATAAGTTGATAATTATCATTATCATTATTATTATTTATTAGATTAATGAAGCGCACTAACTACTAGCGAACATGAATATATAGCTTTCAAAGTGAACAAGTTCAGCGGTAATTGACATATATCTTCAACCAATAAGTTATCCCCCACATGTTGTACTAAAAAAACATGAATATATAGTTCAGCATTAATTGACATGTACTCCTTCTCTCGAGGTCAGAGGTTTGATCCCCATATCCCAAATTATTCTACTAAAAAAAGTGTACTAATTTTTTTTTTTATATTCACGAGTGTCCGGACCAGCTTACACGAATCTCGATTAATCTCACAGGATAACCGTATGACTCTAAATTCCTTTTGTATTAGTTAGTTTTTTTTTTTACATGAACTTTGATATTAGTTAATTCTTTCTTTTGTCACATTGTATACGTGACACTTTTTTCTTAGTACAATATGTGGGGGTGGGAAATCGAACTCACACCCTCTTTGATTGGAGATATATGTCAATTACCACTGAACTATGCTCGATTTGACTTGTATTTGTGACACTTGTTATATATATAGAAGACAATTGTATGTTTGTAAATACTTGATCAATTAGTGGAGAATATTCATTTTGTCCCGGATTCAGTCTTAATATTATTTTGGACAAACCAAGATGTCGCGCGCAAAAGTCACACGCAACAGGAAAAGTCTCTCTGTGATCTAAAAATTAGGAGGTAGATACGTTGAGGAAAAATGATGAATTAAAAATGTAAAATATTCTTTATAATTAAAGTATAAAAAAATAGACTCGTTGTGGAATTTGATCCATCCCAGAGGAGATAAGGTTTAGCAAGAAATTAAATAAAATTTGTGCAAATTGATCTTTTAATTACTTTGTTTGTACTCTAACAACGTGAGAAGATAAATATTTTATAAAAATAAAATGTAGATCACATATTAATATAATTAATATAATTATATGGTTAGATTGTTTAACGTGCCACAAATTGATCTATAATTTAATCAATCTAAAATTGTAATATGAACGGATATACAATAGTTCTTATTAGAAAGTAAGGATTACAATTTCCGTCGCCAAACATATTTCATTTTCCTACTTCCCATTTGATAAATGAAATTGAATCTAATCACGATGGTTCTTATTACATCTTTAATTATATGCATGATCTTGAAGTCATTGTTTTTAGTAGCAATTCAACCTACGTGGTACATAAATTCAAATGATTTGATTAATTTATATGTAAAAGAATGAAATTAGAAAAAGAAAAAAAAAACTTGTCACGTTAAGTCGACATAATTAGAACGGCAATCCCCAACGAAGTTTTGTTGGTAAATAAATGGATGTGAATTGTGAAGTGATTGAGGTACGACGACGTCGCATTGGGCCTTATCTTGGTGCATATTTTATGAGGACTAGATCTTCGGTGGGTTGTTGTCAAATGCCTACTTTCCAATTTATACCATTATTATCAACTAAAAGTTGCTCAAATAAGTTTCACTATACAAGGCCTTCGCTACTTTAAATCGGATAAAATAATTGAGAATCCATTTCGTAACGTTTTCAATTATTTTTTCTCTGTTTTCTCTTTTTCGACAAAGGAAAATGTAATTGCATTTGGTAACTGTTTCTTATTATTTATCTATGATTTCTTTTAGTAAAAATAATTTAATTGTTATGAACTATGCTTGTGTTAGCATTGTATGTGTTAATTATTGTATTTTAATAAATCTAACAATTGAGTCTCGTTGATTTAAAGATGTTGTTGTAATTAATAATATAGTGATTTTGGATACCACATTTGATTTTGAGTTTTACCAAGTTAATCAGCTTCCTTAATTAGTTCTCACTTCATGTATAAATTGCATTTTTATTAGTTAGTTTGAATATGTTTAATAGATAAAAGTATTTATTACCATATCAAAGTATCTTCCATCCTTCAAAAGGTTGGACTAAAAAAATGGTTTCTTATCAATTTTTTTTTTGTAAAAATTAAATCCAAAATGTTACATTTTTAACGTGGGCTAATATATGTTTTAGTCCACGTGTATATTACATTTGAGTGCTTCTTTAATTTAGTCTTTTTTTTAAAGAATTCTAATCAGCCCGGTGCATTTAAATTTTTTTCAATTATACTATATTATATATTAAAATTGAATGATGATAAGTTTACCTGACAGGATAATTAATAAATTGATATAAATTTAAAGGAATAATGAACCACCTGAACGAAGAGATAAAGTCGAGATCTACGTGAACTTTTAAAAAATGTTTAGAGGAAGAATTATAAACTTTTTTTCTTTTTTAGGTATCCTAATTCATCTCAACAAATAAATTGAAAATTTTAAAACAGGAATTAAATGGACAAAAAGCCAAATCTTGAGACTCAAACTTATATCAACTAAATACTTACTTACTGTAAGCACTTATCTTCATAATCACTATTAATAAAATTTTAGTTTCAGTTTTTTGTAAAATAGAAAAAGTACCTATTTGTCATTCTACTTGTAAAAGTGATCATCGAAAAAAAGACAGTATCATTTATAATAATTTTATTTTCAGTTTTCTACTTTTAAAAATTAGGCTTGTTTTTTCTTTTTATGAGTAAGTTTTTAATTCCTCTATAAAACACATTGGAAGTTTGGGTCAAATTGAAAAACAAATTTAAAAGAAAAAGTTTGAAGGTTTATATTTTCAAAAAATTGTTAAAAATTATATAACAAAAAAAAACATACAAGTAAAAACAATGTTTTTAAAATTTAAACTTATTTTTCCGAAACATAAAATAAAAAATATATATATATACATGGACGAAATTATTGAAAAAAAAAATACAAAACCGAAGAAGTCACAGTTGTGAGGGAGACAGAATGCAATGATTGTCATATTTTTAACCTTAATTTTTTTTTGAATGTTTGAAACATAATTGGATTAATATAATATATAATATTGGTCACTGTGGTTAATGGCGATGCGATGCGACTGCGAGGCCCATCGAAATTTTTCAGAACCTTTCTCTCTCTCTAGCTTTTTCTCTCTCCCACTATCCATTAGTATTATATATTATAATAACATCCAACAAAGTTCTCCAAACAGATCAAATTTCCCAAAGAAAAATAGAACTAAAAACGCGTCCCCTCAGTTTACCCAAGAAATTGAGGCCGCCCAGAGATTCTGCAGATACAAAAACACGGCCTCCGTTTGCAATTCAGCTTCCAGGTTCTTCTCTCTCTTTCTAAACCAGCAGAAATTTTCAGTTTCTTTAATAAAAATACAAAAATAATTACTTCCCATTTTCACTTAATTCATTTTTTGTGTATAATTTTTTTTTTCTTAATTCGGTAGAAAGAAATATGTTTATTGAATTGTTTTTTCTTTGATTTATTTTTGATTTATTTTAGTTTCTCGACGGATATTGTTCTTGAGGTTCTTCGTTGGTTTTAGGTCCTTTTCTCAAGGATAATTAAATTTTGTTTTTTTCTTTCTTTTAAACTTTTAAATCATGAATTTTGTAATAAATGTAGGGTAAATTTGATGTTTATAAAGTATGCCAAACAGGATATAGGAGTAAAGAGAGGGAAAAAGAAAGTCCCACCGACTAAAGTTTTACTGTCCATCTTACAAGTTTTTACGAACCAATAGATTCGTGTGGAACGATAGAATGACACTGTAAAACAGACGGTTTGCATAAGTTGTCGTCTTAATCAATTGAGTTATTCAATTCCGTTATGTTCTATTTCTCTTAAAATATAATTTATGTTTTTTACTCCAAAACAATTTCTAATGAATGATAAATTTATCATATTTATAAATATATTACAAGGATTAAAATTTTTTTTAAATATGATAATTTTGTAGCTTGAGTGTTTGTCGTCTATACGTCTATAGACTAATAAATTTGTAGGAACATGGTGTCATATTTACAAACTTTTTTATTATATTTTTATTATTTATTTGCTTTATTCAGACTTGTTATTATTTTGCTATGTACACAACTGCTCATATTTTCATTTGTAGTCTTTAATAAATAAATTTACTCGATAATATTTCTTATTTCTTACTTCCTGTATATTTTAAAATGCCTTTATCTTGGTTTTTATATTTTTATGTTATAATTAAAAAAAAAWTTTTGGTAAACTGCCATTTTCATCGGTTTGGGCCGCTTGGCCAAAAATGTTCTCATTAATCATTAAAAAGAGGTAGAGACCACAACAAATTAAAAATAACAAAATAACAAATTAAAAATAGTTACCAAATATATTATAGAAAAAAAAACGGTGAGATACAAATAAAACATTTTATTTGACTATGTATAGTACTTAAATGCTTATCGGTTAATACTTATATTTTTTGTTCATCGCCGTTAAACCTTTTACAAATAGAATAATAGAATGGGAAAAAATAATATTTATTTTTCTTTTTCTTTTCCTATTTTTCATTTAAATAAAGATCTATCAAATTTTGATTGATGATCCATAATAGATATATTGATTAATAAAAACCAAGTATTGTTGTTCGATCGAAAATATGACATCTCATACCTTGGACATTAAATAAGAGACAACAATTTCCTAAAAAAAAAAATAAAATAAAAAATAAGAGACAACAAAAAGGGTGCATTTTTTTCTAACATTGAGGGCCACCCTATGCCAACGCTCTTGTCCCATTTGTTGGCAACACACAATCACAACAGTTAAACTTCCCCAAACTCCACACCTCCTTTTTTCCCCTATATTTTAGGGAAGGGAAAAAGTATAAATTTTAAAGAAAAAATTTATATAGTGAAAATGTTAAAAATAATTTACCTATATCTCTTATCGTAGATTGTTGATTTGAATTCTTAATTTGTAAAATGCATTAGGTAGAGATTATATATATATATATATATATATATATATATATATATATATATATATTAATTTTGTTTTCATAATTTTATTATTTTAAAAATGATGAAATATGAACAATTTTTTTTCTTAGCACAAACGGTGGGGTGAGATTCAAACTCGAGACTTTTTTGTTGGAAATAGATGTCGATTGACGATAAAATATGGACAATTGAAAACAAAGGAACTAAGTCAATATGTACATATTTTAGTGGTGATTGACATATTCTCTTTCTCTTGAGGTCGGAGGCTCAAACTTCCGTACACTAGATTTGTGTTATTATTGAAAAACAATTAAAGAGAAAAAAAACAGAGGAATTAAAATATTTATAATCAACATTGTCAAGATTGGAATGAATTTGATGGTACAATAGAAGATTGAGCATATCATGTGCGTACCCTTGGTTTTGCTTTTTCAAGTGGAAGAGTGGACAAAAGTTCTCGAAGGGCCAAAAGTCTAAAACTTTTGTAAATATTTATTTTAAAAAATTCCATGTAATTATTGGGTTGGATTATTGGAAAGCCTGTTTTATTTTTTTTTATTTTTTTTAAATAATCAAATTCGTCAATATGACGCCGTGATTCTACCTGATTTCTTAACAAGGAAGTAAATATCATTTCGACTGCGAAAATTAAATTTAAAAGTTAATGTGAAATTACTCCTCTCTCTTTCAACTTTTTTTTTTCCTGAGTACAATCTCTCTTTCAACATTAACCTTACGAAACTATTTTTTCAATGTCATCATTTCTGATTATTTAATAAATTGTAATATTATTTTTAAGTGAATGTGTCTTTTTTAGTTAAAAACGAAAATGTGTATTTAAATACTATTTTGATTCATGTAATTTTGATTTTTGTTCATTTTGGTGTCTGTACTTTTTTAAAATATCTATTTTAATTATTGTATTTTATTTATTTTACACTATATACTTTCAAAACATCAATTTTAGTCATTGTATTTGTAAAAAGCGATCATCCTGCCTATTTCATTTTCATTTTGATCATTTATTTCAATTTTAACATACATTTCACTCACTATTTTATTTTTAAGTGTAGTCATAAATTTGAATTAAATAATTTTCGTTATGCGCCAATTTTGTGTTAAAATTTAACATATATATATCAAATTTGTTACTTTTAAAAATATAGAAACCAAAATAATTTTTTTAAGAATAGAATACTAAAATGTAAAAAAAGAAAAATTTAAAATATAAATAACAGATTTTAAAAGTACATAAACCAAAATAAACCAAAGTATAAATATTTAAACCTATATTTTCTTATTTTAAATGTACGAAATAAAATTTACAGTTGAAGTGGTTGACATATTAACTGTGAAACATTTTTCTCGTGGTTCTGTAGGGCACGAATTAAATGTGCATTTATATCAAACAGTGCCATCAAAACTAACCAGTTTCATTGTCAAATTAAACTTGCATCTGTAAAAATAATATTTAAAAATTGAATCATTACGAAATTAAAAGTGTTCAATATCTATTTCTAAAAAGTATGATGAAGTAAAATACCCATAATTTTATTATATAAAAAAACACCCATAAATTTTGTCCATAAAGCAAGGCAACCAAAATTGAGCAACTTTTTTACATAAATAGGAAGCAAATTTAAGTATTATGGGGCAGAAGTTAGGCCATTTTTTCCTTCAAGAAAAAAAAAAACAAATAATAATAATAATAATAAATAAATAAATATAAAAAAGAAGTTAGACTTCTATCTAAAAGTACCTGTGTTGAACTTTTTCTCTTTCTTATGACTGAAGTTCAAGTTTTAGTTTTTTGTACAAATTTTCTAAACTACTTACTGTTAATTTTTTAATAAAAAGATTATCGTGTGTGATTGTTTTTTTAATACATAAAAATTTAGAATATGAAGACTTGAATCTCCAGCTTCAAATGAGGATTAAATATTAACATCCCTATCGTTAATTTTTGCAATGTTTATGTTGGTATCTTTCATTATTGTTGATAATTTATTTCAATAAAATATCAATTACCACCCAATTTATTGGAGAATTATCTAATACACTATAAATTTAGAGGTTGAGAGCCTAGATAATGGAGAGAATCGAAATGGTTGGCAATTAAGGACGGGCCCACCCGATTGACCGGCGACCGGCGAGGGTGGCGACGGCGTATGAAGAGTGGCGGGCAAGAATTTGCCACGTTGGCATGGTCCACGTGGTATTCTACCATCTTCTATATCTCCCGCGTGGGCGTGGGCGGTTGACAGATTTTTGCCCGCCATCTACCGTCCAATAGCCAAGCAGCCCCTGCCTTTAAACATGCCACATGGCACACAATAAAAAAATTAAAATTTAAAAGTCCACAGTCTTTAAACCGGTGGACCCCACCATGAATCGGCCGACCTCAAAAATTTATAATTTATTTTATTATGCCATAATTCTTTTATTTATTTATTTTCACAAGGGCACAATTAAATTCTTCCAAGGAAAAGATTTTTAGGTTAAATGGCCTATTTGGTTTATGAAGTTGCATAACTGCATTTACTCCGAGATTCACATAACATAGGTTTCTATACTTAAAAAGAAAAATATCTAATAAACTTTTAAACTTTAAATTATAGATGACATAAATTAATGAATTAAAAAAATATCTCATATATTATGGTCTACTATCAATTTAAACTTAATAAAATATCTATTACCATTATGGCAGTTGAATCTTACACCTCTGTAATTGTTGAACTAAAAACATTACAAATTTATTACAATCATGATAAAAAATTCAACGATACAAAATAAAAAATTCAACTACATCAAATATAACCGTGAAAATGAGTGCAATTTTGAAATGTCATATATGAAGTTTATAATTTAACCAGAAATTTATATTTACATTGTGTAGTATTCGTTTCAAATTTTTAATTCCCATGTAATGTTGAAAATAATTGTGGATTATGATTAATTATATTAGTAATTACAGTTGTTAATGACAAATTATTTTCATAATTAATAAAATAAATTAAGAAGCATCTGAAAACGAGGAAGTCATACACTCCCACAACGCATAACTGCCGAATTAGCACTGGCTGCTCGTAGACGCATTCTTCTTCTTCTTCTTCGTTCGTCAACTACTCAAGCTCCTGCTTCGTTATTCTTCATTTTCTCTCTATTTCTCTGTTCTTAGTTTTTTGCTTAGCAGATGAGGCACAGTTCCAGGAATCAACCTCAGGTACTTAGTCTCTCCCTTAATTTTTTTGTCTTGGCGTTTGATTGTTGTTGGTGTTAATTTCGAAAAGATGAGGAAATTTGCAGAGAACATGGGCTGAAATATGTTGTTTCGGTTGCTCCTGCCTACAGCTTTTCTGGCCGAGAGTGGTACTGCGCAAATGGCTCAATATCAGCGCCAAAGAGTCGGATTACAGCGCCGACACCGAAGACGACGAGGATGTTAATTCTTCTGATTCTGAAACAGAAGGTGACGATTCTAAACCCTTGAAATTTATTGAGCATTTTGAAGTTCTTGGATGTTGGAAATCCACGTTTTGGGTGAATGTTATGGTGGAGAAAGTGCATTTTTGGTTTTTGGTGGTTTCTGTGCTCGGTGTGATGATCCCATTGAATATTCACAAGTTTGATTCAAGACAATGAGCTATTTTAGGAATGTTTCGTGTTCTGATTTGAACATTTGATTGCTTTTTGTAGAATGTCATAGGGGAAGAGAATCACGCTTTAAGGTAGACAACGGAGATGAACCACTGGTTGATTCTAATGGTAAATTTTGAAGCACATTAGTTTTCCCCTTGCATTTCTTTTTATGAATTATACCAAGTGCAACTTTTACTTGGAGTACGTGTCAAAGGATTGACATTTGAAGAATTGGACAGGAATATGTACTTAATTTACTCGAGGTGTTTGAGAATAGAACTGGATCTAGGGAAAAGATACAGTGCACGGAGAAAATTTGATGCATCGTATTCTTTCTATGTGGAGAAATGGATTAAATTAGGCATTTCTTTAAATTTATGAAATTAATTCATATTTGATTTCCTATCCAATTTGATAATCTTCGAACTAAGGAATTGATGTTCATTGCGTGTGCTTGGACATCCTGTTACTTCCATTCAATTACTGTCAGATTTCCAGCAGACATGTTCTTTTCTGTTTGACTACTTTATCTCCAACTTCCCATCATCTTCCTGGTTTACTTGAAGTTGTTTCTACTTTCTGGCTAATCGTTGCATTTAATATACGATCACCATTTTTAAGAAATGAAGCTCTATTTGACCATTAAATCCAAATTCCAGAATCCCATGCTCTGACTTTATCTTTTGGATGCAATGTGTTATGCTTTTATCCTAAGACGAGAGTAACTTTCAGCTGTATAAATTTCAGCCAAAATTTTGTTTGTGTGTGGGTGGGGATATTCTACAAAACCTGACTATTTTACTTATTTTGCTCCTGAGGTTTTGTAGAGAAACTCTCAATTTTTATTTCAATTCATTGACTCATCATCAAATTGCTTGGAAATTTAGATGTACTGCCGAGGCTGAGAAGAAGAAATTCAGAAACATTTAGGACACAATACATAAACACGAAAGAACTCAGGTACAATAGACCGATTGAAATTTTAGTAATATGGAAATTTCTGATTAGTATTTCTTTCTGTTGAGTTGAGCTATCTACTTTATCTTTTGTTAGAATATGTGTGGGGACTTGGAATGTTGGAGGAAAACTACCTCCCGAAGATCTAGATATTGATGGATGGATAGACACCAGCGAGCCAGCTGATATCTATGTCCTTGGGTGAGTTTTTTTTTTTCAATTATTTTTTTCTTTTTGATAATTGATTTTTGCACTTCCAGGCCATATGATGCTTATCTTGAATATTTTATTGCACCAATTTGTGAAAAAACTTTTCCAGATTGATTTAATGAGTTATTATAATAATGCTATAGCACATTCTCTTTATATATTTATTTTATAATGTTTTTCTCATCTTTTGTTCTTAATAGATAGTTTTGCTTTGTCTTTGCAGTCTCCAGGAGATTGTACCATTAAATGCTGGAAATATATTTGGCGCTGAAGATAGTCGCCCAGTTGCAAGGTGGGAAGACATTATCCGTGAAACATTGAATAGGGTTAGACCTGCTACAACCAAGATTAAATGCTTTAGTGATCCACCATCTCCGTCAAAGTTTAAGCCATCTGACGACATCCCAGATTTAGAGGAGGAAATTCTGCATGAAAGTGATAGTGACATTGGTGAGGAAGTGCATCCATGTGATGAAGAGTTCTTTGACAAGGAAAATCAAGATGGACAAGTAGCTGATAGGAATCTGTGCTTGAACAACCCAGTTTCAGAACTTTCTGCAAATACCAAATCAGGGATACCCGTCGAACAGGATTTAGTGAGACAATACTCTTCTCCAAAGAGATTGGACCGACTAAATTGCTTACGGACTGAAGATAGCTCAGAGAATGATGGGTCCGTCTTACAACAGAACAGAAGATTAACTAAAATGCTTAGTGGCTCAGAAAGGATTGGTTTATGTTGGCCCGAGCCTCCACTACATTTACTACCCCATAATGTTTTAGAGAGACCTAACTCATTCAAATCAATAAGATCATTTAAAGCATCCAAGTCCTTTGCGACATATAATTCTTTCAAGTCAACCATAAATGAAATGCCATCAGGGGTGGCTTTGCTAGGAGAAATTGATCTTGAGTCTCTCCTAAAACGAAAGAGAAGATCATCATATGTTAGAATAGTAAGTAAACAAATGGTTGGCATTTTCCTCACAATATGGGTTCGTAGGAGTTTGCGAAGGCACATTCAGAATGTAAATGTCTCTACTGTTGGTGTTGGTGTAATGGGCTATATCGGTAACAAGGTTCGCTCCCTTTCCCATTGTTCTTTAACTTTTGTTAATTTGTGGATCCTGTTGCATTTAGCTTGTTATGCAGTCGTGTGAATTCTCTCCATCCATAATTTCATGTTCTTTTGACCATCGTGGATTGGTTCATTGGTCCAAAGAGGTCAAGGTAAATCAAAGGGAATAGGTTAAAACCCCATGATGGCCGCCTATTTAGGAATTAATTTCTTATGTGTTTCTTTGGCAATCAAATGTAGTGGCGTCAGGCGATTGTCCCGTAAGATTAGTCGTGGTGCACGCAAGCTGACCCGAACACTAATGGATATCAAAAAAAAAAAAAAAAACTTCATGTTAGTTTTGGCTTTCTACTAGAGTATTTATGCAATGCAATATTATATGATATGGTTGAAAGGAAATTGATAATGCCTGTCATTGGTCAATACCTTTAGTTTTTAGGTTTTATTCTAGATCCTCTTGTGCATCTTTCATAACCACAATATCCTGGCAGGACAGCCAGAACCTACTAGTAAAGTCCGTCTGTAGTTATAAATTTCGACATCTCTGCATATTATGCAGATTTGTATTTGGCAAAAGTTATGTCAAACTGCATCGTTGAATGATAAGTGTTAACTTACAGTTTGTTTCTTTTATTTGGTGTTCCTAATAACTTATTAATTTATATTATTTTCTTACTGGTGTCTCAGATAATGAATACTTGATGTCCATGCAAACCACTAAATAATCGAGATTCTGTTTTTTTTTTGAACTTTGATTTATATGAACCTCAACACTAACCAGAGTTTTTGGCACTCCAATGTTGTCATTGTTGGTACCTTGAAATGTCCTGGTATACTACTTAAGAAAGAGATAGTTGAAAAGTCATAGGGGAAGTGACTGTCAGTTATAGTGATAAATTCTTCAATGACGGAGATCTTGTAAATGGTAATATAGATTGAATTTGCTTCTGATTGCCATGGCTTGTCCCGTATTTAATTAAACCTACAATTTTTCAGGTCTAATCTTCATTGCTAGTCATAATGCGTCATGAATTTATAGTTCTAGTTGTCTCTTTATAATTTATCAAAGCATCTGCTTGTTCAGGGATCCATATCTGTCAGCATGTCCGTATATCAGACCCTATTTTGCTTTATATGCACTCACCTGACTTCAGGTGAAAAGGAGGGAGATGAACTTAAAAGAAATGCTGATGTGAGCGAAATACATCGAAGAACTCAATTCCATTCACTTAATGGTATTGGGTTTCCTAAAATTATCCACGACCATGAGTAAGTATACAAAAATTCCTATGAATATCTTCATATCTCTCTCAAATTGGGTTTTATTTTTCTCTTCAAGTAATATAGATTTTCATACAGCTTCTTCTTTGAGGTTGAGCCAAATATGTCCTTTGATCTCTTCATTGTTGGATTGGTTCCATCCCATCCTGCATGTTAGATACCCATATTCCCCATTAGCCTGAAATAGCCTTTGAAATATTACTTTCCTGCTTGAAGTTTGACAAATTTTCAGAGGAAAAGGGATTGTATAGTGTACATGCTCCTAACCATCTGGCTCATACACTTGGTGTTAAGCACATTGTAAGGGCTATGTGGGGAAGGGATTTGAATTTACACCTGTCAAGCTATGGTTTGGGACCTTATGCAATTGATTTTTGTCTTTTAGTTTCTTGCCCTCCGGGCCTGTATTTGAAATAGAGCCACAACCTTCTTATTTGTGTCATACTGGGTATAATTTAGTGAAGGTAACCTATGAGAGAGTGTTGCTGCTGTGTGTGACGGGGAGGTATAACCTTTTGGTATTTAATTTTTTTAAAATTTAATTTCTAAAAATGATGACTCTTCCTAATTACCATATGCCTGTTTTTGTTATCCATGTGGGACCTTGATGAGGTTAGGAATAGGGTGTAAGTCATGTGCCTTTGACATTTTACTCGAGGAGTTTTGTTATCCACTAATTAGAGAGATTTTTGTAATTTCTTTAGCCTTTATGTTGAATTTGGGGTAGTACATTATTATTTTTTGTAAAATAATTGTTTCTTATTCAAAATCAAAGGGAAAATGCTTGTGCAACTGTCTTAAAAATCCTCTGAATAATCTTAGAAAAGGGCCGGAACATCTCAAATTAAAACATACCATGTAATAACTGGCTGCGACTTATTCATTGTTATAATTAGGGATATTTTTACAATTAAATGCTCTATATCAGACATAAATTCCTTTTTTCTTGTTGCTGAACTACATAAGGTTCTACGGCGTGCATGTTACCAGATATGGTCATACATCTGCTGCGAGGTTTTGATGTAGTCAATTCAGTTCTATCATCTTGATTTCTTTCTGAAATGTATCATCCGGTGATTCTTTTGTTTAAAATGTTAATGCAATCATTTCTGAAGCTTAAAGATAGTTCCTCGTATGTTGGTGTGCAGCATGCGTTGTTGTCCTTGATAATGCTTCTTTTGATGAAATAAAAATTTCAATTGTATGCTAACTCTTTGTCAATTCATTCTCTTTTATTTGCAGGCGGATAATATGGTTGGGTGATTTAAATTACCGCATCAACTTGTCTTATGAGAAGACAAGAGAGCTTATCTCTAGAAAAGAGTGGTCCAAATTGGCTGAGAGTGATCAGGTACTTCCGTAATGCAAATGTCTTAGTGTGTTTCATTATGTTGAGAAATAGTCTACGCCTGAACTACAAGCATTTCTAGATTTTCTTAGTTTTTTTCGTTGCTTTTTTAGTACAACATACGTGTGTGTGCTTAAGGTAATTGATGTTTCATTCACTTATGGTCACTCTGACCATCTCTTTTTAGAATCAAGGAAAACAATATTTTCTTAATTGAGACATGAAAGAAAAAAAGACTTTGTCGGCTAAAAACATATGTACTTGCTTAAAAGCCATGTTCAAGGCATTTCAATCTAATTCTTTTGTAACCCGGTTTTTGGAAACTGAAGTTTGTTATCAAAATTATTAGGCATCTGGGATTCTGCGGACAATATCTTATATCAGCTGGAAAAAACAATTACTTCACAAGTTCTTTATTATGCTGTTACAAGTAGATGGGAAATGATTGAAGCAGGGGCCCTTGGTTATTTTCTGTCAAGCTGTGAATGATATGAAAAAGTGTCTGCTTGTTAATCGAGTGTTTTTCTTATGCTTTGTCAGTTATCGCGGGAATTTAAGAAGGGTCGTGCATTTGATGGATGGACCGAGGGAAACCTAAGTTTTCCGCCAACTTATAAATACGAGAACAATTCCGAAAAGTATTACGGTGAAGATCCAAAAGTTGGAAGGCGTACTCCAGCATGGTAAGCTTTTATTATTGCAGTCTGTTGATTTCAACATCTGATTTTATCTAGTTGTAGAGGGTTATCCATGTACCATCTAAAAATGCAATGAAGTCCTTGTTCTTTTTCTTCTAAATCCAAACAATCATTTTGTATGTCCATGTTCATCCATGTGCAGTTGAAAATTTTAGTTGCTCTCCAGTGTCTTCAGTGTCATTTTCTTCTCGCTTGTGTTCGATTCTCAAAAGGAGAGGGGGACCATAAAAGGAGGACACGATAATATCAGAATACTTAGTCTGAACATACATAGAGAAATTTACTTTATGTAACAGTCATAGTCCATCGTCAATATGGTCTTGTTTAAAAGAATAACTTCGAACTTGACAACATATTCTCTGGATATCCTCTTAAAAAATATTCGACTCTGTCGAAATTTATTGTATTCCTTGAAACTACTAAATTTAGCCTTTGAATCTTCCTAAATTGGGAAGAAAGATCTATTCTACCCCAGGAGGATTCCAAATGTTGCTTTATGCTGTAGCAATTGATTTTCTTTTGGAATGTTTATGATAACAAATCTCACGCATGAAATTTATTGTTGGCTGCATTTTCAGGTGTGACCGCATACTTTCATATGGCAAGGGGTTGAAACTGTGCAGTTATAGAAGGACTGAGATTAAATTTTCTGACCATAGACCAGTGACAGCCACCTACACGGCCGAGGTCGAGGTCTTCTGTCCCCGTAAGCTACAGCGAGCTCTAACATTTACAGATGCAGAGATCGAAAATACAGATGCAGCAATCAATGGATTCTGATTTTTGACGCGTTGCTTAAACTTAGCTTCGGTGAGCATTTATCTGATCTTTCATACGCCTCGGAACGATTATGGAGATCATGTATGGGGATTCTTTTAGCAATTAACAAAGATAATGTGGAGTGAGCTTTGTGGTGCAGCAAGCAATGCAAGGTAAATAATCTAAAGATGGAGCTCAATCTTTTATAAAACCAAGATTTAACTAACAAGGTTGTGTTTGGACTTGGTTGATGTTTTGTATTTTAACCTTCATTCTTTGGATCACATTATATTCTTTGTGTTAGCTAGAGATGTGAATTGCAGTTGTTGTGTACATGAGTTAGCTGGTAGGGTTTCATTTTCAAATTAAATAAATAGGAATGTACTACTCTTACTCTTAGTTTGTTTCTACTGGCAGAGGTTTGTATAGCTTTGCATTGTACAGCAATAAAGTTTTAATGTTTTGGGATTTGTGTTTTCTTTCTTAGTTTGGAGTGGAGATTCCGAACTTTAAATTGAGGGTATATGCCTTAATCCGTTGAGATATATGTTCGTGTGGAGGGATTTGCGTTAGATTTTCTATTTTCAAAAGTAAATTAAACTGTGATTATATTCATATTTCATAGTTATAAAACTTGAAAGGCAACAACCAGATATTTCTCAATTCATCATTTTTATTTTGTATTCTGAGATAACCATATTGGTTTTTTGGTTTTCTTTTAAAATGTTTATTGTTTTAGAAAAGCAAAATTTTTAACAGTTTTTTTCTTTTTTCTTTTTCCTGAAAAACAAAACATATTTGATAAATATTTTTTGTTTTTTTTTTAAGTTAGAGAGAGAAAGAAAAGAAAAGTTAGAGAATTGATAAGGATATATGTTAGAGGAAGAAATATGAGGGAGGGAAAGAAAAGTTACACACAGATGGAGAGAGATTTCAAAGAATGAAGTTTATTTCTTTAGGGCTAATTTTTGTAACTATCTTTTAGAAAGCAATTTCTTTGTTGGACATATTCCTAGATTATTTTTCACTGCAAATTCATTAATTTTACTAATTTAAGCATCTAAAATTCTCAGACAGTTAAAAGTAGATATCTAAGACTACAAATTTATCTATAGTTGGTCAAACTAAAATCAAAATGTCATGAGATTAAGGAATAAAAAGAACAAGTATATATATTAATTCATGAAAACCTCAATACATTTATAGATGTATCATTTATTGATATTAAAAACATATAAATTACTTTAAATGTCTAGAATGGCGCGGCGAAAAAGCTTCGAGCCTTCTAGCACAATTGTCGTAAACTTTCATAGGATTAGGCTCATAGATTTCCAAACCAGGAAAATGGTACCAACTAGCAAAATTAGAAGCACATCTCTTCCCCATGGCTTTAACGAAGATGCAACAATTTAGATCCAATTCCTTCTTGCTTATATTGAAGTGGTAATTATAAAGTTCCACTTGACATTTTGCATTCTTCATTATATCTAAACACGGTCTTAGATTGTATCCTCTATCCTCATCAACCCATCCATCCCATATCGGTGAATTGTAGTCGTCATCAGCCATTGAAGGTTGAAGTAAAGTTGTCAAGTTTGTTGCCAATAAGAGAACCACCACTGCTCTCATTGTGTTATTCACTTTTGCCATTGCTAAGTGTTTTTATTTTTCTCTTGGAATGTGTTTTGCATTTTGTTTCGTGTGAGTCTCCAAGCTATTTATAGACTAATGTGGAAAAGAAAGTAATGCACGAAGATCACTTCAACGAAGAGGTAGAGAGAAATTTTCTTAACTTGCATATGTATTGATTAAAGAAGTTTTTTGTTTTTTGTGTTTTTAACGGGATTAAAGAAGTTATTGTGTAGGGGAGTTATTGAAATGAAGATTTAAATCACTTTGATGGGAAACATATTTTAACATCCCTATTTGATACACATATGCTTAAAGTTGAAGAGGCTTTTCATTTTTAGAGAATGTAGACGTTTACGGTTCATGGGTAAATATCTCGACAAGTCATACCTATTAAAGTAGTCATTTGCATTTACACCGAACTCCAAAAAATTGAACTTAAAAAAAAAACTCAGTTATTGTCATCCAACTAAGATGTTTTAATATAATTGAACCTATAAGTTTGAACTCTAATTTCTTGTTTTTTTTTTTGTGTAATACTCTTTAAAAAATTTGATATGCATTTGAGAATGTTATTTTTAGATATAAGTTAAAATATATATATCTTTACTAGATTACTCAATGCTATCCAACTAAGATATTTGAATATAATTAATTTTCAAAGTTAATATTTGATATAAAGGAAGTACAATGTAACATAATTGCAGAGGTTTATAATAAAGGCGTAAAATATTATTCATTTGCTAAAGGTTTTTGATGATATATGTGTTCATTTGTTTTATTTGGTAGTTTTTATAAGTAATTTCAAAATATACGTCAAATTTTACCGAACGAAAAATAAAATAAAATAATAATAACAATAAAAAGTAGTTTTAATTTTTTAAAATGGGCTAAGAATTCAAATTTTATGTTTTTGAAGAGAGTCGAGAAAAACTTAATAATCATGAAATTGTACAAAACAAGCAAAAATTTTTAAAATAAAAAAGTAAGGACAAAATAATTATCAATTAGGCGTAAATAATGGAGGGGGATTTTAACAACTTCTCAAGAGAAGTTACTCACACCACTATATGGCAATATTTAATTTTATCTGAACCATGGAGTATTATTGTGTTCTTATATTCCTTTAGAGAGAGAGAGCACTTAAAATCAATTTGGGATTTACTTTTATAAATAAGTTATGTTTTGTCGGTATTTTTAATCTGTTTTAATTGTGTTGTTGACTTTCTTGTTGGTATTCCTCTAACTTTATTGACAGGTCTCTTTAATATGTTTCTACGATAATCTATTTTTTCCTAAATATACATATTTTTATAAAAGATAAAGTTTTAATTTTTTTTTTATAAAACCAAGATCTTGCTTATAAAGTAGTGCTCGGAGAAAAAGGAGAGAATTACGAAAAGTTATTACAACACCATCGATAATTGGTGCAACTATTAGAATATGTTGAATTGATCGTGAGCATCACATTATTAAATTTTAATAACCCTTACTTAAAAATATTGCTCTCCGGAGGCTAAAACTATCCTAAATATATAATTCGAGAGCCAGGTTCTCTACTCTTAAGGTAAAATAAATTGTGTTGTCTCAAAAAAAAATGTAAAATAAATTGTGACTATATTCATATAGTTCCAAGTTATAGAATTTGAAGGCAAAAAACAAGATATTTCTCAATTAATCATTTTGTATTTTTCTCTCTCATCATTCTGTTTTTCTTGTTTTTGTAAAGAGCAAAAGTTCAACAGCCCTTTTGTTTTCTATTTCTTTTTTAAAGAAAGAGAAAAAATATATTTTATGCTAATAATTTTTTAAAAGAAAAAAATTAGAGAGAGAAAGAGAAAGGTTGAGAGATATATATAAATATGTTTTGAGTCTTTTAAAATAATAAAAAAAAAGAAATATGTTTGAGGGAAAAATAAGAGAGGAAAAAAAGTTTTTTTATTATTTTTTTATTTTTTTGTACAAGAGAGGAAAAAAATTGCTACGTATTGGTATCTTATTTTTCGAGATATGTTGTAGTAAATTCATCAATTTTACTAATTTAGCCAAATCGTTATTTAAGATAAATTTTTACCAATAGTTAGTGAACTAAAATAAATTAATTTTTCACGCTCAATTTAAATATGATCAAAGATTAAAAAAGAGAAAAGAAAATACGTGAACTAATACTCAAGAAAAATAAAAAAGCAATAAAATCGAGTGAAAATATTATTCATTTACTAAATGTTACATGATATAAATAATTGAGGGAGATTTTAGTAACTTCTCAAGGGAAAAGTTACTTTGCACCATAAGAGTTATGTTTATTAAGGTAGTCATTTATATTATCCCTATTTTGACAATCCCTATTGTGGGACTAAATTCGCGAGATTGAAATTGATGCCTGTGACAACTTAAAAGATAATTCAACAATTCAATTGAGCATAATTCTTATCTTCATTTGCGTTTAATCTATTGACGTTTTTAAATAGAAACCCTCGAGGATATAAACAACAAGATTAACAAAGGAAAAAACATCATCTCTCCAAACTTTCAAAATATCCATCTAACATGCTTGGTAGGCTAGATCGAGACTACTTCAATCTCACCACGTGGTCGCGGCGTATGTTTAAACGACTCCTCTCAAGTTGTTCGCAAGACGATGAATCGCTTCTAAAATGAACTTCATTCGGATCAGAATCCTCTCAGTTAAAGCCAAAAAGAAAAAAAAAATAATAATAATAATTCCAAATATTCATATTCGACTTGAATATTTGATGGTTGGCTAATTGTTTACGTGCTTCAACCTTTGGCAGAGGGCCGAAGTATCCAATAGGAGCACAAGAAACTTTGAAAGGGAATTAGATTCGGCGTTGAAAAAGGACGCAGAGGCATCCAATCCTATTCTTGTTTTCACCGTTCAAACTTCTCCACGCCTCTTATTTTCATTACTATTTTCTTTTTATTAATAATAAATTAATTTGAAGACGGGTGCTTAAATCAGTTGAATTAGGCTGACTCATATTAGATCAACGACATACTTTTATCTTTTATAAGTTATGGTTTACTTAATTTTAAAAGGTTCGTTTTTCCCCCTATAATTTGGTTAAAAATTTAAAACATTATTTTAGGAGTATGTCAAAAGACATCTAAATCGTGAATTTGTTAATAGAAAATTTTTGTTCTTTTTTTAATAAAGACTAGCAAAGCGAAATACCAAATTAAATTTGACTTTATAATCATAAACATCTTGAGATAGCTCAGTTGGTTACTTATTTTCGACCAAAAGGTTATGAGTTTGAATTTTCACCCCTACGTGTTATTAAAAAAAAAATCATAACTTTTTAGGAGTTTTTTTTTTCTTTTTAATATAACGTGAGGGATCAACTCACAACCTCTTGATTGGAGATATATGTCAATGAGTTATATTCGTTTTGACAACTTTTAAAGAGTTAATTTTACATTATACCTATAAATTTTTTTTAATAATTTAAAACATTAAGTTAGCATTATAAATATGTCTGTCCACATTTTTTATATTGTATTAATACTTAATGGAAATTATATAGACCGTTACGAGGAGGAATAGTCTTTTTTTCTTTGGAAGAGGTATACAAATAGCATGACGCCTCTCTTCTAATCCTACATACCATCACCTGTCGAAATCGACTCAGTCAATACATCAGCTATTTGATTTCCTTATCGCATCTTGTGAAGTTGAACTTCATGACTTAATTTATATTAGGAGCCTAAAGAACCGAACTGAATTGAAAAATCAACTCGAATCGATTCGATTCGGTTCAAGTTGGATTGGTTATAGGTTCCGTTTTACCTGATGGTTTCTCTTTCTAGATACATTTGTCCAAGTAAAAAAACTATCAAGATCCAAACTTTACCCCAATCTAAAACAAATATTTTTCTGGTCAGTTCGGGTTTGTACAAAACCAACCCAACCCGATCCAATTACACCCCTAATTTATATAACAGATTTTTTTTTTTTTTTTTGTAATTACAAGACAAAAGTTTAGACCAGAAAAAATAATCCAAAAAGATAAGAAATAAATTGCATGAAAAATTTAAAATTAAAATATCCGATAATGTAAGAAATAAAATAAAATAAATAGGAAAGTTAAGTAAAAATATGATTTTATAATGAAAAAATAGTAAAGCTGAAAGTCTACAATATGGCGCGGGTCATCGTCACGTGCTTATCACTCGCGATCGACTCTCCTTTTCAGTCTTCAGATCGCTCACCACATAAATCGGAAGAGCCAATAGGATCCAAATTCGCGATCGCCGAACCTCACAGAAGCAAAATGAAGTTCCTCTTTTCGTTCTTTCTTCTCTCTGTTACTTCTCCCGCTCTGTTTCACGTTGCACTCGCCCGAGGCGGCCTCAATCGCTCGATTTCTCCAGGTTTCTGCTTTGCTTTCGACGTAACGCTTCTTTTTCTTTGTTTATGTTCGTGCGAATGCCATACTTTCTGTTTGGCTGCTGAGAAATTGGTATTTATTGCGTAGTTGATGATTTTGAACTAAGGAAAGCACTCCTCCGGTTTATCTAGTTTAATTCTGCAATTTTTTGTTCATCTGAATCGGTTTTTTCTTTGTATTCCTACATGACATTTTGATTTTCTTCTGTATGAGTTGAGGCGAGGAAAGAGTAAATGTGATCCAACGCCTTTTCTCAGTTCTAAATTTTCTTGCATTCTTCCTTTGACATGTAGCTTACGTTGCGCTACTTGGACTTCGGATTATTAACTTTCATTGCTTCGATTGAATTTGAATGTACTTTTTAATCGGTGTTCAGTTTCTTTATGCAGTTGGTTTCGGTGGTAGTGTATGATGTTTTCTCGTTTTAAATTTTCTTTCCTTCTTCCTTTGTTATGTACCTTAGGTTGTGCGATTCGGAATTCTGATTGTTTTCTTTGATGATTTGAACTGAGTTTGAATGTATTTCTTAATCGGTGTTGTGCAGTAGGTTTCAGTAGTAGTGTATATGGCGCTTCTGCTAGATTTTTACTGGACGACAAGAAATCTCAAGAAAGGTAGCTAGTCCATGGAGACTTCGTATATTTTGTGTTTGTTTTAGTTTTATTTTCTTTATGTTACTTTGAGGTCTGGAAGATTTGAAAACTTATTCAGTGGCAGCATCTCACAAGGTTATATGACCAATGAAGAGCTTGAAGAGGCCGTTAAAGCTTTTGGTCAAAGATGTAGTAAAATTTCTAGGATATACAGGTAACTCTTAAGAGTTTTGATTCCTTATTATCACGCAAAGAAGGTCTAATTAATGTGCTAATTTTTCTGTCGCACTTTCCTTTCCTCTCTCTTGGATGCTTGATCATGATTAGTATTGGAGAAAGCGTGCAAGGGTTTCCACTGGTAATCATTCCAAAATGTTAGTTCTTTTGTTTATTCTAAACATCCTTCCCTAATAGCTATTCTTTTAAGTCAAAACGTACAATATCTGATGAAGTGCTGTCATCTGATTGGTAATAGTGGGTAATGGAAATTTCTGACAAGCCTGGCCAAGAAGAAGCTGAACCTGCATTTAAGGTGAATGGTCTGCCACTTGCATAATAGACTATTTGTGACTTCACGTCCCCACAGCTTTAGTTTGTGAAGTCTTTTTTCCTCTTTAATGATAAGCAATTCAGTTATGAATCTTTAAGGAAGCATCTGCAGTATTTTGCCTAATCTTACTTATATGATTAATAGTCTTGACTCTAAATGATTTGCATTGTTGAACACAATTTCTTGAGAAAGATGAACTATTGGATAGATGAAATGTAGTATATTCAATAGATCCTTTGCAGTGAGGAAAAGAAAACGATTCTAGTTGTTAAGTCAGCACCACTTCTAGGGGAAAAATGCATCTCCTGAATGAATGGTAGATAATTTAAATCATGAAATTATAAAATAAGAAAATAAAAACATTTTCTGTTGTACTAGGTCCAAGTACACTAATTTTACTATTGCTCTTTACCTGTTTTATGGGGCTGTATGCCATGATGAATTAATGAAGAACATAATGCATGTATACTCGAACTTTTTATTTAGTAGCCATTCCAGCCTTCCAGGCCCACTTTTGATATAATAGCGTTTGCTGTTCTGTGCATGTGTTAGTTGTTCTTTGACTGCTCGCACGATTTGAAATGAAAATTGTACTTTCTGACTTTTCACCATGTGCATTGTGTGAGTGTCTGTATTTCCATATGTCTGTCCCAGGTGTTGAATTGAATCAGAGTATTTTGGTAAAAGTGCCTGTATACTAACTTTTGGAAGTTTGTTATTTATTTGATATCACAGTACATAGGAAATGTACATGGAGATGAACCTGTTGGCCGCGAGCTTCTTTTGCAATTTGCAAACTGGATATGTGATAATTACCCGAAGGATCCATTGGTAACTTATATAATATTTATTTTCATTTACATACATCTTCATTCTCATTCATATGCACCATTCCACATGCATTCTGTTATACAAAGATATTGTTCATCTTGATTCTTCATGGCTTTCTTGTTTATTTATGCCATTTTCATAACCTAGTTGTCAAATCGTGTTTGCATGAGACATGTTTATGTTTAAAAACTGCATGTTTTTATGCAACAACCTGGCTTTTTTTTCCTTGTGTTATAATTCCCAGATTTGAGAAAAGTGATGGACTTACACTTTTAATTCATAGACTTTTGTTGTTCTGATTTTATACCATTATTATTTATGTTTTCAGTTAGCACCCGTGTATGTGCACTCTGTACTCTAACATTCCCAAAGAATAGCATATTTATGGAAGGTGTTGATCTCTTGTTAAGTTTTTAATTTTTATTTGGGAAATTAGCTTGGGTGGTATAATACCGAAGGCAAATTCAAAGAAGGAATCCTTTTATTTGCCTGAAACCCAATTGGAGTTGTCTATGCAAAAGACCTGTGTTAAAGAACTTTTGCTTTTCAGATTGATTTTGAGATGCAATATTTTATTTTCCCTTATGTAATTTGTTCTACTACTTTTGTCTCACTCTGAAGTTTCAATTTATTTCTGAAGGCTACACTGATTGTGGAGAATGTTCATCTTCATATACTTCCATCTATGAATCCTGATGGGTTTTCTCTTAGGAGACGTAACAATGCAAACAATGTCGATCTAAACAGAGATTTCCCTGACCAGGTTCATTTACTGACCTCCTAATTTATTGTGAGTAAATTTAAGTCATATCAGGCTTTCCAACTTTGATTAAATTCAGATACAAGTTTGGAGATCTTTCTTATCTAGTTTCTTGAGGGAGGTCCCTACCGTCCCTCTGAGGCTGTTCTTTGCCTTAATGAAGAAGTTTCTTGTCAAAAAAATAAAAATAAAAATAAATTCAGATACTATTGCAGAAGAGGTTGTATTTTGCAAATGCATGTTATTTTAATACATGATTAAATGATTAATGTTAAGTGGAAAATTATGGGATATTAAATGTCCATAAAGCATATGAAAAGCAAAATAGTTAATAGGGAAGATCTACCGGAAGAATTAGGTTTTTGAAATGTTTTAAATTCACAATCATACATTGGTGCAATGCGAATAATAATAGGTAGTAATAATTAATAAGTTGGGTCTCTTTGTTATAACTGTTTTGAATTCTGTTATCCATTTTCGGGTGGGGCTTTTCTTTTTGTGAGCCTTTGCCTGTATTTTCTCCTTTGTTTTTCTAAATAAATAGTAATTAATAAAATAATAGGTAATAATCTATTCTAGCTTATGTTATTTGCGCAGGTTATTGATCTCAACTGCGATATTTGCTTGCTTGGATATGAAAACCCATTTCCAATTTGATATATATATATATATATATATATATATATATATTCCCATATTTTATTCTCCTGATTATTGCTTTTGTCTGTTCATCTTAACTGAATATATCAAGCGATTAGGCTCTTACCGAGATAAAACAGATATTAAGTGATTAAGCTGACATATCTGTTAACCATAGCGTGCCATATGTAAGTTCATCGATCCTCTAAGAGAATGCAATACCTTTCCATCGCTCCATCTTTTTTAATTTGCCTGATATGTTGGAAGTGGGCATCAATATATGTATAATTTCATAATATTAAATTGTTTTCTTCTTCTGTCCATAAGATTTAATGATCAATATCAATATTGGTTGCAGGCTATCTGATGCAATATCTGTTTCCTTATTTTATTGATCTTGATTATAATCTATATTTGCTTTTCTAAATCTAAGATTTTGGATGATTATGTGTCATCATCCACTATTCTGTGATCCCTTTTCTGTCTGCATCTTGTTGGATTTACTTGGTTTTATTTTGTTCTTTTTAATCCCGAGACCAATTGTTTTTCAGTATTAAATGGCCAAAACCAATTCTACGATGTTATACGTTTTAAGCAGGGATTAACTGTACATTTAATGTCAGTTTTTTGACATCAATGATGATGAGTATGCACGACAACCAGAAACAAAAGCAATCATGAAGTGGATTAGAGATGTACATTTCACTGCCTCTGCCAGTTTGCATGGGGTAATACCTACCTTTGTCTTCTTCTGCAGCTTAAGGAAATCTTAACACTTCATTGGTTTCTGTACGATCACCTTGTCTTTCTACTCACTCTTTCTTTTAAATTCTGGAATAGCATTGTTCGGGACATTTTTTAAGCGAACTCTCTACCAAAAGAAGCTTTTTCATTATGAGAAACAAGCTATTTATAACCTTGTGATGTGACAGAGCTATTCTTTTTTAAATTGGTTCTTATCGCTGCAAGTAAATAAAATAAAGAAAGAACAACGCCAGATTTCAACCATAAAACAGTAGATTCTTGAACAGTGATTTTGGTTATGGGGCTCATTTGGTATAAATGTTACTACGCATCTTTTTCTAGTTATACTTTGTATGATCTTTTGATGAGTTGGAGGGCATTTTTGTAGCTCTTCTCCCGTTTGCATCCTTCCACTTTTGTATATTTCATCTTATTAATGAAATATGTGTTTCTTATTAAAGAAAAAAAAATCTAAAAAAATGTTTTGGTCGTAGGAAAGGAAAAGGGGTACAGGGGTAATTTTGCTGTATTATGTGATAGGTTGTGGGGCCGATCTGTGGGATCCAAAAAGAATATTAGTTAGTTAGTTTGGGTAAGCTGGATATAGGGGGAAGGGATATTATCTGGGGGCATTCTCTTTTGGTAATTGTTCTGTGTACGTATGTGAGTGAGGTAAGGAGCGGTAGGGAGCTCTATAAACTCCCTTGGATATTTTCCCTAATGCACTAATAAACTGGTTTCTATCATCGTATCATGTTCTAAGTTCAATTGTATGAATACTGATTTAAGAAACACTTAAAGACGCTTCGTCATTGCCTTTCCTCTCTATAGGGTGCACTTGTTGCAAATTTCCCATGGGACGGCACTGCAGATAAAAGGTGATATTTCACATTAAATTTTTTAGATTTTCCCAGACTTGCCACATTCTTTCATGTTTTATTTTTGTGTCCATATATATTCTGTTGCTCCAGTGACAAGGACTAATAATTGAACCAGGACTCGGATCTCATTTCTTGATGATTCCTTTTCAACTATTCCTCAGTACATGTGCTTGTTTCTTCAAAATATTTGTGTATATTTTTGCCATTTATTCTATCAGCATTTTTCTCATTCATTACCCGTGGTGAATGCCAATTTAGGACATCATGTTTTCCTTGAGAAATTATGGTTGTCTTCTGTCTCTGGCACTTGAATTGGTTTGCAATTATGTTGATGATAAACAACCATAGCTATCTAATTCCAAACTTAACTTCCGCTTTAAGACTTGGAAAAGTATAAATGAGAACAAACAAAATATTTTTGTTTAATCCCCAAAAAAGACTTATTAGGTCAAAAAAATGACCAATCAGTTTAAAGACGCCCCATAGATGGTGGCTGAAAATTTTGCTAGCTGAATTAAAACGTTATTATAAAAATTCTTTATATATTCTATTCCATTATGCATTTTCAGCGTGCATTAGTATGTGATGATGCCTGATGCATGACTGTCATAAATATGTTACCAATATGGCGACGGTGCCTCACTAGCTTTATTTCCATTTTCTGAGAGTCAGTTAATATTTCGGTTGCTCACTCCCTTTTCACATTCTAAACTTTGATTTTTCAGGAAATATTACTATGCGTGTCCTGATGATGAAACATTCCGGTTCATGGCTAGTGTCTATAGTCGCTCACATCATAATATGTCTTTTAGCCAGGAATTTCAGGGAGGAATTACAAATGGAGCTTCATGGTATAGCAATGAATGCTTAGTGAATTATTTTCTTTTCCGAAGTACTTTTTAGAATTTACACAAGGTTTCTGTAGGTACCCCATATATGGTGGCATGCAAGACTGGAACTATATACAAGGTGGCTGTTTTGAGTTAACTTTAGAGATTACAGACAACAAATGGCCTCCTGCTGATGAGGTTTGAGCTGAGTTCAATTCATCCTTCCTTCAATAGAAAGGAACAAAAAACTTAGTGTAAACTTGTTATTCCATTACTCTCAATCAAGTAGAAGTGCTATTCACTAAATGATTTTTCTCGTTTACATATATGCAGCTTGCTACCATTTTTGAGTATAACAAGTTGAGCATGCTAAATCTCGTAGCAAGTCTTGTTCAGGTACACCTTAGTTTTTCTTTGAGTTGCATTTGCGTGTAAGAGTATAGTATAGACTTCTCTTCTCTTCTCTTCTCTTCAATTGGCTGCCTGTCAAAGAAACTGGAAGATTACTCAATGAATTTAAAAAAAGTTTGCAGACCCTTTTTCGTAGATATGTTATTAATCATTAATATATTCTCCTTAGATTTGTTCGTATAAGTTCGTGCACTAGATAATATATCGATTATGATTTATGGCCTTGTGCTATTCAGACAGGAATACATGGAAGAATTTTTTCATCAGATAGTGGAAGGCCGTTGCCTGCAACCATTACACTCAAGGGCATAGACTACTCGGTACATTTGAATCTTTAATTTTCTTTGTATGTATATTGCATTTGATCATGCATTCAAATGACAAAAAATCTTTATTGCATTTGAATCTCACATGGAAAAACTAGTCTTTATAAAACATAGCAAAAATAGATTGACGTAGATGTCTATTGGATGTTATTGTCTAACATAAAGAAACTGCGTGAAGAATCCATATAGTTTTTTCATCCTCTCCTTAATTATCATATTTGTAACAACTCTGCCTCTGCCTCCTGTATTAGAACTTAAGACGACTCCACTGTTTGTTTTATACTCTTTTTTATATCGTTATCATTTCATACAAGAGAAACTGGGGGATGGTGGAGATAGGAGAAGACAATGGAGAGAATTCTCACTCTCTGGTGAAAAATGTAGCTGGATAATATGAGTGTTCTTAAATTTAATTGGCAGGTTAAAGCTAGTCAAAGGTTTGCAGACTACCACCGATTAGCTGTACCAGGACAGAAATATGAAGGTAAGTGCCTCTATTAACTGTTTCTATGGAGTTATGATGTTGGTCAATCATGTTGAAATTCTCAATGTGCTAGGTAAAAAATTTTTGAGCATAAAACTTATTTACTTGGAACAATTGGTCATCATATATATTGCCTTGTGTTAAAAAAACATTTAACTGCAATTATGGAGTTTTTCCATAGAGCTCAATTTGGCTGTGTCTTGAAAAGACTTTTTTTTTTCTCTTTTTTTTCCAAACTACTTATGGTTTCCAGCATGATTTTAAAACTTAAAGTCTCTTATTGTATTTTAATGGTTAAAAATCACTATTGGTCTCTGGTCTCTGAACTTTTATTGAGGTCAAGATTCGGTCTTGAACTTAAATTTGCCCTTCTACCTTCAAATTTGTTAACAATTTAGTTCCTACAGGAAAAAAGATATATATATTGTTGAGATTTAATGAAATTTCTTATACATGTAGATTGATAATATAAAGAGGGACCAAATGTATTTATAAACTAAAAAATCTAATTTGTTACATAATAAAAATCAACAATTAATTTTCATGACATTTTTCAACTAGAAATTAAATTATTATTGATTTGAAAGTACAATGACTAAATTGTTATCAATTAAAGTTCAAAAATTAAATTGTTACTTCAATGAAAATATAAATAAATATCAAAAGTGCTTTTCTTTTACATTTTTTATACGTTTTTTTGACATATTTTGATTTATTGTCTTGACTGAACCATCCGAGTTATACCATCATTTAAAGAGAATATACTTGTACGCTACGAGCATAATGCTTCTACTTTTTTTTAGCATATTTATAATCTTTTGAATATTGTGAAAACGGAACTTTATCATGTGCTTATAACGTGGGGCACTGAACATGATATGCTATAGACATGAATGCTTGGTGTCATTACCATGTTCTTTTACTACTATTATTATTATTATTTTTTTTTTTTGTATTGGTATTAGTTAAAGTAACCCCTTTACTTTCACAAGAGTATAAACAAATAGCCAAACAAAGAGTCCATAAAACATACAATAAAACCTGGTCAAAGCAAACATAACTCAACGATAATTAATATGTATCTCCATTCAAGAGATTGTGAGTTTGATCCTTGTACTAAAAAAAATACAATAAAACCTCCAAACTCCAAATTGAATGATGGACTAAGAACATAAAATGACCAAAAAGAAAATATTCACTTTGAATGGTAAATAAATAATAAGATATTGATAGTAACTTGGGGATTGTTTGATAATATTTTTGTTCCAAAGTTTCTCTTTTTCAATTTTATTTAAAAAGCCTAAATATTTTATAATTATTTGTGTTTCTTGTTTCTAATTTTTTTAAAGAAACATTCTCAAGATTGTATAGAAATTTTAGAAACAAAAAATTGTTTCTTATTCACTTTTCCAATTTGTTCCAAAACATTAAAAAAAATTATTGTTATCATTTTTGAACCATGAAATTTTATTTGTCTTTACTGAAAAAAAGGAACGAAAACAAATGAATCCTTAAATTATGGAAAAAGTTTTGGTAATCCCTTGGATGAAACTTAGTTTTCAATAATTCAACATTTAACACTAAAATTATCTTAAGAAGAGAGGCCGATCACATAAAAGATCCTAAAACATTCCTAAAATATAGTTCACTCCCCTGCCCTAGATGGAAATTAGAAAATTCCTCCCCAATTTGAGGCCATTATTGGAAAATAATAGATACCAAACTCTTTATCTAAAGCCCAACAATAACTATTTGATATTGACCATTAGAAATATGTCATCCTATATTATTATCTTCAATAAATCCAATTATTGGGTGCATTCAATCTTCAATAAATTCAAATATGTGAGTTGAAATTTAAACCTGCAACTTTTCAAAGGAGGTAGAGAACAAAAAACATTTCAAGCCATTAGAATTTAGCCCATTGCAACCTAATATAGATAAAAGAGAACTTTCTATACTAGAACTTGGAAAATTTCATGGCACCACTCAAGCTTATTGTTTTGAATGCGTTGGCATTAATTTGTGTTATTCGTATTATAAGTGTGACAGATATTGTGTTTTTTATTCCAAAGTTTCGGCAGAATGGTGACAAATATTAGACTAGAGTATGTTTCTTGATTCGACTATTGGGTATAACTGCAGTAATCGCGACGACGCCTGGGTACAAGTCGAAGAATACAAGCATCTGGTTGGGGGAGGGAGCAATGTCTCTAGACTTTGTTCTTGATCCAGAAACCACGACCAAAGGGAAACTAATGCAAAACACTTGGGACTGTGACTGTTACAGTAGGCTCGACTTTGTAGCCTATATTTGGGGACACTACTTCCAAGCATATGTTTTCTTGGCGGTTGTTTTGGTGTTTATTTGCTTTTTATTTCAGAGGAGAATGAAATTTAGACTTTCCAAGCAAAGATTAGTGGCAGTGCCTAAGAGGATTGTGGTCTGAGATCAGTGTTTGTTTAGTTTAGTATTAAATTTATTTCATGCTATTTTTCCATCACTAGAGAAATGATTATTGTAACACGACAGTTTTCTAAGGCCTTAGAAAAGGAAGAAAAGATCTTTGGGTAAGTATCTTTTGTACTTCAGCCTCAACAATCTGAGTAAATTATGATCGTATGTACCATTTCAGTCCAATTTCCTTTCCTTGCCGAGGGTCTAAATCTTAGGTAATTGAATTCGTTACCTGCTCCAAATTTTCTAGAAACAGTATACAAAAATTTTTGGTTAAATTACAAGTTCAGTTTTTGAACTTTTGGAGAAATGCCTAATAAATCCTCTTTTTTTTTAAAAAATAATTTCTATGCTTTGACAAGCAAGTTTTGTCCCGGAGGGCCAGTCTCATAGGTAAGGGAATAGAATTTTTTGTGGTGCATCTACCATAAAGTATTGTGTGTTCAAACTTATGTGTCCGAGGTTTAGATCTTGAGTAAGTGCTGATGTCCCACTTATAGGTGTAAAAATGCTTAAGAGCTATTGATTCTAGGTTATAAAAAAAAAATAGCAAGTTTTTTAACTAACTATGCATAAGCTTACACAATCCTAACATTTAACCCATCAAGTATAAGGGAGGAGAGCGACAACCGTGCCTTCAATGACAAAAGGAAGCTTACTTGATGGTTTTTGAGATTCTATTCTCTTTTCAGCCCTTTCTTGGTGTAAACTTCACTGTCCTATCACAATTCTTACATTCTCTTAATGCTCTTTTAGCCTCATGGATTCTCTTTTCAGCCCATGGAAGTCCTTCTTTAACTAGGGCTTCTTGTCGGGCTCTAGGAAAAAAAAAAAAATATATATATATATATATATATACACACTTTTTCAATCATCCATTGTTCAAGGTTTGGCTTCCCCTCCCCTCGGACAACTGATGGGTAGCATTAAATCCAGATAGTGCCCCTACAACTTTTACCTCCTTTTCTTGAATTCAGATTTTGAATCAGATAAAATAAGACTAGTCAGCGTATACCACAATTCCAGACCTGGTAGCTTCTATATTCTACAATCTAAGTAGCAGTAGCAAGCAATCGGAAAAACTAGCACTGAAATTAACCAGTTCTAGTATTAAAATGAAACTATGCTTTGTCTCTACTCTCTATCATATTTAACCAACAGAAGGAAGAATAAGTAAAAGTTTTTAGAGATATCTTCTGCCTATGTTCCGGAGCAGACGATCGAAATTATGGCAGGCAGACAAATTAAAACCAGGAAGTTGCATCATGCTTAAAATTTAAAGACTAAATGAAAGGTGAACCATTAAAACGATGACCTGTGTCATTGTGGTTCGATAGGTCTCTCAGATGGCGGATGCCTCTTAGCAGCAAGCATCTGCTTTGTTTTTTCAAGGACACCAAAAAATATAGCGCCTCCTAACCCTATCCACAGTACCCTTGGCCCTATGCCCTGCAATTAGGAATAGAGAGGGTCATAATTTATATGGTCCATTTTGCAAGGGAGACATTGTGTGCCCCTTCATCGTAAAACTATTTCGGTGAATCTGAGGAATCGTTTGAATGATTTAAGCTTTTGAAGGATAGCTTAATATATTATTTAGAAAGATCCTTCTATTCCCTTTATATCAGTAGGTGTGAATAATGAACAACAAACCTTGAGAAAGGCACGTGGTCCTTCTTCCTTCATTATGGTCCTACAACAATCACGAATACCTTGATATTGGCTTTTCGATCCCTGTATGATATTAAGAAATGATATAGAAAAAATGTGTTAACATTTGACATGATCTTTTACCAATAAAAAGGTGAGGAACAGCTCAATTGATACCTGAACCATTAATCTGGTTTTGATCACGTCAAGAGGAGTGGTTACAGCACCAGTAATAGCACCTACAGGGAAAAAGCAAAAATGTTGGATAGGATATTACTTAGCATTTGTATTAGCTGCCTGGATCAACCGTTTGAAAGAGTAATGGAATGAAATCAAATATTTTTGTCCACAGTTCTGTGAAATAACCTCCCTAGGAAACTATAAATACTAGTACTGGTGTTGAATATTAGCCGATACTTTTATCAGATTTTGTTTCCTCAATGTGTCAATTATGAAATGCATGACAAGGCCTTTAAATCTGCAACTAGGTATCGGTCATGAATAATTTGAAATCATAAGGCATGTCATTATGATGAAAGTGACTAGATTAGAAAGAGAAACTGGAAGATGAATAGCTCCTGGCCTCCTACGTATAAGGAGTCCACCGGAAGCATCCATTAAATTCGACATGCTATGAGTTCTATAAACATACTGTGATGAATAAGAACTAAGATATGCAATCAATCTTGCTTGACATAAAAGTGGACACAGAGATGAGTAGAATTCTTCACAATTATTTAGCAGTTTGCAATGATTCATGGAGAGAGAGAAAACATAAGTTGTTTGAGTTTAGAAGGCAAGGAAATTTCAGGACACTTTCACCGGAACTCCCATGGAAACACTTTGAACCAAAGAAGAAAAAATGAAATTCGATGATTTACCAGCAAAAGCTCCGATTATAGCATTCTCAGGATCATCTGGATCTCTTTGCGCCTGCAGCAAGATGTATAATATTCATTCTCCATAACAAAATGGTAAATCCACCTTAGTGCAACTTAGCATAAACAAGAGATGAAAAAGTAGAAGTCAATATCGGTTGACGGAATTATTCCAATTGCCTGGTACCCTGAGCTTCTTGAGTGGAATATGTCGAAGAACACAAGATCATTTTATGATTCGTGTTGCAATTTATGTTTTTTAAAAAAAAAGAAAGCTTTTGCTCCAGAAAAAATAAAGTTTAGATTAGGTCCTTGTATATATAAGAACTTACCGCTAGCTTGTACCCTATCCTAAGTTGTTCGTAAATGCAGAACTGAATGGCATCAAATGGCAAATCTCGCAGTAAGAAAGATCCATATCCCTGAAACATCAAAGAAACAGGAAATTGAATGCAGTTATTCAACAACTGATATCTAATCTCAAGAAGTATAGATATACATTTATGGACGCTTTGTATAAAATTAAAAAATCAGTTACAAACTGATTATATCATTACCGCATAAAGACCTCTAAAACCTTCCCTTGAAACAATAATGTGGACAGCACTCGACGCAGAAGCAAAGTGGCTAGTCTGCATCCTTTGCTTAACTACCTGGAAATAATGAACAAATAACAAGCTCAGAAGGCAAGAACAGAATATTGTAATACGGCAGATAAATTTAACTACCTCTGTTGGCACACGGATGAGGGAAGAAGCCACGCCTCCTATGACACCTGCAGTCTGTATGTAGCTTGAGCACCTATTAAATTAACAATTAAAGAGCTCTATCCAACATTCTGATGCAATGCTTCACTCTAACATATCTTATAAAAAAAAACCGCGTGGAACCTGATGGTATTTTGTTACAAGATAGCAAAAATGCCCGACTGCTAAAGCCCAAAACATCTGCCAGACTCTATGAATATTGTAAACGGAAACATGGTCGGTGGTGAATCTTACCAAATGAGCGAAAGCATTGAGGTTTTCGGGGAATGAATTGAGCAATTTCTGCTTGGTAGGTTCATATACACCAACAAATATGGCAGAGGCACTGCTAATAGAGAAATTGTAGAACATTTAGCAGTTAGCAATATGATGAGAAATAAGAGCAATTACCGCGTTAAAGAACCAACACTCATAATTTTAACACAACTATTTCAATGAATTAATGGCTGAAAAATAATAGTAAACGAATAAAAAGCTCCATGGTGCAATAAATTCTGAAAGCAATAATTACTATTACAAAAACTATGCTTTTCACTCCAATGGCTGAAAAACAGAGCGATAGCTACAGGCCATAATATCAAGAGAATAAGAAATTAGAGATTACTTAAAGGTTCCAGGGACAAACTACTATAAGATCAGGTTTTAAAAATAAAACATTTGAAACATGATACATTCTTGTCTCTCGTACAAACTAATGAGCTTCTTCGATTCCTTATATGACATATTTTCATATCCAGAATCGCATTAGAAATATTTCTCTCTAGAGGCCAAAATAAAGCTCCAAATTTGCATACATTTATCCGACATTCTAGTGGAGGAGATGATGAATAATATATGGAATTAAGTACACTCACGGTAACATCCCAACGAGGTTTGCAGCCAATCCAGAATAAAGTCCCTTCAGTACAATCTTTCCTCCGCCATGAACAGCCTAACAATACCATTTTAGATTAATTCAGAAATCCCCAGGTGCTCCACATTCAAAAACCAACATATGACAGAATAAAGCATGAAGAACCCTATTGTTACTTCAACAGGCATAAGTAATCAAATATGCAGACAATGACTTAAGCTAGGGAATGAAATACTTCGAATATACCATTTTGGAGATTGTATAGTTAATCATTCCTGTACAAATAATTTCCACCAAGAGATCAAAAAGTAAAACTTCATTCGTCAAGAAACACTTAAGATAATTTGAGGCTCGGAAGTTTTAGAAGCCCAAAAAACATTCACTTTCCCATTGGAAGTAACCTCCGCATATCAGCTACCTGTAAACGAGTTTTTATTGTATCAATCGGATATAGAGCAGCTTCTGCAACAAGACCAGCAGCACCTCCAGCTATAGCACCTTCTGCAAAAGCCCATAACAAAAGGATACAGCAAAATAATTCTATTAGATCTAATGGCAAACAGAGAGCATATGCGATTGGAACATACTTTATAGATTTCAACCATGATAAAGAAAATCTCAAACAATAATTAACAACTTATATCGAATTTTAGAAGTGATCATACAATGTTATTTAAATTGTTCATAGTAACGAGATAGTGTGATAGATGGAACAAACTTTTGGAAGCCTTGAAGACCATAGGGCTTAAAATCCGTGGGATAGGGGTGGAAAGTAAGAGGAATAACTTGATTGGTCATTTTCGTTATGTGTTTCAGGGGAGTTGAAATGCCTTAATACACATAGTATACATTGCAGAACGGATGTGTCATTTCCTCAATAATACCATGTAAATATCATAATGGCTCTGGGGAGTCTGATGTATATAGATTTAAGTCTTAGAATGCATATTAAGGAAACACTCTTAATTATTTATATATTAATACACATAATATACATTCGTATTGTATATGAGAATTTCCCAATGAATTCATCCAAGTTTAATAAATTAAATAAAACCTACCATATAAGGTACGTACGAAATCAAACTTGTTATCCTCTCCGACATTAAGTGTTGCAGAAATCTTGATGCCTTTATTTTCAGCGTCATTCATCCTGTGCACCAAAATATCTGTATAACAAAGCACGAAGGATTTAAAGTATGAAAAGAATAACTGTGTTCGATAAATTGTTGGAGCTTTGAATAGATGAAAATCTTTGGCAAACAAAAAAATCCACAACGATCCTAACCTTGGAGCTGAAAGATTATTTCGATAACATGCAGGCAAGGTGTTCGTTCAAAATACACGATCAGCCACAAGTTCTAACATGATTAGATCAAGTAAAACAACAAAGTTCATGGACTTCTGGATTCTCATGTAAGTAACGGAAGCAACAAAACAGCAGGAAAGTCTCGAAGTTATGACAAGCACCCTTAATTACTTAGCTCTTGGCAGAATCAGCCAAATTTGACAATGCAGCAGGATCGATTCCGATTCTCAGTTGGCTACTGGAAATAACCGAGAAACTAATGAACTTCAAACTGAAATATTAGAAACAGTTAAAGAACCTCCAAAAAGGAATTGCGAACTCGTGGAAGAAAGCTTGCGTTCCAGTAGAACCGTAAAGTATAAGTTCCTTCCAGATCGTATTATTCCTATCCATAGCCTAGCAAATGACTCCTACAGCGCACATCCTTGAACAATGCTTACACTGGTTACGCCATTCCACAACTACTTTCGTCATCTACATTTTCTAAGCAACCACGAAGTTCAAGCTCATCAAACTTGTTCAGAACAACTTCATGATTACTCTTCCTATTCAGGCCAATTAAAAATCACAACAACACTATCACGTTAAGTTTTTAGATTATTAACAGTGCGAAACAAAATGAAATCAAGAATAACCTCCACATCGACGATGTCTCGGTTCGATATCAACAGCACGCAATGGAGAAATCGATACAAGAGTGACAATGAACAATAATACTAGTGAGAGTAATATGAATTGCTATAGTGAAATTACTGCTAGCAGGCACAGAGCAACGATTACGAAAAGTATGCTACATAATTTCTTACAGCAAGAAAGAAGAGCCTGAGATCAAACAAGAAAACGATATCGGAGAAGAGAATTGGCGCTGAAAATTACCTGGTGAATCTCGCATTCTGGCTGCTGCTGCTTTCGGAGGGCGGAGACGGCGCGCCAAATCCGTTTAAAGAAAGAGAAAGGGTTACTTTTCAGTTTTCGGATTGGATTCATGGGTAAATGTCTCCGAAACGTAAGTAGCTAAAAAATAGCTATAAATATAATATTTTTATTAATTATAGTTAGTTATTAATTAATATTTAAACAAGTCCATTAAAAAAATTAAATTAATACAAACAACAAATATTCTAACCGGTTAGACCCATTTCAAAATCACAATTAAATTTTTTACGAGTAAAACGAGATACCTTCTGTTTCTCAAAAAACAAAAAAAAGGATAAATAATGTATTAAATTTTTAGTAGTGGTTTGCATAAATTTTATGGATTAGTATCTCACTATAGTTCATATTTAAATTGATTTTCTAAAATATGGGTGGATTCAAACTTATGATTTTGAAGAAGTTTTACGCCATAAACTATACGTAAGTAGTATTTAAATTAATGAATAAATTATATAATTATAATTAAGTCCACTGTTTTATTATAGTACTTACCAAATATCTTACTCCTTTGTTCGAAGTTCAAGTTCTCGCCTAACTCTGTTAACTTAAAAATAAGTTCATGGTTTTTTAAGCACTTATATTTATAATCATTTTTCTAAATATTATATTTGTAATTCTTTGAAATAATATATATTTACAAATATTTTAAAATTTTATCCCTTAAACTTTTTGATGTAAATGATAGAGTAAAATTTAGAAATTTTGTAAGTTGAAAAAAAGTTATAAATAGAGTGAAACTTTTAATTACGAGTTTGTTGGTATTCCATCCTTTTATCGTTAAGATAAATATAATGATAGCTTTTAAAAAAATTCATGAACCACTAACGATAATGTGGTTAGTCGAATGTAAAAAATAAATACTACCAAACAACTTAATTTACCTTATATTAGAAAAATAACTCAAATTTACCAATTACTATTCATGAAGAGAGTTTAAATATCTAATGTTTAAATTATGTTTAGATCTACTTGGTTATTTTGTACTGATAATACACTAATAACTATAACATAACTTAAAAGTTAAAAGACGTTAGTATTACCCAAAACAAAAAATTAAGACATTGGTAGGTTTGAGAGGTTCAAATGTTCATCTATCCATTGGAGAAAAATATTAAAAAAAAAAAAAAAAAGAAGCTGATTTTTCATGATTGTTGAGGCCTAAGTGGGCTAAATCATAAGCCCATTATACGTGTAGGTAAATTCAACTTAGGAATTTCGTTCGTGTATAGGTACCTTCATAAGAAACTAGCTAAAAATAATGTTCTCTAAAACATGAGAATTCATGTTAATAAACTTCTTGTCGATTTAAATCGAAGCATAGTTTAGCAGTTAAACCCTTTTTATTTTATATAAGAGTTGGATTTGAATTTACACATTTTATGTGGTATTTTTTTCCTATTGAAATCAATGTCGGATTACTTTCGCGAGTGGATCCTTACCAGCGACATTTAGATATGTGATATAATATTTTTGAAGAAAAATATGATAATAGTTTTTCAGAGATCGAATAGTTTGATCCTCGTCTCTATATCTATAATACTATATTTTAAAAATTATATAAAAATTCATAATGGTTAATATATAATACGTTTTTTAATATAGCGCTGTCAATAGAATATATCGGATGTATTGTGGTATATTATTCAACGGTCCCTAAAATTTTAGAAAAGTTCGTTTCGGTATTTGTGATTGAAATTTTTTATTATAGAATAAATAATATTAAGCCACTTATGTTTAAACTTTTTTTAATATCAGTTTTAACCATAAACTTGACATTTGTCTCGGTATAACAAGTGTTCCAATATTCACACATTGTTGTAACTTCTGCTTTTTAAGTAGGTTTTCCATTGAAATTTTGTTGGAAAAAAGTACTCCCGAATGTATAAGGGGAACTAAAAAATCTATTTTAAATGGTCTACACTATATATATATATATATATATATATATATATATATATATATTTTTTAGTCGGATGGAAGCTGGGGGTTGGGAGATCGAATTCACAAATCTCTTAGTTGAAAATATATGTCATCGTTGAACTATGTCCGTTTGACACTATTTATTATATATTTAAATCACGGGTTGTTGAGAAAATTTATAATAGTATATTATGAAGGAAAAAAATGCCAAATACCTCCATTATATTCACCTGTCCACGTGAAGAATGTAAAATTTATTAAATGAATTTAAATCACACTAATAGCTGTCTTGAGAGTGGCAATTAAAACTTTTGAAGTATAACAAATGTATTAATATCTCAACAAGTTATAGAATCCTATTCAAATCGACGAACAAATAAACAAATCTCATATATACTACATTGTACGAAAATATTTTCATAGGTTTATTTTCAAACATATCAATAAAATATAAATTTTTGTTAATAATAAATTAATACAGTTGTGGGGATGGATTCTCATTATCTTGTTATCCAAATCATATCAATATCCCGTATGTTCGTCTCGATTAAGTATTGCTCTCGTAGTCCATCTAAATAATACTTTCACCTTTAGATATATACCTAGCCAACTACTTTGCTTAATCAACACATTTTGATGATAACTAACAAACTATATAATTTAATGATATTTTACTCATATTAATTGTCTCAATTACTCAAGTAATGGGTATATAAGCAAATCACATTTGTTATATAAAAATTAAAAACTAACTTGTCTCTATTACTTTGACTGATTTCCTTGACTAGCCTACGAGTCATTAATTTATCCTTCAACCTGCACACAAGTAACGTTTTAATCTCTTTACATAACTAACTCTCAAAAAACTCGGGACAAATTTAGAACTATTTTATAAACTCCATAGACTAAAAATGTTTTTTTAATTTAAAAAAAAATTAAAATATACACTAAGCTCAAACTTCACTATAAGTAATATATTTTATCTTTCTTTTCTACTGTGGTAAATGGATTTCCACGTGATTAAATAGAAGCCTCCACGTCATGCCAAAAAGATAAATAAATAAATAAATAAAACGGGGGAAATTTTACTTTATTTGTTTACCACAACGTTCGATGAAAGTCAAGCGTGGCCCTGCATTATTTGTACGCTTTAGTTTTATTGGGCCGTCCAACCTTTTCAGTTTTCTCGAAAGTGACTTTTCATAGGTCACGGACAACAAATGTCTCCACGTGCTCCTCTCACAGGGCGGCACGTGTTCTTTCTTTATTTTAAAAATTCTTTTTACGACATAAGGACGGTGAGTCACTCTTTCTGACCAGTTCAACATAATGATTTGATTTGGGCTCTTTCTTTTCCCCGTAGTATACTGTATCGGACACGCTGCAAGTCCATTTCGAAACATTAGACACCTTCAACAGCGGTTTTTCGTCCGAAATAATTTAGTCCATAAATTTTATCAATTTAGTCGCATTTTTTATAAAATAATAATTTAGTCATTCAATTTTAGTTTGTAACGATTTAATCTTTTAGTTCAAAATTTGTAACAATTTAATTCATATTATAAAAACTTTTATTAAAATTAAGTGTCAAATTTTATTGTATATAATTTAATCTTTCTAACTTATAAACATATTTGGTTCTTCTATAGTTTATCAATCTATATATTTGAGAAATTTAACAAAAAAATTTCACGATAAGGACTAAATCATCCTTTAAAAAAAACACTAAATCGGCTTTAAATTACAAATATTAAATTGTTACCTATTAAAATCTAAGGACTATATTGTTACCAATTTGAAGAGAAAATGACTAAATCGTTACAAACTAAAGTTTGACTAAATTGTTACTTTAGCGAAAATACATAGACCAAAAGTGTCTTTTGACCAATATTATTTTGATTATTTACTTTTAATTTTTGTTTATTTTCATCTTTATATTTTTAACTTATGTTTATTTTAGTTGCTATATTTTTAATATTTTCGTTTTTGTCTCTGTACTTTAAAATAAGCAACTATTTTAACCTCTTAATTTGAGTTATAATATCATTTTTTACCACAATTTCAAAATAACATTACACTCAATATGTTTATTTAAATCTAACAATAACTTTATATTAAAAAGTTTCTATTAGGTTTAGAGTTTGTGTTAATGTTTTACCAACAATGATGAAAATTGTCATTTTCTTAAAATACGTAAACAAGAAAACAAACTTATTAAATACAAGGATTAGGGGATTAAACTCATGACCTCGTGGTTGGAGATATATGTCAACTATCGCTTAACTATACTCGTTTCGGCCAAAACAGACATTTTGAAAATACGTGAACTAAAATGAACTAAAATTGAAAATACAACGACTAAAATGAATCAAAGATAGAAATATATGGACCAAACTAGAATTTTAACATTTATAAAATAAATCAATTAAGGCATTAATAACCTACTTTGTGAATTGAATTCAAACTTCTACATTTCCAATACTGTATTATAATGTTAAGTTATAAATTTAGCCTATCAACTTTCATAAATATATTTTATAAAAAAAAATTCGGAAATGTATTTAATACTCTAAAACTTAAAAAATAATTTTAAAATGTATCTAAAATTTTCCATTTGTTGTCTAATAATAAATTTTTAAAGTATCTAATAAATATATAAATTTTCAATTTTATGCATGATAAGTTGCTTACTTAGTTGACATTTTAAAAAATTCATAGGCCTAGGAGGCTAGAACAACGTTGTTCAAATTTTAATGTACTTGTGTACAATTCAACTCTACAATTTTAATTTAATGTCCAATAGGTATGTTATATTAAAAAAATATGTATACTAACATAGATTTATTAGACATAAAATTGAAAGTTAAAGAACATATTAGACATTTTAAAGATTTTTTTAAGTACAACAAACATTTTTAAAATTGGAAGGTCTCTTAAATACAAAGTTAAAAATTCAGAGACTTATTATATATTTTTTAAAGTTCACCGACCTATTAACACAAACATAAAAGACGTCTAACTATAGATCTTTTAACTAAACTGGTAATTTAATTGAACCAAAAATACAAGTATTTTTTATTTCGTTAAGTTGGTTTAAATAACTAATAAAATAATGGTTTTAGCTAA